GGGGGCAACCTACGGAGCGAGCAGGGCTAGGTAGACAATGGAAGGAGTGTCAACTCAACAGTCTTGGCTGGAACCGTGACTGATCTTGAAGGGGGGAGTGGCAATGGTCCAACACACCGATGCGGTGAAGGGTTGTTTGGAGGCTGTTCCTGTCCATCGCATAGCAATGAGAAGAGAATCTGAAAACAGTTTTCTTGACCCTGCATAAGGGTTCCGTCACGAATACTTTGCTTTCTCTCTCGTGGCCACAGGTATTTAATCCCCAAAAAAATTTCAATGCAAAGATGAGGACAATGCAATGTACGAATGGGGAAAATGTCTTGCCCAGTATTAGTTTGACATAATGATAGGTAAATCGGTGTCGATAATAGCCGAGGTGGAAGAATTCAAGTCATCACCGATATCTAGGGGGGGGGGGCTTTTGTTGTTCTCAGAGAATACCGTTTCGTTTGTGGACAGCTCCCCGGCCGCGTTCTCCGATCCCTTGGTGACGGGAGGGAAGGACAGGAGACTTCAATAAGATGTCTCCTCCAATTTCCCAGGCATATCTCCAGGTATAATACCTGCGTGCTACCTCAAGTAAGGCAGTGTTCAAGACCTTGAGAAGACTTTTGTACGGAATATTATTGGGGCACATATTCAAGTATCGATGTACAAGCCAGCAGAGTTGCGGGTTTGAGCGATAATATTTTAATCTTTCCTAGTCTCTCGAGCCAGGTAGTAACTCGGCACAATGAGGCCAAGCCGAGTCCAGAAAGCTGTCTCTCATGAAACCTTGTCATCTTGTTGGTTGTAAAGGAGGTGTCGCATGCCTCATAGACACCCACCCACCTAGATCTCGATTTGATCCTTGGCAGTAGGTGAGTGCCCGGTCACGCCGCAGATACGTAACTCTAATTGACCGTTCCGCTTCATTACTTTCCTCTTCTAGTGAGTGTTCAATGATATGGATTCGCGAAACGGAGTGAAAACAAAAAAGATCGATGGGCGAATAGGAGAGAAGGACAAATGAGACCAAGGGTGATATGATCGAGCTACCTGAGCTGTTCATCACCCAACGACCCAAAGACAAGCAGACCATTTGCTAAGCATTTGATTCCAATAGAAGAGGTTTCTTTTCTCTACATGTCCGATGACAATTTTGGTATAACTACATAAAATCATAAAGGCCCTCCCATGCATCCCACGTTGTCCATTTTTACTAACTGCCAGCCAGACATATTTATTTGCGGTTCATGTGTTCGATGCGGATCTCTACAGCTCTGCGGTGAGCCTCCAGAGCCTCCGTCTTGGCGAGCTGCATGACGGACTCGCCGACGTTGCGCAGGCCCTCGGCCGTTAGATTGGAGCTGGTGATGTGCTTCACGAAGGAGGCGAGGTTGACACCCGAGTACTGCTTGGCGTATCCATAGGTCGCTGCAATTCCGGTCAGTCAATATGAATGTCACGTTGTGTGGGGATGGTCCCGACACGTCCAAGATGCGTGGAAGGGAGAATAAACAATTTTACGGGAAGACTTACGCAAAGAGTGGTTGACACCGGCAGAGTAGTCGCCGACACTTTCGGGGGTCCACTCGCCGATGAAGACGGAGCCGGCGTTCATGACCTTCTCAGTCACCTTCTCGGCATCGTTGATCTGAAGAATCAAGTGCTCGGGCGCGTAGTCGTTGCTGATGCGCATGGCCTCGTCCACCGTCTTGACTTGAATGGTGACCGAGTGGGCAATGGCGCCGCGTACAATGTCGACACGAGGTAAAGCCATGGCTTGGTTGTGCAGCTCATCCTCAATAGCCTGTAGCTGCTGCTCGTTCAGATCAATGGCAATAAGAATGACCTGACTGTCGACGCCGTGCTCAGCCTGGGATAAGAGGTCAGACGCGACAAAGGCGGGGTTGGAGTCCTTGTCGGCGATGACGAGAACCTCGGAGGGGCCAGCCGGCATGTCGATGCCGACGCCGGCGTTGGTGTCGTTGCTGACGAACATCTTGGCCGCTGTTACGAACTGGTTCCCAGGTCCGAGGATTTTGTCGACCTTTGTCACGCTCTCGGTGCCGTATGCCATGGCGGCAACAGCCTGAGCACCTCCAGCGAGGACGATGCTCTCGGCACCAATCTTGTGAGCGACGTAAACAATTTCAGGGGTGAGGCTACCGTCGGCACGGGGAGGCGAGGCGAAGACGATCTTTTGGCAGCCGGCGACCATGGCGGGGACACCGAGCATGAGGGCAGTGGAAGGGAGAACAGCGGTGCCACCCGGGACGTAGAGACCAACTCGCTCGATGGGACGAGAGAAGCGGCTGCAAACCACGCCGGGCATGGTTTCGACCTTCAGGGGCTTGTCCTCCTTCTGAGCGGCGTGGAACTTGCGGATGTTCTCAAAGGAGATGTCAATGGCCTTGATTGATTCGGGAGAGAGTTGCATGGCCTCCTTGGGGAAGGGTGCCTTGAGCACAGGAGAGGTCAGAGACGTAGCCTTTTCGAACTTGTGAGTGTAAGATAGGACAGCCTTGTCGCCTCCATTGCGGACCTCGTCAATGATGGGCCTGACAATGTTCAGGATGGCGTCGGGAGACTTTTGTGACGGGCGCTTCAACACCTCGTCAATCTCAGCAGCAGAAGAGTTGGACAAATCGAAGCGGCGCATCGATATTCTCTCAGACTTCTCGGCCTTTGCTGCCGATACCGGTGCTTGCGCCGCGGCAGGTGCAGGTGCTGTGGTAGTCTTGATGCCCTCCTTCTCAGCCCACTTGCCCTTGGCATCTCCCGTCCTCCTCTTGACCTTGAATGCCTTGGCATCCAGGTTTCGCTCGATATCAGCCAGGCTAACGCCAGCGCTGACAGCCTTGGTGAGAGCAAAGTAAATCAAGTCTGCAGCCTCAAAAGCAACCTCTTGAGGAGTCTTGGCATCGCAGAGCTCTTCGGCTTCCTCCATGATCTTGGCTCGCAAGAGCTTCTCGTCGGAGAACAATCGAGCAGTGTATGACCCTGCAGGCGCGGACTTCTTGCGCGACTGCAATGTCTGCTCGAGTCTAGGGATACCGTTCAGGTCACCGAAACAGCCGTGCTGATCCAGGTGACAGAAGCCACCGGTCTGCTTGACGACAAACTTAAGCGTGTCGTTGTCGCAGTCCAGGGCGATGCGGATGAGCTCCTGGGTGTCACCGGATGTGGCGCCCTTCACCCAGAGACCGCGCTTGCGGCTTTGATAAACGCCGGTCCTGGTCCGCAGAGCCTCTCCGACGCTCTCTGCGCTGCTGTAGGCAAGGCCCAGCGCGGTGCCAGACTCGTCGCACACCACGGTAGGGATCAGACCATCCGGTCGGTCCGACTTCCAGAAAGAAGCAATGAGCTTGGAGAGGGGAAGCTTCTTGGACTCCTCCTTGCTGGCTGTCAGGCCGTCGGACGGCAGGATAGGGATGGCGTTGCACTGCTTGACAATATCGACAAAGTGCTCGAGGTTGCTCTCAGGCGCGGGCTTGATGTAAAGGTTCGGAAGTTTCTCCACCTTGCAGTGCTCGATAAAAGAGCCCAGGTTGCAGAGGGTAGGATCAAAATCCTTGACGAGGACGGCGTGCTTGGAGGCGGGCTTCATCGTGACATCGTCGGTGGTGAGAATGGAGCCCACCCGGGACCCGAACTCCTCATACTGCGTGAGGTTCTCGGGGGAGACGAAGACCATGCGGGCGCCGGCATCGAGCAGGGAGATTACATCGTCCTTCGTCGAGATGCCTGTGACGTCAAAGTAGCCGCGGAACTCTGCGTTATGCTGCTTCAGGAAGCTGTGAAACTTGTCCAGGGTCTGGTCATTGGCCTCGAAGAATGGGGCCCCTAGGATCGAGACCTGCTCGCGATTGAGGCCGTCCAGCTTAGCCAGGCCGGGCGGGACGGCCACGCTGACAAGGAAGGGGAAGGGTAGTGTTGTTTCCATGGCCGCTCTTATTGTGTGTATTTTGGGTAAGTTTATGTGTGTGTGTGAGGGGAAGGTGTAAACTTGTTTGTTCTCCTTCTCTCTCACACTGGCATGGAAGAAAAAGACCCAATGGGTGCGTTGGAAGATGAAGAAACTGTAGGTAAGGGGTTGCCAAAAGTCCAATTGAGGGAAGTGGAATGTCACTTGGTTATCGAGATAGACAACCCACTGTGACTCAAATCATCAGGGAAAGGGAACCGCCACTAAAAAGTAAAAAATCCTCATAGTGTGACACCACCACTCAAACCATGTCCTGCATCGGCGGGTGTTGTGGTGGGGCAGAACAACTACCACACAGCAGTTACCCCTCCATGCAAGTTTTTGGAGCTCATCCAATCCACGCCTTGCCGATTTGCCCGTCAGACACCCCGGTCCATGTGGGATTAAGCTATGGTCAGTGCGTCGGGATTTCAGCGCTGGAGCGGATCAACAGAAAGCCCGTCGAGAACTTGGAGCTGGGTGAGGTGCAGACAGTGCCCAGACTTGTGGTAGTGATGAACGCGCCTGGCGAGTAGCTCTTTCCACGACCCAACCAGCCAACTCCCGTAGCTTGATACCCCCTACAATCCGGCGACGCCTTCCCGATTTTATCGCGAAAATTGTACACGACTCACGATTCGATAAGACTATATAAACTGGGCTTTGTTAACTTGCCACGCCAAGTAATTTTCAGAGTCTCCCCAGCCGCGTGGACAATCGAGACAATCGACCATCCTCGAACGTTTGGAACGGGGCGATGCCATCCTCCCATCATATCATAATACGCATTTCATAACAACATAGTACGAGCTGCGAGACCCGGGACTGGAATCATGGCCTCACAATCCGCCGACCCGCAAACCAACGGCGTCCCCTCGGGCGCCTCAGCCTCCCAGACCGCACCAAACACCCAAGCAACGGCAGCGACATCAACAGCAGGCTCCCAGCCCCCCTCCCAAACCCAACCAACACAGTCCTCATCCACCCAACAACAACCCTCACTGTCATCACAACAGAATGCGCAGCAGCAGCAGCAGCAGCAGGGCAACGCGGCGCAACAACAACAACAATCAACGCCCCTAGCACCCAACGCCTCGGCCCCGCGGCCCCGCGACTCCCGCATGATAGAGCTCCTCCTCACATCGCAAGGCGTAACCTCGTACGAGTCCCGTGTGCCCCTCCTCCTCCTCGACTTCGCCTACCGCCACACCTCCAGCATCCTCTCCGACGCAATCTACCTCTCAGCGGACCCCTACACCTCGCAAGCTGGCAGCAAGGCATCGGCCTCGGGCGGCGCGGGAGCGGGCTCGATCCCCGGCGCGGCGGGCGACGCTGCCGTCTCAGCCAACGCCGTAAAGCTCGCCATCGCCGCGCGGCTGGGATACCAGTTCCGTGGGGGCGGCGGCGCGGGCGGCGTCAGCAAAGATTGGCTGCAGGAGCTGGCGCGCGAGCGCAACAAGACGGCGCTACCCAAGGTTGCGCAGAACGAATGGGGTCTCAGGTTGCCTAGCGAGCGCTTCGTTCTCAGCGGCGTTAGCTGGGGTTTGAAGGACGTATGGGAGGAAGCTGGCATCGACGAAGATGAAGGTGAGGATGACGAGGACGATGCGCCCGGCGGCGGCGACGGGGCAATGGAGGGCGTGGAGGCGACGAATGCGACGGCGGATGAAGATATTGGGGGTGATGGCGTCGAAGGTGGTACGATGGAGGATGTGTTTGGGAAGGACGTAGATGAGGACGCAGAGATGGAGGGCACGTCTTAGCACTCGGAGTCCACGATCTACGAAAATCACCAACGAGCACCTCTGTAGTGGATGAATGATGGTGCTGGCCGTAACGGCAACCAAAATACCACCGGGCGGCACGGGGGATCCCTAGGGAACAGAGCATTCGGAGTTGAAGCCCGGCAGTCATGGATGAACGGTTAGGGGGATTGCCTGTGGTCGATTAGGCGGGCAATGTCTCACTTCTGGCTTCAAAGGCCGGGTTCGCAAAAGAGGTAGCCACGGCGGTCAACGGTTTGGAAGGCACTGCGACTTTCGAATCCCTCAGTCTGGAGGTGAGCCCAGCATAACTACGCCATCCACTTCACGGATTAGCTGGCCCAGAAGTCGATGCGTGCGTTGAGAGGAAGTAGAAATCAAGCCTATCGCCAGTGTCTCACTAGTATCATGAGTCAAGATCATAGTAGAGTTGAATCATACAGTGTCTTTTGTAAAGTCACGACAAGGTAAGGCAAAAATTCCAAACGCCTCTCGCTATGTAATGCAACACTTCCCTTAGACCCAAACCCGCCGACCATGCTCGTAACTAAGCCGCCTTCTAAAAAAAACCCGGATACAAGAGAAGCGCATCGACACGGAAGATTAGTTCGCACCTGCTTTGACATTAGGATTGTATACCGAGGCCTGTTCCTCCTTTTTAGCACACTATTTCTGCACACCTTTTTCAAGGGTGAGATGATTTACCCCAGTAATCAACTCGGCGCCGATGTCTTCAACGAGTATCGTCTGTTGTGGTGCGGAAGACTTAGGTTTCTTGCCGCTGGGCTGAGGAGTTCGCTCGCGTTGTTTCCGCACTTCGAGGTTAGTCTGACCGTCTTCGTCTTCTTCGTCCTCCTCTTCGGCGTCTTCGTCGTCGGCGTCGTCGTCCTCTAGGACGGAGGCGGCCAGCTGGTCATCGCCGTCAATGCTTCCACTGAGGATGCTTTCGCGTTCGTCGCCGTAATCGTCGGCGGAGTCTCGGGAAATATAGCTCTGCCCCATCTCGTCACCAATCTCCTCATCATCGTCAACGTCTTCTTCCAGATCAACCTGCTTATTGTCGTCATCTGTGTCGCTTGCAGAAAATTCATCCAGATCCAACGGAGTATCTCTCCAATATGAGAAGTCTGTATATTCTTCTCCACCACCCTTGACAAGAGTGCTGACTGGCGGGAAGAAATGATCTACGACCTCATTGATGTTGATATAACTCAGCTTGAGTTTGTTCAAGGTGAGCAAATCCAGGGAGACCTCAGCATTGGAGTTGATGGTAAAGATACGTTTCTTCGGAACATCCACAGTCCTGTACGAAATCTGGTCCGTGAGACGGTTTCCAAATCCAGCAAAAAACGGTGTCCGATTAGGGCCGTATAGATTCCGGATGTCGCGAAGAGTAGCCATCTTGAAAACCTCGGGTTTTCTGAGGTAGACCTCACGGCGGAGCGCGGCCATGGTGCGATCCGGAGACAAGATGGTAGGTCCCCGCGGCACCCGGTATTCTCCCTGCTGAATACCAGCCAAATACGCCCTGGTGGTATCAGACTGACCCACTGATCGACTGGTCAGGTACATGATGTTGTACCCGTTGGCAACAATGTCGCTATAGAGTTTAGCTACTCCAGCATGCGTCCAGTCACGTCCGATCATGTTGAGAACGTGGCCCAAGGCATCGGACTTGGTGATCGTGCCGTCAATGTCCGAGATGACGACGGGCGTCTCATGCCTCCACAAGTACATATTGGCCTGGCACGTTGCCCTGTTGACAGTGAAACTCATGGTGTTCTCTCCAGGCTTCAAGCACAGGTCTTTCAGCTGATCACTAGTCAACCGCAGCGTCTTTGCGTAATTCAGATTCGGGTCTCCAGCCGTCGACTGAGGAGGTGTCGTAGGAGGGGTGTGCAGGCCAGAAGCCCCGGCGTCCGACTCGGTCCTTCGATGGTTTGGAGGGGGTACGGTGGTAGTCACATCGCTACCATCACTCTGGTATCCTGGGTCAGATGCAGCATCCGCCGCAATGACGGAATTAAGGCGGTAACCGGCTTCCATGGTCTTCTTCTTTGCAGCCTCTTTGGCCTCCTCGCTGCTGTAAATCCAAATGTTTCCATGCTCGTCCATGCCGAAAAGCGAACCGATGTCGTAAGGGCCCTCGAGCTCTTCGGAGAGGATCTTTCGCGCGAGAATCTCGGCACGGAATACATCTTCTTCGTTACTCTTGAAGCCGGTCATGTCCAGCATCAGATCGCCGCTCTCGGTTACATGGCTAGGGATATTGTTGGCTGACAGCTCCTTGGAGAGCATGAGTGCCCGTTCGAGCGCTTCCTTGGGTGCTAGCGGCGGAGGACTTTGTGATCGCTCAGACATTGCAAAATCAGCAGAGCCTTCGCCAAATACTCGGTCGCTCAGTCGGGCTGATTTGCGTAAGACATCGTCGCTATAGGGGCGCTGGGCAGCTGAGGAATCCCAATCTTCTGATCTTAGTCGTGCGTGGGAGAGGTCCGGGGAGGTAGAAAGAGGTGTGTTTAGCCCTGCAACAGTTAGCATTTTTTGTCACACAGAGGATCAACAGAGGGAGGGCAAATAAAACAAACCGTGGGGTCCGAACGTTGCCGCGTGAAGGACAGATGGGGGCGGCCGGCGAGGTTTCGTAGGATCGGAATCCAGATCAAGTAAGTCTGGTTCACCAAGTCCAGGCGAAGAGGGGTTCTCCGGGTTCAAGGGAGGGCTTGATGCTGGGGAGACCAAGGGTGACGTCTGCAGATCCCTTGGAATAGTATCACTCGTCTCGAAGACGAAGAAGGCCTCTCCCTCTTCGCCGAGCTTCATAGAATAGGGTTGCTTGACACCGTTGACCTTGAATTCGACCTTCTTCTCGTAGGGCCTCAGTAACGAGAACTTCCCAAAGCGCACGTGAAATGGCGAGCAGTTGAGAGAGCCGTCTTCCTGCTCAACGACAATGACATCGATGGCGCCACTAAGAGTGGCCGGGTTTATGGAGTTCCATGTCGAAGAGACGGAAGCGCTGAGATTCCGTACGTACTGCATCGCAACTGAGGATTTCTGTCAACGTTTGCGACAGGTTGGAGGGCGAGATTCTTGAAAGCAGGCAAGCCGGGACGTTGGAACAGAGACGACAGCAGGTGATTTTGCAGTGATTTTGCAGGACGAGACGTTGCGGCTCTTCGAAACTAGGCAATGACGGTAATCGGGGAGCTGAGTTGAGCTGTGCCGCGAGGTATGCAGAGGCGAAAGCGAAGTGTTGGGGGAAGCTCGCGGATAGTTATTATTGGGATGCAGGGGACACGGGTGGAGGTTGGGAAAGATAGTGGGAGGGGTGAGTGAGTGAACGTGATGTGTGGGTGAGTCGAGAGAAGCTGACTGAGTTGGACAGATGCGCGCAGAGCCAGGGAGCGGAAGGGGTGAGAGGTCGTTCGTGAGGGATGGGTCGAGCGAGCTGTGAGAATCACCGATCCAAAGACGCCTGTCTACGGATGAGTCGTAGAGAATAGGCACGGTGAATCACGATTAAAGTTTAGGCTCGCGGGGTCGGGGTCGAATGGGAGGGAAACGGGAACGGCTTGAGAGAGGTTCAAGCAACCTTTCCTCAGTACATATGTATGTGCGCGCAGCAGCTCGGAGAGACTGGGACGGTGCAAAGATGACGAAGCTGAATGTTTTTGGGGAAGAATGACTAGACCGGCAGCTGCTGCTGCAGTAGCATAGACCGGGGAGCTAAAGGAAAGGCGGCGCTGGCGGCGGTCGTGGGCGATCCTGAGGAGCGACGGGAGTGTTAGGTACGGGGGCACGGGGGGTAGCAGAACCTGGCGCGGACAGGGGCGGGGGGAAGAAAGATGGGAGAGCATAGCAGCCACCCCTGCCTGTTGGTCGACGGGCCCAACAAGCTACGGCAGGCCAAGGCTGCCCTTTTTGCCCGCCTTACCTAACGCTGCCGCGGATCATGTGAAGGTGGACATTGTATCTGCCCAGCAAAAGGGGAGACCAGAAGGGGAAAAAAAGATTTCAACCCCCAAAGCCCACCCCAATGGAAAAACCATTGGTCTGGCCTGCTCTCAGTGGCATGGACCACATCTCACCGGGCTCAGGGTCGGAAAGGACAAGGACGCTAAAATGGCCGCCATTGCCGGCATTAGGGGGCCGGGCGAAGACGACGAGCTGGCCTCCCATTCCGCCCAGGCGGCACGAGGAAAAAAGGGCCCGGTGGCCTTGACTTATATGAGCTACCTAGGCCGAGGCCCTTCTCAAAATTCGACTCTCTGCCTGAGGTAGGTAATTACTTACCTTACCTACGTGTAGTTGTTCTCCGTAGTAGTAAAGAAATCAGTTCTGCAAATCCATGCTCAATGCCGTGGGACGCAAAAATGTGAGAACTCAACTTCTTTTCCCCTTTTCTGTCGAATGGAATTCATCTACAGGTCTGTGCCTCCGTGTGCTTGTTTCTAGGGTTTCTTTCCAAAGGATCTCAGGACCTGAAGACAACCTTGACAGACATCCTCTGCCCAGCCTCTCCTATTAGGTATTGTCTGCCTGCCGTACGCATATACTAACACAGCGACCAACCCTGGCCGTACTCTGCACCTGATAAATACGACACTCCACACTCCCACTCACCTAAACTGGGCCAGCCGCCTGACTCGGCGGTGTAACTAAAAGTACCCGTGACACTTTTTCCGTTTGCAGTTCCTTGGGAAAGAGTTGCTCAATTCCTCCCCCTCACCAAAGGGGAAAAGGGAGAGAGAAAAAACAGTCCAGTGCGAGTCTTTTTTGTCTGCTGATGTCATAACCCGAAAATCTACCCCTCCATCTCCAGAGTCTCTGACCGATTCTCCTTCCCTCGATACTACAGAGCCAGACGAAACGCGCCCTCTCCTTTCTCCCCTCCCCCCACCATTTCTGTCAGTCTAACTCAAAAGGCTAGGTAGGCACCTACAATGTACACAATACCTACAGTGCTTTGCCGTTCTCGTCTCACAGGTTGGCTTGCCCCCTCCTCCGTCATACCATCATCACCCGGGCACTTTTCTCCGTTCGCTACCGGCAAAGATGGATCTGCCTCTGCCTCTGCCTCGCCTGGTGGCCATCCGCTGAGGAGCCGAGGTCACCTGTGCAAAAAGTGATGTGGGCACATGTATCACAACCCATGCTCCTTCGTACTTTTCCCACTTCTCTTTTTTCTCTATCCGCCGGACGGTCTCCATAAAAAAAGACAATAGGAGTAAATATTCTCTCGGGTAGAAATCTCAGTCAAGCCAGGCTGTATGCTTTTTGTGAGTGCGTTCATCCAATCCCGATTTAGACAATTTCCCATGCCCAAAGTCCCACGCACAGTGTGCAGTCTGTAGTCGCCAATGCAGGCATAACCCAACCTGAACCTTGATTATTGGTAAGTAATGCAGATGGCCCTAAGATCTTGTTCGTATTGCTTGGCAACGTTGCAGGTAACTTTCCGTTCAGCATCCTACGCCTCTCATCTGCATATTTCTTTGGTTAGTTGACCTGGGATGTCTTTTGGCCAATTGCGCTTCCCAGGCAATGGCCAACAAAAATTGAATCAAAATGAAGCACCGCTGGCGTTTGAACGCAGGAGGAAACCTTACTAACCGGAACAGAATCCTGCCATTTGATTAGCTGGTTGCTGGGGCACGAGAGCATTCCTCACAGTGGACATCAATACAGCTACTTAGGCAATTAATCAATACTTTTATATATGCTCCGAAATTCGAAGCGGAACAGCTTGTTGTGCAACATTTGGCCCATCCACCCGGATAGTTTATCAAACCCCGCGGTTCGGTTGTAAACGCCAATCATCCAATGTCATTACGCCCTGTATACTCACTCAATCTCCAACACAGCAGGGGCCTTGACTTCCTTGCCGCTAAACTTCTCCAATCCCTCGCCGCCCTACGATAACGTGTTAGTTTCTGAGTACATATCATGTGAGAAGAGTGTCAACTTACGTAGCTGAAGAGAGGGGAGACTTCGACGCCGACCTCGGTGCTCTCACCGGTTACCACGGCGCCGGCGGCCTCAAGCCAGCGCTTGCCCTGGAGCATGATGTCGCGCTTGCTAGTGTCGGGGTCATCCTCTCCCGTGCCGCGGGCATTCTTGAGCGGCGAGAATTCGTCTTCGCGCTTCACCTCCATGGATGCGAACTTGCTGAGATCCAGCATGGGGAAGACGTCAAAGACAAACTGCTCCAGCTTGATGCCGTTGGGCTTCTCGGGCTTGACGGTCTCGCCTGACTTGAGATCGGCGTAGGGAATCTTCTTGCGCGCAATGTGGTGGGGAAGGTTGTGCGCCCACTGGGGAATGCTCTCGAGGAACCGGAAAGAGTAGTAGTGGTTGACAATGTTGGCAGCACGGAACTTGAGGACTCCAGTCTGCTTTGCGTCCTGAGCCTCGGCGGTCTCTTTGTCGATCTCGGAGTACTCGACGACGTCGGGCTTGCCGTTCTTGAGCAAGATCAAACCCACAGATTCGGTGGCATTGCGCTTACGCACCACCTTTGTGGTGATGTCGACGTCCTTGGATGCCGAGAAGCCAATGAAGACAGGGTCGGCGACCTTGACAAGACAGTTGTCGACGCAGTAGGCGTGGATGTGCTCAATGCCTCTCTTACGCATGTCGCCCATAACGTCTGATACAACCAGTGCCTGGTAGATACCTCCGTTACCATCAGGGGCAACGGCGACCTTGCCCTTGGACTCGAGGAGAATCTTGCCCTCATTCGAAATGCAAGGCAACACGCCTTGCTCAAAGATGAAGACATTGGCCTTGTCCAGGCCGAAGTAATTGTTCTCCTGGAAGTACTTCTCCGTGGGGCCGCGAGTGGGGCCGGATGTCATGACGTACCACGGCACGACAGCGCTGCTGGTACCGACCTTCTTGGCGGCAAGCTCCTGGACCTTGCGAATTCGCTCTGCCTGGATCTGGAAGAGGGATTTCTTGCTGGGAAGGCCGATATCGTAACAGCCCTTGGGTGCTGAGCTGCCTAGTCTGGTGCCCTGACCGCCTGCCATCAGCACAACGGCTACCTTGTTCTGTCCGATCAGGTCGAGACCCGACTGGTACCAATTCTCAATGTCTTCGGTCTTGGAGTCGAGAATACTGGCGGTGGCAGACTCGGGCAGCGGCTCGAGGCCGGATTGGGTGGATGCATCTTCGTTCTTGGGAGGGTTCAGGGCGCGGTCGGTGATCTTGTTGATGTGCTCGGGGTCGAAACCAGACAACTGCTCGAAGAGGGTTGCCTTGTCGGAGGTAGAGAGGTCCTCGTAAAAGGTAAATACGTGATCCTGTCCAGCGCTGGTGTACTTCTCCTTAAGCTGGGCAAGCTGCTCGGCAGAGGGCTCGATGGCGGCAGGCTTGCTGGAGCCAATGTTCAGAGCAGACTTGATGGCTTCCATGATGGGCCAGGAGAGGTATTGCGGTAGGAGCGCTTTCGAACAGGGCAATGGGAGCTGGTAAGTGGTCAGGAGACGGTCTGATCTGATCGATACGAGATTCTAAACGTGGAACAAGAGGAGAAGCAAGAGGCGGAAGGGAAGTAAACAAAAGATGTCGCCAGGAGGATAGCTCACCTTACTTGTAGTCCCCGCCGAGGATCCCTCAAGGGTCCAAATATAGTGCTGGAGTGGGAGCTCTTGCTGGGATGTCAAGGTACCCGCCAGGTGTCTGGTAAGCTGGATTGGACAAGTCGGATTGCTTTCAGACTTGGTGGGATGGATCGCCCCTCATTCCAAGGCCGCAAGACGCCTTCAGGGCATGCATGATAGGTCGCTTTCAGCTGGCTGCCCCTCACTCCAACTCGTTTGCAGGGAACACTCAACAACCAGCCACATCAGCACATGGCCCAGAGGCGGTTTCAGGGCCAGCATCCTGCGGGAGAGGCAGACTTGGTGGCGTGGGAGGGTCTCGGATACGAGCGTAAGCTTTCCAGGCTGAGGATGATCAAGGTGAGTGCTCGGCTCACGTAAGGAAGAAACTTGACGATGTGTGATACTTCGGGTGTGGGAATCGGGGCTGTGCGACGTGGCGTTTATCCTTGGGTTCTAGTGAGCATCTACACTAGTAAGATGCACCAGGAACCGAAGACCAGAAAAGGCCCCTCTTCTGGAGCCAGTCCTTGGCAATCTGGCTACTTTACGAGATGATCAGTCGACCAGATTATCAGATAATTGGATTTGTCGAGTTGAGACAAGACGAGAACAAGGTGAGCGGGAAGTGAGTGAAGCAGATAAGGTAGGAGACGGAAGAGGCGCCATGCCATGTTCAAGCCTCAGGTTCAGGCTCTAGGCTAAGGAAGGCCGGTACCAGATGCTTACGACATTGGACGGCAGGAGGTGAATGTTTCTTTTCTTCCCCGAGTAAACAGTTCAACACCACAGTCTTGTAGTTGACCATCTACCTTACAGAAGGCCGGCTACTACTTCCAGTCGCCAAAGTTGGATAAGACTGCGATATCATGAGCCGTCATGTGGCATCGTGCTTCTTGCAGCGGCCAAGGTACCTTGTCTTACCGTGAGGTGCCCAAAGTGCATGGAGGCATCGCGATAAGGTAGCTTGCACATACTTCAGAGGAAGGGCAAACAAACACCTTGCAAGATATAGGCAATTAGCCTTTGATTTTCGTACAGATGCCGCCAGTTTAAAACCATAATCATGATTAAAATACGCAATGAAATAGAGATATAAATCGAAAACCCGTCTCTTTGGATTGCCTCTGTAACAAGACTCTTCTCCTCCACCTCCTCCCGCTCTGCATCTCTCCACCAGATACTGACAATGCGCATCACTAGGTACCTACACAATATAGCACTATCTGTCTCTGCCATCCTCCTCACGAGGAAAAGAATCTCGTGCCTTCCTTCGCATCCCTGCCGGCACCCAATCCAATGCCCCTCCCATCTTTTCGAGGCGGCCGGCACTGCCTGCCTTACCGCCCCTCCATCTCCCCCAGCGTCCAGCTCCCCCCTAGCTGGCCGTTGCCATGCGTGTCAGGCAATCCCCCCGTCGCCCGCGTCCACACAGTATCAGCCACTAGCCGCGATACACGGTACCGGGGACTAGTGGACAGTGCCACTGTGAAAGCGCCTGAATCTGCAGTGCTATTACCTGTGTTTGCGCTTGTCGACATCGTCGCCGCTGAGAACACAACTGCCGAGATTTTCATCCCTCCTTCTTATTTCCTTCTTGACCGACAAATCCTTCCTCCCAACCGACCGCGCCTGAGAGGACTAGCGAAAGGTCTCCTCCTTCGCTTTTCTCCCACCCTTCCCTATTCTTCACTTTCTTTCTTCCCCGGTTTGGACGCGGCGATGTTATGGACCCTGTTCATGAAATTCCTCCTCGTAAGCTCCCTCATCGCCTGGTGGCTCAAGCGACCGAATAGCCGCTTCCAGAAGTTCGTCTTGGCTGCCGCCAGCCTTGCAACCTTCTGGGTGATCGCTCCCATTTACGCACAACTTTGTCTCGCCTGGTCTGTACATTACACTCGTGAGGGTATTCGTCATTGGAGTCTGGATGAGTTGCTTGTGCAGCATGCCAGTATGCTGGTGACTCTTGCCGCAGTCATTTGGTCAGTTTCACCCACGCGCCTCGTCCCCTCCCCGCCTTGTCCTGCTGTTTGATGCCGTCTTGTCCGACACGTACGATCGCTCTGACAACTTTTTTCTGACATGGTCTAGGCTGCTCCATCGCGCCTGGCAGACTCTTTGGAAACCGACGACCGACCTCATTAGCATTCTTGGAGTGGACGTTCCCGAGGCCCCCGATGTATCCTTGGCCGGAATTCGACCCGACGCGGCGACTCTCAACTGGACGCGACCAACACACAACCGACCCGTGCAGAAATTCCTGATCCAGGTCAATGGCGTAAACGGTCAGTCTTTGTTCGCCTCATTCGGTGGTCGCGGCAGTCGGTACTGACATATCTTCACAGTTGGCGAATCAAGGCAGGAAGAGACAGCCATTACCGTCACGGGTCTGAGACCTAATCATTGTTATAATATTCGTGTGATTGCTGTTGGACCAAACAACTTCCAAGCCGGTAGCCAAGTCATACGATTGCGAACCTATCGATCCGACGGACGGCCAGAACTGGGCAATTCGAGGCTTCCCGACAGTTTCCAAGATCAAGATCCGCGGCCAGGACAAACCCCGTGTACTGAGGACAATGGCAGTCGTAGCCAGGTGCCCACCATCGAAGCCGCGCCGTCTCTTGAGGGCGGATCTGCCGCTGCGCGAGACGGTCCTTCTGGCCAAAGACGCAACACTGTCAACCGCAGGCACTCTCCGTCTATAGCCAGTCAGGAGCAGCCGTCGATCAAGGATTTTTCGAGCGATCACCCTGAGGCCTCGCTTAAGGAACTGGCCGACACCTTGGAAAGGTCAAGGAAGGAGTTTGTCGAGACAGCATCCTTACATGCATCCGAGGAGAGCGAGTTCAGGCAGCTTGAAGAGCGCCTGAAAAAGGAAAAAGAGGAGAAAAAGAAGATTCAGAAAGAGAAGGATGACAACACGGCGCAGTTGAGGCAAAAAGTCAAGTCCACCGGCGAGCAGATGAGGCAAGCCACCAAGGACAAGGCACGGAAGGAGAACCTATTGAAGGAGAAACAGGACAAGCGCAAAAAGGTGGCCGATAACATCGAAAAATGTGTCACCGAAACCAAGACTATGCGCAAAACTCGCGAGGGGTTTGCATCTGAAAAAGAAATTCTCGCGCAGAGTCGTGATCTCAAGATCAAGCACCTGGACGAGGAGAACTTTGCCTTGCAAGATGAGTATTCCCAACTCGAGACCGAATACAAGGAAAAGAAGGAACAACTCAAAGAGCTTGAGGATGCACGCAGGAAGCTGCCCGGTGGCGAGGAAGACGACATGTGGCGAGAGGATGACCGGAAAATCAAAAGGGACTTCGAGATGAAGCGCCGAGAACTGCAGAGTCAACTCATCATGGAGAATAGGAAGGCTCAGCAGCTCGAAGGCCATATCCACGTTCTTCACGCCCAAGTCTATGCCCAGAATCAACAGAGCATCCAGTTCTATAATCAGGCAAATTCCTCCGGCGTCGAGTTCGACCAGAACGCCTCGGCACAAATTAAGCGTCGAAGCCGCACCAGCAATGCTCTTCCCAACAACGTCGCATCGCCCACGGGTCCTTTCCCGGCCACGGATTCTCCCTTCGAACCACCGATCGGATTCTCCAATCGAGTGCCATTCTCACACTTCCTGGATATGTCTGGAGGTGACGCCTTTGGAAGCGACCAATACTCCGATGCAGAAATCAGGGCTCTCACGGGGAATGCCCCGCTCAGTCCTACGGCAGCTGCCTTACTGCCTTCAGGCATCTTGGGTGATGACGAACCTACCAGCCCTGATTCATTCTCTCGCAGAAGCCCATTCGTTGTGGAATATGAGGACGATGCTCAGTCGCCAGGATCATCTAGACGTTCCAATAGTGTTCCTTCTAGCCCACCGGGATCCTCTCACGTCACCGCTTTCCCACTTTTGGCCCCGGACAACGGCGACCCTGCATCCCTCAGAGACATTACATCCTCTCCCGGAAGACAGCCATCACCAGCTGCTGGTACACACCGTTTTACGGATATGATCACCAATTGGAACAGAAGTAAAGGCGCTAAAGCTGTCGATGATGGTGGCCCTATGTTAGGCAGTCTAAAGCACGGCCAGAGTCAGTCCTTTCCTCGGCAGACCGACGACCTAGATGGAACAAATCGACGCCGAACCAGCTTCTCATCCTACACCCAAAACCGGAACTCGGCTGGGCCTGACACGCTTGAGGCGGCTAGTGGGTCGAATCTGGGACGCAGCATGTTTTCGTCGGCTCGTAGGTTGATACCATGGAATTCATACGCGGACAGAGATCCAAGCAGTCCAAGACCTGCTTCCATGGCCTCGGCGGACTTACCCCGACCGTCCACCGACAGCGGGTCCATATGGAATCATCCAGCTGACCGAGGAGGCCGGTTTTGGTCACCTGATGGGCGTTGGACATCGCGAACTCCATCTAGGCGACCGTCTCTCCATGGCTCACCTGCGGCTCTCAAGACAACACTAGCGTCGGCCGAGGACGAAATTCTGGACCACGAAGCCTTGAATGATCCCCAAGTCTCGCCGAGCCAGGTTGGCGTCATTGGCAGCAGACCACCAGCCAGCAAGCAGAACTCCGATAACAGGTCCTTATTGGGCAAGAGCCTGAACCCAGCAGCGCCGACATTCTCGATCGGGGGACTATTCCGCAGTAAGGATAAGGAAAGTGACTCGGGCAAAGAAAAGGACAAGTCTAAGTCTAAAGAGAAATCCAAGGACAAGGCCAAAGACAAGGACGCGAAAGAAAAGGGCAAGATCAAGGACATTTTCACACCTAATCTTGACCTGCCGCAAGGCTATGACACGTCTCCAACAGAATCGAGGAAGTCCCGCGATGCGTTTTCTGTCCATACACAGACGTCGGTCACTGAGTCTCGAGAGTCTTTGACGCTCGATCGGGCAGTATCCAACACACTTTCTGACTCCAACACCAAGGATCCGGAGAACGCCTATAGGAAGCTCTTCAGAAAAGGAAGTTCCAGCAAGTTCAGTCTTTCGTCTCGTTTAAGCAAGGACTCGGGTCTCTTTAAGAAAGGGCCTGGGAGCACCACAAACTCGGATAAGAACCTCTCTGCAGATCGATCCAGTTTTGGTGACATCGACGACTTTGGCGAGGAGGGCTTCCTTGGTCGAAGCTATGAAAGCGTTACCAGCAGCCCGTCAGGCCCGGCTAAATCCAGAGACGCTAAGGAAAGCAGAATTTCTGGCTGGAGCAGCAAATTTTCGATGAAGAAGAAAGGCAAGGATAACCGAGAAAGCCTTGAGTTCCACCAGGCTGCTCCTGAGGGCGAGGTTGAGGTAGAAGACAAGAAAGACGAGTAAATCCAACGGATGTGTCGCGATCTGACGGCTTCGGCGATGTAGTGCTTTTCGAAAATCATCAAAAAAAATAAAAGATTCGGCGTTCCAAAAATGATATCGTTTTGATTAGACAACTAAGTGAATGTGAATCCTCAATCTGCTGTCTCTAGATGTAGAGATGTCGAACATCATGTACATTCAATGTATCTGCGGCAGTTCCTATGAAGGTTGCTGCTATCTTGGTAGATCACTTGTATGCGGAAGGTGATGCTGGTTTGGTCCGTGATCTCGTATCAAGTACCTTAGGCGGTGACCCTCGGCGCCGGCAGAAAGTCCAATTGGCAAGCTCCGTCCGAAAGCACGGGTCACAAGTCGCGGGAGAACGAACTAGCTGTAGCTGTAGATTTACCCACCCAAATCGAACCACCCGCGCAAACCTGACGCCTTTGATCTGCCGACGGGACATTGACAAACGAAAAGGGAACAAGCGGAAATCTCTCCCTCTTGTCCTCACACGGAGGACTACCAATCGGTTTCAAAAGTGTTTGCATTTACGAAAGGAACCCCCCACCCCACGAACGAAAGAAACCGACGACCCTCCGACAACGCCGCCCGCTGTTTACCTTCCGATTCCCCCGAACCGACCGACGTACCTCCCACCTCCCCCGATTGATGGCCGCGATGGCGGCTCAGAACCCGACCGACGGTGCCCCCGCGGGCCTGTCGATGCCCACGCGCAATCCGCTCCCCCTCTCGGCCTCCCAGGAGGCGCAGATCAGAGACATTTATCACGCGCGCGTGCGAAACGCCTGCGCACCCGAGATCAAGGGTTCGTTCCGTTCTCGAACTCCTTAGCCCCCCCTCCTCCCCCCTTCTCCCCTTGACTACCTCGTTCGTCCCCAGCCTTCCGTAGGCTTTCTCTCTGGACTATCCCCTTCTCCTCGAGACGTTCCTGCATGGGCCATCGTGGAAGCAAATACTGACAGATTACCCTCCCGAAAAACAGCATTCGCCGACTGCGCCCTCAACCGCACCTTCACCGTCTCCTTCGTCTGCCGCACGCAGCTGCGCGCCATGAACGGTTGCATGAAGGCCCACGCGACGCCGCAGGAGCACGACGCCGCACGCGAGGAGTGGTTCGCCAAGCGCCTCGAGCGGCAAAAGGAGCGCGAGCGGAAAGCCGTCAAGAAGGCGCAGCAGGAGGATTTTATCCGCGAGTGGTGGGGCCTCCCCGAGAAGGATGCCGAGACGAGGAGGAAGGAGGAGGAGAAGATGAGGCTGGCGGAGCGCGTGGGCGGGTATGCCGCGCGGGATCGGAAGAGTGTTGGAGGGGGAGCGTCAACAAGCGGCGGCAGCAGTTGATAGGCGATGAAGTGCGGGTATAAATCTAAACAAGGTGGTGCTCTCGGCGGAAGGAAGTCAACTCCGTGACGAGAGAGAAAGGGGGGCGGGGGGTTGGTTGCGGAGGTCAGATGCATATGTTGGGCGTTCTGGATTCATGGTTTGGGACACCCTGCTCTGTGGCGCGGCCATTCGGCTTGTATAAATACAACTTACACAACATTTCACACCATGTAGACTATATCAATCCAAAAAGGAGGGGCGAATCCCGTAGATGGCGATTATTGTCAGACTGCATCGAGGCCTTCTTGTGGCTGCTCGAGCGTTCAGCTCTAGTAGTGCGAATCATTTCTCAGTTTGCTCACTCATGATCTAAGCTTTTTTGCTCTATGTCGACAATTCATCCCCACCGTCTATTCGGCTTCTGGATATGCCCGTTTTCTTCATAAGATCCTCCACCCCTGAAAACGCCAAATTTCATTCTAGAAACAAAGATATGACCGAATAGGAGTCCACTAGGCCTCCCTCTTCTGGAGCTCGGCGGGGAGCGTGGCGACCTTGTCCTGGAAGAGCTTCTCGGCGCGGGCCCAGACGGAATCATTGCGCCAGTCCTTCAGGTTCAGGAGTGTGGGCAGCAGGTCGTTGCTGAAGGCCTCGCTCTGTCGATGGCGTCAGCTTAACTCATCTTGAGTAGTTTCAACCTAATCAAACTTACAGACTCCCTCGGCAACAAAGATGGAAGGTGGTCAATGGAGATGACGCTCAGGGGCGGGTTATCCAGGCCCTCTACCGGGACGGTAGGCTTGTCAAAGGTGGTGGCCACAGTGTAGACGGGGACTGGAGGTAAATGCAGCGTCAGCATAAGTTACTTGAATATATCGTCGCGAAGTGACTTACTTGGGTTGTGGGGATTGGTTGTGTCAGCAGAAACATCGCAAATCACGCTGAGGTTTCTGCCAGGAGCCTGCAGAGACTCGCGGTTGAGGAAAGCTATAAATGCATGGTCAGCTTCGGTTTATGAAACGACCCCTTTGGCTGGTAACCCTTGTTCAACTCTTGGCGAGCTGAAATTGTCGCTTTCGTTTAAGGGATCATGCCAACGGATGCGGGATACCGAGTAATGGGAAGGTACATACGAGGTATAGGTTGGCTATGGCAGGCGTACACGTTAGTACTGAAGCTCGCGTTTTGAAGCTAGTCCCGAAGAAACGTACCTGAGGTAAATGCAGTTGACAAAAATGTCGGCGTTCGTGATCTCCTCGTAGGGGCCGGGCTTCTTGGTCTCTTCGATATCCTACAGGTCTATATTAGCGCGAGTTGCAGTGACGAGAGTTTGACAATGACTTACCCAACGGATGATGTCCTCGACACCGGCTCTCTTGGCCATTTCAACAGCACCAGAGCCGCAACGACCAAGAGCACCGATCACGATGACTCTGGGCTTGCGTCCAGCCTTGGCAATGCCTTCGGCCAAGGCCTTCTTGACATCTACAATGAGAGCCTCCTCATTGGGATATGCCTCGACGGCGGGGAATGGCTCGCCGGGGTGAGTGAGCTGCCATGCCCAATTCTCAAGAGCCAGAGCCGCGCCGGAGAAGCCAGCGTGGAAACCAAAAGCTGCGACTCTACGACCGGACTCGTTTGCCAAGAATTCCAAGTCGAGAAGAGTACCGCCGCCACGAGGGAAACGACCGAGGGTCTTCTCCCAACCACCTTGGTTCTGTGCCTTGATCAGCGAGCTCTTCGGAATTGTCAAGCTCGAATGGGGCCTTTATACCTTGTAGACGTGGAGGAAGGTGACGTGAACGTGCTTGAGAGGGAAGTCTTTCTCCTCGATCTCCTTGAGACCAACGATGATCACGTCCTCTGGGGCTGACTCCCAGGAATATTCCGGCACAAGACTCGCGCCGGCGGCTTCGAATTCGGCATCGTCAAAGATGCGGACCTGAGATTCTCGAGTCAATGTTCCATTCTGTACGAACGAGGGATATTGGACCGATGAAAACGTACAGGGCTCCTTTCTACTCTGACCTCGTAACCGGCCTCGACTAGCTTGCGAGTTGTGGTAGGTGTGAGTGCGCTCCTATGTTCCAAGGGCTGACACCATCTGTTAGCTGTGTCTGGACACTCGGTGTCAATGTGAGGTGCTACGGTCTTTACACACCTTGGTCTCGGATCGGAGGTGAAGGATCGTATGGGCCATATTTGCGACTTCGATTGAGTTGTTTGCAGTTACAATTGATTGCTGTTGTTGGAGAGAAAGCTACGAAAGTTCGAGGCGGGAAGGTTGAAGTTGCTGAAAGTTGGGTGTGGGGGCAATGACTCCAAAACATCCCACGTTAAGGTTGTGTGTGACTCCTCTGCCGGACCTACTACTAGGGAACTGATTTATTTCACCGCTTATCGGAGCGCGGGGAACCTTAGGTGTGTACTGTACCTCAATACCTCAGTGGGACATGGGATGGCAGTTGCGAGTGAACCCAAATTCTTCTCTTTCTCTGGTCATTTAGGCGAATGAAAATTCGACCTCCAACAGCTGCGAATTTTTAATTTTTCCCTATTTGCGAATTCCACCACTCACGCAGCAGCGGATGACGCCATGCAGGTACCGACCGACTGAAGCTGCACTGTCGTCTCAAACGTCCTTCCACACTTTCAGTCAGGTCATCAATTAGCCAATCAGACGACTTCACCGATATCGCTCGACGTTCATCCCGCAATGCGTTCAACGTGGTTGGATGACCGTGCATATCGGCTTCTCGTTGACACAATGTTGATCGTTGCCTACTGAATCTCTTTACTGATGTTTCAGCATGGCATTTACATGTTTACAGTCGCGGCATGGCCTTCATTTCCCCCAACAACTCAAGGACACCCTCAGCGACTCCCCAGGACATTTCGAATCCCCTGCCTCCAAGACCATAAGCATGGATTATGGTGTACTTATCACCCGCTTCCTCTCTCTCCAACCTCATACCGCCCTTCCGAGTCGGCCGTCGACCCACGACATCTTTGAGAATACGGTACTCTCCCCAGTCCCGTAAAATCTGAGGATATGTGGCAGCAAAACTTTTGAGGAGCTTTTCCCGCACCTCCAGTGACGGTTCAGTGTCCCAATTGTCGGGTTCCTTTGTGCCTCCAACGATCGTGCCGCCATCGAAGTTTCGAGGCACACAAAATGTCCAGGAACCATCGGCATTCTGCCGTGTTACTGTTGCTGGGCTGAAATTGGCTACAGCGCATGTTTGACCTGAAGAACTTTCTTAGCAACGTCATCGCATCAGCTAAGGCATGAGCGGCCATCATACCTCTGGTGATGAACGAGTTTTTGTCGCCAAATCCAAAGCCAGAGCAGTTGACAACATGGTGCACATTCGACAGCTCTTTCATTGAGAAAGCCTCCCGGAGATCATTGATTTCTCTGCGAAGGACTTGTCCGCCACCCCATGAGAATTTCCGGAGGAGGAACGAACAGTAGACCATGGGGTTCACACACCATGTCTTGTACTCACATCCCCACTTCACCTTGTCGTCTGGGAATTCGCTCGGACTCATGAGCCGGAATTCTACCAGTCCCAAGCTCTTCGCCTTATCCTCTGTGAGAGCTTGATAATGTAATGGAGGATCCTCAAGGTACTCAATCCCAGGCATGAACGTGATTCCAGCTTCGGGATTGCTCTTTGCGAGGGACTCCATATGCCGGAATGTTCTGAGAGCCATCGCATGATCCCGCTTTTCCATCTCGTTGACGGGTATGACCCAGCGGTTGTGAGCACCGCCCCATTGCGAGGTGTAGTTGATCGAAGCTTTGCTGTCAACCGTCTCAAACGGACTCGGGAATTCCTTGGCCACAATCACTACTTTGTGGCCATCCTGCTGGAGCCTTACGGCGGTGCTCAATCCGATCACGCCGGCTCTGTCTCGTGTTAGCGGCCGCACAAACTTGAAGAAGACGCGGTTTGTTTAGGTACCCAAGTACTACGATCTGACTCATCTCGCTAGTGGTGCAGCTGGATGTTGGAAGAAGGGCATGCGTCGGTCATCAATATGCCTAATATCAAAAAATCTTGAGTAGTTTCAAGACAACAACACGGAGCGAAATCGAGCTTCTCGGAAGCCGGGTCCACCATCAGTTTTAAATGCGCCGACCATCGGAGACATTTTCGGCGACGCCCGGCCCCAGAAAGGGCGTCCGAGCCCGGGGACTCCATTCGAGAGGCCGATGGAACTCTAACCAGGAAGCCGACCACGGCCGGTCTTTTGCCCGATCGCCTTCGCCTTCGCCTTCTTTCACCCACAGATGCTTCTCGTCAATCGGCCAGTCGTACGCTGATAAAACTTTGCTTCTAGCGCATCTGCCGTTGGAGAAACTTTTTACGCGTTCAACTTCACCCATGTCCGTCTCGTCACTTAACAAGACGCAAGACCGAAACGCAGAAGATGTCTCACGGTTAGGCCCATGACTTCTTGGACCGCATAGTTGACCTTTGTCGAGACAAATATGGCTCGATGATGCTTTTTTTGAGCCCACGTGGAACGTGGACATGCCCTTCGAGCCCTTCCCACACGATCGGCGGACGCGAGGTGCTTCAACGGCCCAGCCAGGTAGCCACCAAATTTTCTCCCGCGTTACATTCTCGCTTCCATGCCCGAAGGCCTGCACCGTCGGCATTGTCGCAAATCCCCAGGGCCCAAGGCGGTCAGGGTTCAGGAGATCATTGATGGCACCAATTTAGATGGCTTAGCCAATGGCGCGACTCTCCCGTCGAACCAACCCCGCGCGCCTGTCTCTCACCACCCTGGTCTCGGCGCCTAGAATGCAGTGTGATGGTCGGGCTGATTGGCCCAGTCCGCACCTTTCACAATCTATTTTCGTCTACGCTCTCGACAAATCCTCCTTCCCGGCCCCTCCATCCTCCTTTGGCTTCACCCACTCATCGCGGCCCGTCCTGTCGAAAGCCAGCGCTTACCAGGCCTGCCCGTGGGTGACCTGCCGCCTGTACCACAGTAGTGCCGCTGTTTCAAAGGGGAGGTGAGTACGGACAATTCGTATATACACTCTCTTGGTATCGATGAGAGTCGTATGTTTGCACGGCTTTCTCTTTCTTTCATCTGGTTGTCTACCTAGTACTACAATAATAAACGAAGTTGTGTTTGTTGTTTGGTGCCAGTGAGTTGATATCATGCATCGGTAGCAGCTGGACTACCTGTTCTACATTCCTTTCAGGCCATCCCCCCCATATTTTGTGACCGGATTTGAATATCATTAATACGCTGGGGGAAACCAACAACGTTCGATTCGAGGCCCCCTCCCCCCCCCAAGCACAGCCCAGCATGTCGGCCCAGCCACCCTCTGGAGGGTATTCACTCTTCCCGAACCCCAACTCCAAGCCCCCAACGATACGGAGGCCGGCATCTCGAACTCGAAGATCAGAATCGCGTGAGCGGCCCCGGGCTGTGTCTCCCGACAGCGCTCACCACATCGATCAGACGTCTCCACCACGTCACGGCAGACAGACGCCGCAGCAGAGAGTACAAACACCGGTTGAGCGATCGGAAACTCCACAGAGCCTACGACAGGCTCCATCAGGTGAACAGCAGCAGCCCTCGCCGCGTAGTCGCGAGCTGCCGGCCCTACCCCCGGCGTCCGCGACGGAGGCATCGCCCATCCAACGGCCCCCTCCTATCGCCGACGCCCCGCCCCGATCAGATACTGCTTTCTCACAAGCACAAACACTGGTACGGAATAATAGCACTCGGTCCCGAAGCTCGATAGCAAAGCTTCCATTTCCTGAGGAGCCGTCGTCATCTTCACAAGAGCAACCTACTCTGCGATCCATCTTCCCTCAGTATAACCCGGAGAGGCCTCTCAACGAGCAAGACTACTTTCCCACACAAACAAGCCCAACCCACATCCCGCGGGCTGTGATTAATCGGACAACATGGTATCCGAATCCTCAGGGAGGTGAAGGCCAAAATGATCAGCACAGAAGTCCTCCTATGAGGAGTCCGCTGAGTGGAGGCTCGGCACAAAGATGGCCAAGGAGACAGATTGAGCCTCCAATCATCCCAAATGTCTCATCGAATGAGCATATGAAGAGTTTATGGAAGGTCTGCAACGGCTGGAAAGCACCTCCCTCAGAAGGCAGAGTGTACTGCATGAAGTTATCCCAGGAGAAGGATGCCCCCGTATACACACTCTCTTCAACGTCACAGCCATTCTACAACATTCGGCTCGATCCCACTTCCGCATCAGCATACGTCACCCTCAGCCGCCACGACCCTGTCAAGGTGTACAAGGCCCCGAACCCCATGGCAAGCTCGTCAGCGAGCAGTATCCTCTCCGGTGTCGTCGGTCACAAGGACAACGGCAAGGGCGCCGAGAGCAAACACTGGCAGGAAGTCCTCACAACGACTCTGGAAGAGGAGTCCCGCAAGCACCCGCCCAACGACGGCCTCGTCGCGCTCCTCTACCCCCTGGCGGCCGCCAAGATGGCCCTCGACAAGCCGGACGACATGAACGCCATCATGACGGCGGAGACGGAGTGCGCCCGCCTCGTCTGGGACGAAGACTCTGGCTCGCACTTCCTCGTCCACCCGGCCCTCGCGACCCCCTTCTGCGTCACCATTGAGCGCTCGCCAGCCTGGAGCCGGGTCGAGTACACCCTCGAGCACCATGAGTCGCCGCAGCACCTCGCCAAGCTGACGCGCGACGGCACGGGCGGCGGGTACCTCGAGATCGACACCGCCATCGCCGCAAAGATTGACAGCTTCTTCATCGTCGACGTAGCCGTAACGGCGCTGATGCTCGTCGCGGCGGCCGACGAGAAGAACACCAAGATCGAGACCTTTGAGCCACCCCCGGCGCCGCGCGAACCCCTCGGCGGCGGCGAGCGCTGGTTGAGCAAGAGGGAGGAGAAGAAGAGGGCCGCGGCGGCCGCGCGCAGGGGTAAGATGGAAGAGTTCGAGATCGACGTCGAGAGCCAGGACAGCAGCTTCGCGAAGCTAGAGCAGGTTGGTAAGGAAACGCGCGACAGGCTTCCTTGGCCTTTAAGAGCGCTGTTCAAGGTCGTGGCTGGGCTGTTCAAGTGTCTCGTGTGGTTGCTGACGATGGGCTTCAAAGCCCTGGCTGCCGTTGTCAAGGGGCTTGCTAGGTGTGTCGGTGTCAAGCCCAAGTGAACCACACCAAAAAAGGGATGAATACGGGAATGACAGGGAAGTAAATGAGATACCACTTTTGTTGATGCATAGTTCTGGTCTGGTTTGTCTCTCACGGTTCAAGGGTTTGATGGATTAATGGGAATTTCCTTATGAGACCCTATCCGGGAAAAGGATAGGGGAGCGATGATATTCCTTCTTTGTACATGTAGATCTATACTCCGGGGATCCTTGGGTATCGCATGACGACGTTTCTGAGCATATGGGTCGTCTTTTTTCCATAGCCGCTCAGATGTTAGGATTGAAATGAAGACACGAGAAAAACAAACACCACCAATCGCAACCATGCTTTTTGTTCGCCAACCGTTTTTGAAAGACGCTGAAACGGGAATTCTTCACCTCTTGCGTGCCCGGACCATAATCTTCTTGCCCTTCCTTGTCGTGCCGCCCGAGGTCGCAGTCTTGGCCATCTTCGCCCGCTGTATCTCGAGACCCTCCTCGGCCTTGGTCAAGACTTTGAGCTTTTTCTTCGCATTTTGTAGATGCAGCCGTAACCGCGCCAGAGTCTTTTCCCTCTGTTCTGCGGCATCTTCGTCGGCATCTCCCTTGGTATCGTCGAACCCTTCGAATTCGTCCTCGTCTTCGCCTTCTTCGTCGTCCAGTTCCATCGCCTCCTTCTCAGCGGCCTTGGCCTTGGCCTCCGCCTCCGCAGCATCCAAGAAAACGATCTTTCTCGGTCCGGTAGGTTTCCTGGCAACTTCGTCGTCGTCACTATCGTCGTCTACGTCGTCATCGTTGTGGTTCGCCGCATCGATGCCGCCGATCAGGATAATCTGTTCTTCAAGACGCTTCACCTCCTTCGAGATGACGTTGCGCATGGTGCGCACGTAGCCGACGTCTTGCGTCTTGAGCAACCGCACCGTGTCCATGTCCATGGCCTTGTTGCCGCGGTCGCCAGCGACGGTGCCAGACCACTTTCTGCCATCCTTGAGGCGCGAACCCATGGAGTTGCGGCTGAGCATGCCAAAGTAAAACTCATCTTCGTTTCGGTCGGCAGCCTTTTCGCGCAGGGATTTGATGGTGGCCTTCTTCTTGTTGTAGTCCTTGGCACGGAGGGAGTAATCCTGTAGGCGGAAAACGGGCATTTAGTAACCATCTCGATGATGACGAGTGTTGCAGAGCGTCCCGAACAAACCTTGTGCTTTTCGAGGAGGCCGAAACGTTGGCGCTCCAAAGGTTGAGCACGCTCCCTGTGGGAGCGACGCTGGACGGCGTTGCGCATAGAAGACATGATTGTTTGGTGGCCGGGCGAGCAATCAATGGTTCTTCGCAAAAATGAAAATGAAAAAAGCTCGTTGAACGACCCCCCGGAGGCGACGAAAGTGCACGAACAATCCTGGGCCTGAGAGGTGGGATGCGGCAGAAATTTAAAAACTTTAGGCGGTCAAGCAAAGCTCCAGCCACAGGTCCTGCAAGATGTGGCTCGCGGGGATGGGTCCCATCCGGATTTGCTTCCGTCACGACTCACAGATCAGTCCAAAAGCCCAAAAAGGTCGGCCCGGTGGGGTAGTCCACTGTCTCAGATTCCCGCGGGATCGCCGTTTTCAGCCACTCCCCACACTCGTCTTCCTTCCCACTGTGCTACTCTCCACTGCTCTGTGCCTTCGGCCGACGTCAACTAATACCTACCTAGATACGGACCTTAAGTTCAGTCAGCTTTCCCAAATCCACGTTCCTTGAAACACGTCAGGTGCCTTGAAACAACGCGCTCCTGTTGGCTTGAACCGTCACATCGACCTAGTCAGAATGCAACTCGTGGTGGGCATCCTATCAAGGTTTAAGGCAGTTGGAATGGCACATGTATCCGGCCTTAAAAAACTAGTCAACGATTTATAATGACATGGGTGTTCTTCCCTTAGGATTCTTTCCTTTTCAATCGCTGTCTCTGCCGGAAGCATTTTGTGTAACGCTTAGGGAGAACATTCGCATGTCATTCGCGGAGTTGACACATGCTATTTGCCTTAGTCTCGATCTTAGCCAAACGTCATTCCAGTTCGATCCTGTCTACTCAGCCACCTAAGGGAAAGAGGTCCAATCGCGTGTTAGCCCACCATATGGCCATCGATTGAGTCGTTAACAGTCCGAGTGATCTATCCTCTACAGACTGCCCCCCCCCCCCCCCCCCCCCCCCCCCCCCCCCCCCCCCCCCCCCCCCCCCCCCCCCCCCCCCCACCCCCCCACCCACCCCCCCGCCCCCCCGCACCCCTGCCAACTGCTTTGCACGGACAATCCAAGAACGAGTAAAGCACAAAATCATGGTCACCCCTCGTGTTTCATGGAAGGGGACGACGCACCAGAGAGGCAGCAGACCTTCGAGACGTCGAGCGCCGCAAGAAGCAAAGGAGCTCCGATCCACAAAGTCCTCCCACGGTCGATATCCGAGTGACGCCAGAGCTCATACTACAAAATGTCTGCCGCACCTATTTTCCCTTCCCCCCCTTGGTCCTCTATATGTCACTCCTGCCTCGCCTTTGTCCGTTTTCCGTCCAAGATGGTCGCCAAATTTCAATTGCGAAACCACTCCCCGCCGACCTACCGGGTGCTAGCACTGCTCGTCGTCTTTGTGGTGCTTTCTGTTCTACTACTACGTGATGATGCGGTACATCTTGAGGACGTCCCTAGCAGCAACGATGATATCGTCAAGCCCATTAAGACAAGCTATGACTGGTCTGCACACCCGCAAAAGCATCCAGTTCCTTTGGCTGAGATGACAAGGCTCCCCAACGGCCAACCCCTCGCGCTTCCAAAGATTCAATACGAGTTCGCTGCGGACCGTTCAGACAGCCTGAAGAAGAGAGGTATCGGCCTCGATATCGGGCTCATGGCGTCCCGCCGCAATGAAGTACGCAACGCCTTCAAGAAGAGTTGGCGTTCATACACTAGGCACGCCTGGGGTTATGATGAATTGCAGCCCCTTTCATTGAGGGGCAAGAACCGCTACAACGGATGGGGTGCCACTCTGGTTGACTCCCTCGACACTCTTTGGTTGATGGGCATGTACGACGACTTCAACGACGTCGTCCAGTACATCAGCACAATTGACTGGAATAACGCAACCGAGACGAGATGCAACATCTTTGAGACGAACGTCCGGTACCTTGGTGGACTCTTATCCGCATACGATCTTAGCGAGGAGCAGATTCTCCTGGACAAGGCCGTCGAGCTCGCCAACATGCTCTATGCGGCATTCGACACACCGAATCGCTTCCCACCTTACAGCTTCAGCTTCGAGGAGCTCAGAGCCGGGAAAATCTTACCCGACCCCTACCAGAGCTCGGCCTCTATTGGAAGCATGTCTCTAGAATTCACCAGACTCGCGCAGTTGACCGGGGACTTCAAGTTCTTCGACGCCATCGAGCGCATCAAGAAGGCCTTCGACCGTATCCAAGACGAGACGCTGCTCCCTGGCATGTGGCCAAATTTTATCAACGTCCGCGACGACTTCCAGACCACAAACAACGTCTTCAAGCTCGGCGGAGACGGCGATTCGCTCTACGAGTACCTCCCCAAGATGCATGTCCTGCTCGGCGGCCTGGACAATGCCTACGAGAAGATGTACAGAGGCGTAGCGAAAGCGACCAAGGCCCACCTGCTGTACCGTCCCATGACGCCGCAACAGGACGACATCTTGCTTCTGGGCACTGCGATCGTCAACGAGAAGCTCCGAAAGATTGACCAACTTTCCCAGCTCGAGCACCTATCCTGCTTCGCCGGCGGCATGTTCGCCATGGCCGGCAAGCTCTTTGATATCCCCGACGACGTGGACCTCGGCGACAGGCTCACGCGCGGGTGCGCCTGGGCGTACAAGTCCTTCAAGAGCGGTCTCATGCCGGAGAAGTCTCAGGTCGTCAAGTGCGACACCGTGGACATCTGCAAGTGGGACGAGCAGAAGTGGGTTGCGCAAAGCAGCCACCATGCGCCTAGGGGATTCTGGCGCGTCGACGACGCTCATTACAACCTGCGACCCGAGGCCATCGAGAGTCTCTTTGTGCTATACCGGGTCACAGGCAAGGCGGACCTGTTGGACATGGCGTGGGACATGTTTGAGGCCGTCCAGAAGTCGACTCAGACAGACGACGCGCACGCCGTCGTTGTTGATGTGACGTATAACCAGTCGCGGCAGGAAGATACCATGGAGAGCTTCTTCTTCGCTGAGACGTTGAAGTACTTTTACCTCATCTTCTCAGACCCGGAACTAATGAGCTTGGATGAGTGGGTTTTCAACACGGAGGCTCACCCTTTCAAAAGGCCGACGAAGTCTTGAACCAAGAGCATTTTTCACGATTTTAAAGAGGGAAGGCAACATTGAACCAATTAGTAATATTAATAGGCGCTACCTTGAGAGAGATACCAAGAGACATGTTATAGACATCCAGCACCCGATGATGACTTCTAGTCTACATTGGATGATACCACAGATATCTCAGAGCCATCGATACCCGCAGCGCACGAGTGGGGGATGTTGGATAGTACCCTGGAGTCGAGGAGTTATTCTACCTGAGTAAGCGTCAAATCGAATTTGATCTAAATTTTGAAGATGGCGTGTGAGCATTCTCCGTGATTGTGATTGGGGGCGATTAACTAATGGATCAAGATTCAAGAATGGGCAGAGTAGCTTCGACGGCAATGCACTATTCTTCCCTATTAACAGGGAGACTTCATACGCCCGCGATGTCACTTCCCTTTTCTTTGATGACTTTTTTGTCCACGCAGCATGGTCACACAAGAACATCTACATTCCAATTCGGCTCGATCGCAAAAATCTACCGCCCTTTATATGTTACACAACCACTTCCTTGTAGGCTCGTTTATAGACGTTTGAAGGTTCTAAGTTTTCTGCCATGTGCCTAGCTTAGACTCCACCATTGTCTCTCCTTAAACATAGCCCGTAAGATACCCCTTACATTTCGGCCCGGGGTGGCCTGCCGTTCCCCCTGCCAAGGGAGTGATGCCGCCTCCATAGGAAACGTTTCTCGGCTTCTTGGTCTTTAGTAGCCGACATTCCGGCGCTACCTGTGGCGCCAAAACTTCATTCAGCTATGTCTTGTGCGAGCCTGCCCTGTGGCTTGTGAATGTCTGCCTAAACGTATTCTTCGTCCTGGGATATTCATGAAAACTGGAACCTGCGTGTGCTGCCAGTAAAGGTGGAGGAGTTTGGCACTTGATGGGCGTTTATGTGATAGGCTGACAGACTATTCTAACTTCCAGCTTTTAACTTTGGAGGTACGGCTTCGATGAGCAGCGAGAACTACCGTTGAGGATGCGCAACTAATCTCGGTAGCTGTATCGGACTGAAGTCCTGCGTCGGCAGACAACGGGCGCAAAATCACGCCGGGCTTCTTCCCCCTAGGGCCACCGGCTACCTGTATTCTTCGCTCATTTTGCTGATAGACAGGCACAGAGGGTGATAAGCAGCTCCAGTAGGGTGGTTGGGTAGTGGTGTGGTTCTGGCACAGTGGACTTCCAGTTCGGGTCAAAATATCACCCTGTATTTGAACGTGGACTGGATTGTCGAGGCGCAATCCAAGCAGGCTTGATGTCTGTTGCCTGCTCAAGCACCTGAATGTGGATGGCCCCAGGGGATTGCTTCTCATTGAACCTATCTGGCAACGTGACGGAAGCTACAATTGGAGCTTTCTGGGATGCCAAAAACCTCGGTCTCTGAAGTCGGGTGAGAGCAGGCCAGTAGCGTAAGTATAGTAGTCATGGATATGTGTCTGTCAAAAATTACGCGCGGGGTTTTTGTGAAGTCTCTATCCGTACATCCTCGCAAATAAAAGTCATATGGCTTGCTGAATCCTGCTAGATTGAAAATTTGGGTAGACAATCCTGATGTGACATGGAGCATTCAACATAGCAAAGTTAGCATCCTCCTCCTTTGCCACTTCTTTTTTGTAATTGACGGATGATAAGGGTGAAGTGAGCATTGGTAACCGAGCTATTCGTAAATGATGGGTTCTAGGCATTGCGGGAAGTCTCCGATCTGTAGACTGAATTCTTCATCTGCCTCCTGGCGGGTATAATGTACTAGGAGTTTGTGGTAGCTAGGCGTGTTAGGATCGTAACGACCCGTGAAACGCTGTGACTCTGTGAATCCGTCGGTGTTCGCGGAGGCGGGGCTCTTTTTTGTCTAGAAGGGACGGTTTCGGCAGAAGTTAAGCATTTTGACAACGATGTCATACCCGTGTGCTACATGGAACTTCCGTCGAGGCTCCCAATGGTTGAAGAGGGGTCTTTTTGATTGCGCAATGGCACCAGGTTCTACACTGTGGGACCTACCTTGGGATAGTAAGGATTACTGGTGAGACGCCATGACAGAGAACACACCGCAATGAAAAGAATAAGACGGCAATCACTGGAAACATCCGTCCAATGAGAAAGTCGCACTGGAAGGAGGCGACGAAGTAAATTGGACTCAGATGTTGAGGTAGCTGGAAGAGGGGAATACCAAAGGGGAATACAGGATGATACTTATATCTTGCTTTACGCTCCTGACCATAGTTGAGCATCACGCCCCCCGAATAGCTAGTGGCACCAATTCGATGAAGGATATTGTAGAACTTTAAACAGTCGGCGGTTGAATCGGATGAGTAGATCAATCTGGGAGGCAAGACAATTCAAATAAGAGTGTGCCAAGGTTGTCATGCTGTGTTAGAAGGCTGCCACTGGTGTTGGTTGATTGTTCGGGGCAGAAGGTAAGTGGGCGCAAATAGGAACGAGGCACTTGGGGTTAGGGTCACTAGATTCAAACATATTGATTACAGAGGGTGCTGACAGCGTGATTCTGTTGCCACTGGGCACACTGAAATTACGGAGGATTGAAAGAGGGCAATGCAGCATCACCGTGTCACGTAATCATGTTGATCCCACCATTGGTGTAACAACTCTTCAAAGGTGTCCCGCACAAACTTTTTGCCAGGGGATTTCGACCGTGAGCCCGCGGTCGTTCATATCATGTAAAGCTCATTGCTATACGGTATTTGCAACTTTTCGCTGTATATCAGACGCAGAAGCTCCCTTCGTCCTCGAATTCAAAGGCCAGAAACTAGGGCATATCACCAAGTTTTCGCGCCCTCTCTAAATGCGTTCCTCCTCGTCTCGACAAGGTCGTGTATGTAGCAGGTCTCTGTTCCATTTTTGTAATCACATCAAGTCCTCCTCCTCGTCCTCAGCAACCTCCTCCTCGTCCTGCTTGAAGATCGCCTTCTCCGCCAGCGCCAGCGTCTGCCGTACCGGCAAGCCAACCACGTTATCAAAGTTGCCCTCGATTTTCTCAACGAGCAACATGCCGCCCATACCCTGAACCGCGTACCCACCCGCCTTATCCGCGCCTTCTCTTGTTTTGACGTAGGCTTCAATGACATCGTCTGGTAAGCCATTGGACTCCTGCGCAAAGTACACCTTGGTCTCCTCTGTATGCGTGGCGATCTCGTAGCCCGGCGATCTTGCGTCCTCCCTCGGCGCGACGACGCACACCGCAGTAAGGACTCTGTGCACGCGGGTGTCCCTCAGGTGTCGCAGCATCTTGATGTGCTCGGCCTCGCTCCGGGGCTTCTCCAGCACGCGGCCGTCGCGGGTGACGATGACGGTGTCGGCGGCGATGACGACGTCTGGATCCGGGATCGAGGCGAGGTGCGTCTGCAAGGCCGTCTCGTACACGTCGAGACACTTTTGGCGGGCCGTCGCGGAGACGTACTCGTAGGGTCCGTAGGCCGACTTGTCAAGGTCCTCGGGTTTCGTCGAGGGTGTGATTTCAAGGTCCTTGAGGCCGATCTGGGCGAGGAGGGCGCGCCGCCGCGGGGAGGCGGAGGCGAGGATGACGCGCTTGGATTTGAGGTAGGAGAGGATGGGGAGGTTGAGGGGGAGCGGCGCACGCGGGCCGCCGGGACCACCGGTAGCGGCGGAGGGCGCCCGTGGCCGGGTGAGTTGTTCGGTGGCCTTCGTGTAATCCGGTGGAGGGTCGGATGAGATCTTTACGTCGGCCATGGTGGTGTATGCAGAGAGTGAAGATTGATTGGCGCGGAATTTGGACGAGACTCGGAGTGAATTGGGAAGGTTTTTGGGATCTTGTTCTGTTCTCTTGAGAGTGAAATGTTAGGATGTGAATCGAAGACACAGCTATCGGAAAGAAAGGAGGTGCAGCGCATTGTGGGCCGGCAGCTGTAGAATTTCTGGATGAGCAATCAATCCCGATGCCAATGAGGTCACACAAGCCTGGGACGTGCCAACCCCGCCAGATCCACGCGATTGATTTCTTGGGTCTCTTATATTAGGTGCCTACCTAGGTACCTATCTTACCTGAGGCCCGTCGGCTTATCTTATCTGCCGACCTTATTCCCCCAAGGTAAGGAGCGTTGGGCGACAGGTTCAGCTCCTGCGGCGGCGGTGCCAGCCAGCCCTGCGGGCGGAAACAAACGTGCTGCAGGAACCTTACCGTACAGGGGTGGCTTCTGCGAATCCCGCACGGAGGAAGCTGGAGGGGATCTGATCTCAGAGGACATCCCGCTTCGGTGCGAAACGGCATGTGATCGTGCGAAACACAAACACCCTCACACATACAAACTCACATATACCCCATTCTCCTCTCCTGCCATCGTCAAGCCTAACAAAAGGTTTCGACAGCTTGGTCATTCATGAATCGCTTTCACTTATACTACCACCTCGTACTTTGCATACGCGCCTGTAGAAATCGAACGTACCCGCGCCATGTCTTCTCCAAATAAGTCCAATTCCCCTTCCGCTGCCGCGGATGCCGAGCAACCTGAAGAGAAGCCGCGCCTGACCGAGGCGGAAAAGAAGCAAAATCATATCGCGTCTGGTACGTCAAGTTCCCTTTTGAAGGACAAGACTCTGAAAGCTTTTACTCTCTTGCGCACGCGTTGAAGACCCCGCCCTTTGGCGCATTCACCACGCGGAATCGCTAACACGTGAGTCGCTGCAGAGCAAAAGCGACGTCAGGCCATCCGCGAGGGGTTCGATCGCCTGACGGAACTGGTTCCCGGTCTTGAAGGCCAGGGCCGTTCCGAGGGTCTCGTGCTGAAAAAGACGGTGGAGTTCATGAAGGAGCAGCTCAGGCAGCGTCAGGAATTGGTCGAGCGCATTGAGAGTTCTGGCGGCGAGGTCGACGAAAAGTACAAGCGGTGAGTGAGCCCGGTCGATGAGAAGCGACTCATGTCAACGTGGTACGCTCAATTACTGATGGCTGTCATAGACCGCTATTTCACCAGCAGGCGAACAGCACTTCCAACAGGACCAGGTGATATAACGGGAAAGCGGTGTTGCTGATTTATTCGATGTGATTTTCCCAGGGAGTTGAGGATTACAGGTGAAGCGATACCATGGGAACGGAGTGGGGATGGCGACACATCCTTGGATGGGTGTAAAGGACGACTAATAATGCTGAAGGCATGGCCTGCGTTCATCATGACTATAATACAAACCGCTAAGCTGGCGCTGTTGTAGCGGTAGTGTACATTTCTACATCTGTTATACACGGGGCGCGAAACATCTACTGGTACGTCGCCACTTTTTCCTGCATCTTCTCTAGCAAAGCAAGAGGATCCATCTGCTGCCGGGCCCCCTTCGCGGCGCCGCTACCTCCCGAGCTGTCTGGGCCGTCAGTCATGTCGACGGTCACTTGCTTCGCCGCAACATCGCCCTTGCCCACTACCAAGATGAAGCCGGGCTGTTTCTCCCGAGCTTCCTTGAGCTTTTTCGCCAGCGACCGTGCGCTGGAGTCGATCTCGACCGCGAAGCCCGTAGGACGCGGCTGTCGCGGGTTCCTCGGGTCACGCACGCGGTCGTGGCCCGTCAGGATATCCTTGACCTCCGATGCCCAGCTCATCACCGGCTCCGTATCATTGATGGTCAGGATAACGCACTGACGCGGGTTGAGCCAGAACGGCCACTTGCCCTTGTATTCCTCAATCAGCAGCGCCATCAGACGCTCGACGGACCCCAAGATGGCCCGGTGGATCATCACGGGAGGCACGGGTCCGTACGTTTCGAGGTCCGCTGCGTCAGCCGTGTCCAGCGGCAGGCCCTGCGCCTCCAATTGCGGCGCCGGCGCTTGGTACTCAAGGTTGAACCTCTGGGGGAGCTGGAAGTCGAGCTGGATCGTACCGGCCTGGTGCGACTTGCCGTGAGAATCGTGCAGCATTACATCGATCTTGGGGCCGTAGAAGGCGCCGTCGCCCTCCTTGACGGTGTATTTCAGGCCGGCCTGCTCCAGCGCGTCGCGCAGCTGTGACTCGGCCCGCGCCCACTCGGCGTCGGTTCCAATGTAGTGGTCCGCCGGCCGGGTCGAGAGCGCGAAATCAAACTGCTCCAACCCGAGCGCGCCGTAGACCGTCTTCATGAAGTCGAGCGTCTTGAAAACCTCGTCCTGAATCTGTATCGGCCGGCAAAAGACGTGGCCGTCGTCCTGGTGGAAGCGGCGCACGCGCGTCAGGCCGCTGAGGGCGCCCGAGATCTCGTTACGGTGAAGCGGGCTGAAGTCGGCGTAGCGGATAGGCAGGTCGCGGTAGCTCCGGTTCTTGGAGGCGAAGATAAGACAGTGCCCCGGGCAGTTCATGGGCTTGAGGCCGTAATCGTCGTCCTCGCCCTCGGTCAGCCTGGATTCCTCGCCGGTGCGGGCAGCGCTCTCGCTGTCGTGGCTGCCACAGCAGCTCGCCTTCTCCTCGGGCGCGCGTGCGCGGCTTGTGACGGTATACATGTCGTCGGCATAGTTTTGTAGATGGCCCGACACCTCCCACAGAGACTTTTTGTAAATGTTTGGCGTGATGACCTCGTCGAACCCGTAGTGGACGTACTGCCGTCGTAAGAAATCCACCAGTCGGTTGAAGATTCGTGTGCCGTTCGGAAGGAAAATGGGCGAGCCGGGGCTGTAGAGGGAGGAGGTGAAGAGCTCTTGCTGGACGCCGAGCTTTCGGTGGTCGGGGAGGTCATCTTCGGCGGCCGCCGCAGCAGGTTTCTTGTCGGAGTACCATCGCCCTGGGAAGCATTGAGATCTCAGTGCCGGGCTTCGGAGGCCCGATACCGCACGGAAGGCCGGTCGGAAAGGCCGTGCGGGAAGCATTGCGTGGATTGCTGGCAATCGGAGAGTTATGTCACTTGGCTTGAAGATCTTGAGAAGCGACTCGAATTTGTGATGCAAGGATCCCGAGAGCTTGCACACCAAAGAGGATTAGCGCCAATTATGCCGGGAGCTTTGCAGGGTCTGCACGGGCAGGAGCTGTTTCATTGGACCATGACCCGTCATCCGTCGACTACTACGTACGTACATCGCTGCTATCCGAACAACTGTCTAACTTCCGGTCCATCTCAACGGAAGAATCGGGGGGAGATGATCACGGATTCTCGGATTGGAACTGATCAATGCCACCTTGCGCTCTTCAAGGCTCTTCAAGACCATCAAATGGATACCCCGGGGCTTAGGGATTTAGGGTTATCCTCCATCTGGATGCACCTATTCGGAAATTCATTTCGGCCGGGGAGTTAGGATTTATGGATCATCGTTGTCCAGTGTGACATGCTGGAAACTTTTCTGACTCCAGGTTTTCAACTGCGGGGAAGACGTAATTGTACGTACTGGCATCCCATTGTTTGAAATGATCCCGTCAACCTTGGTCCTTCATCTTACGTGCAATACCACCAGAAATTATCATAGTACCTACCCCCCAAAACTCAATTGGGCTGTCATCGAGTCCAAGCCAAGTCCCTCTTACCGCCCCTTTCTCCTGTCGTGACCCTAGATGTGGTGTGCCGATCGTGTGTAATTTAGTAAGCACGTGGTAAGGTAGGCAAGTCCGATTGTGCAATGCCGTGATTATTTCCACATAATCGTCATTGGCTGATGGCAATTGCCGTGATCAACACCCCTCTATTGCTACTTTATTGCTTTCTCAGCAAGTTGGGACCATGAAAACGTGGAATCTATTTGCAACCGTCTGTCATACAGTCGTGCATCGATAGGCGACGAACCCAACAAATCAATGTACGTAATGCATCGGAACCAAAGGAGCCGTGGACACCCAATTTCATCCAGACCAGGTATCTATCTATCTATCTATCGCTGTGTAAGCACCAACTCAGTTCCGGTAGGTCACCGTCTTCGTCCTCGTCCACTCATCCAGGCCCGAGGAGCCAAACCTGCCAAACCCGCTGGATTTGACGCCGCCATGGGGTAGACCAGGCTCGTCGTGGATAGTCATGCTGTTGATGTGGACGGCTCCCGATTCAATTTCCTTTGCAAAGCGGAGACCTGTCCGCAAATCCTCTGTGAAGACGGCAGACGTCAGACCGTACTCTGTGTCATTGGCAAGCTTGATCGCCTCCTCCTCGGTCTCTACTTCAAAGAGTGCTACGGTCGGCCCGAAAGACTCGGTCTTGTAAATGTTCATGTCGGTCGTGATGTTTTTGATGACGATTGGCCGCAGCCTCGTCTTGGACGTCTCTTCAGCGTCGACGTCGCCGGAAACGAGGACAGCGCCTTTGCCCACGGCATCTTTGATAAGCTTCTTGTTCTTCTCAACGGCCGCGGCGTTGATAAGGACAGGCGCATTGGACTTGTTCGGGAAGATGTTCTCGATCGAGGCCGACAGCTTGGACTGAAACTGCTCGCTGATCTTCTTGTGCACAATGATACGCTCAGTGCTCATGCAGATTTGGCCTCCGTGTAAGAAAGAGCCGACTGCGCACTGGTTTGCAGCCAGTTCAAGGTCGGCGTCTTCCCATACGATGGCCGGGGCCTTGCCTCCAAGCTCCAGTAGTACTGGCTTCAGGTTCTCACCTGCCAGCTTTGCGATGATGCGTCCGACGCCAGTGCTCCCGGTGAAGTTGATCTTCTTGATCTCAGGATGGGCGATTAGCGATGTTGTGATGGCAGCGGCGTTGGCGGGCTCGTGCACAATGACATTCAGAACACCCTTGGGCAAGCCAGCTTCGTGGAAGCAAGACACCATCTCGACGAGCGTTCGCGGAGAAAGTTCTGAGGCCTTGAGAATGGCAGTGTTGCCAGCGGCAATTGGGAACGCTATTGATCTTGCTCCCAACATGTATGGGGCGTTCCTGTTTGAGTGTTAGCTATCTCACCGGCGTCTACCGTCATCAATATACTAACCAAGGCGCAATGGCGAGGACGACTCCGTAAGGTTCCTTGAGGACCATTGCGCTGAAGTTCGGATCGTTGGTAGCTGGGACAGAGCCCTGGACGGTGACGAGGCGTCCGGCAACGTCTTTGATACAGCCGATGCCCAGACCCAGAATAAACTCTGACCAACTTGTGGCAGCACCCGTCTCTTCAGACATGATGCGGACCAGTTCATCTTTCCGAGACTCCATGATGGCAGCAGTCTTCAAGAAGATTTCCTGGCGTTGCGTGAGTGTCGTCTTCTTCCAGCTCCTGAACGCGTTGGCTGCGGATTCAACCGCGGCCAAGGCATTTTCTTCAGTTGCGCTACCGCATTTGTAGATGACCTTCCCAGTAGCGGGCGACACGACTTCAAAGGTCTTTTTGGGGACAGACTTCTCCCCATCGATAAAAAAAGGGACAATGTAGTCTCCCGCTGGGGAGCTTCCGTTAGTTTGTGCCGGCATTGCTGAAAACGAGTCTGAGAGGCGAGCCAGTATCCTTGTTGAGGGTTATCAAAAGTAGATAGAGGTAACGAGAGTCGCACGAGGGATACATTTGAGAGAGGGGACAAACGCGAAGCGAGCGAATTCAGCCGAGCAGTAGATTCTTATACTCTTGTGAGAGGTAGCTATCGACCGACGTGGAACATCTATTCAATCCAAACCCATGCCCTTTTTGGATATGCCGCTGATCAACGCTACGCTCTTTAGTGCCCGGAACCCCGCACGCGGAAAGTGGACGCGGGGAGAAAGTCTGAGACGGCTTGACTAGGGGAATGCTTCACCCTCGATCCTTCGAAATCAATTCTACACTACGTATTGCTTTGAAATCTGGATATAAAGCTGGCTTGTGTCCCCCGTTTCATCCCAGTTGGAGTGGACTTGGTGGGGGTGGTCCCGAACAGGGGCGTGGATACTACCTTACACTTCTCACCTACACTACTACGCAGTCGAGCAGCATCCCCGGCCGACAGCCCGCATCGCGCTGACGGGAAGAGCTTGGGGTTTTGCAGAGATGCGAGACTTTAGCGCCGGTTATGCGGTTGCAAACCTTGCCATACTTCAGCTAGTGATCCAGTGACTGTCATCCATTTAATCCATCACTGGCCGAAGTGCAACCTAAGATGAAAGTTACGGCGGATTCTCTGTGCGATTCCGATCTAACCGGGCGTGGCACTGCCGCAATTCCAATTCCGAGGAATTGGCCCCGAGTAAATCCAGTTGCTCATTCTTCCTTAAAAAGTGGATCTTGGCGAAGCAGGACTTGAGCCGAAAGGTCCTGGATCAGACACCCGATCGGACCCCAGAGTGGACGAGTTTGAGCCGCGGGGGCGAATTATGGGCTTTCGAGATGCCGGCCACAGTTACCGGAGCGCACGAGTACTCTTTCCGCCAAACTCTATTTGACAATTGATGGCGGGCTAAGATCCAGTACGTAGTGGACTATTTTATCGGGCCTAAAAAAGTTCCGGAACAGCCGCCAAGCGCTCGGATCCGGGATGAGGCATCTCTCTGCCAAGACAAATATATGCAGTCGCGATTCCGAGTGCTGAGTGCTGTATGGTCGGATTTCGATCCATCCACATTGTCTTGATGGCATAGGTACAGCAGTCACATCAAGACTTGCTAATCCATTTTTGGAAGACAGCTGGGTCCACAAAGGGTTGAGATGTAGCAGTTGAGTCTACTTGGAGGACGTCGACTGCGAGAACAATCAGTTCCGACCCAAGCGACTCCACCGAGAGAGACGAAGCCTCACCTTGCTTAAGTCGCGATCCCGGCATGGCAAATTGGACGTCACGGGTCCCTTTTGAGCTTTCAGTGTAAGAACCACTTCCCTGGTACACGGCAGGTAATGCCAGCGCAACCTTGATGGGCGGTTTTGGCGCTTCTTTAGCATCGGATTCAGGCATTGCTGAAAATGATGATGTGACATATGAGGTGCAGTTGGAAGAAGGGAATGACACCCCTGAACGGTGCGAAGAAGAAGAAGAGGAGGAGGAGGAGGAGGAGGAGGAGGAGGAGGAGGAGGAGAGTTTTGGGTTCTAGAAGGCGCGAGTCAGCCTCTCCACGGAAATGCTTATGTACAAGTGTTCGTCTGATGATGAACTCATTCGGCAGGCTAAACTTGAGTTTCTGCCAAAGCAGAAGGGGATTATGTCCTACGGCTGCTGCGCGCTACGCACTGCGCCTGCTCATGACCTCCAAATATGATTAGTCATAGTCCCACGCTCTTTGACCACAGACTGACTACCTTAGCCACTCGGCCAGTCGCTCACCCGCCTGCTGGCCCAATTTTCACCTACAATTTCCACTTTTGGGTTTTCTTTCTGTCATCAATGGATACTTGCTCTTGGCGAATCTGCTACCTATTGCAGTGGACGCGTGGAAACTGGTCCCCAGATGCAGGACGTGTAAGAGTGGGTAAAGGCAGAGAAAAAGGACGATATCGGACCAGCAGCTGTCATCAATCTCAATTTGCCTATCTTTGTCAATTCGGATTGCTATCTCCTGCGCCGGGGAGCTTAAGGAACCGGGGCGCATCCCGCCTGTCTGTGCACTATCCTGACAGCAGCCGGGCACGGCCTGGGCAGAAGAGCGAGACCCGGTGAAAGTCGGGTCCGGGTTCCTAATGCGCCTTACCTGGTCGGGCAGTTGTCATGTGTAAACTGCTCTGTACTCACTCACCCCGCCCGCTGCAGAAGGTGAGGGCGGGGAACTACAGATCGAGTCAGCCAATGATATGACGATACCCAGCCATTCGCACCCCCGTTGGGCCCCCTCCAAAAGTCCAACGGCTGGGCAGGCGCAAAGATGTCCCCTTCCACTTTCCACAGCAAATCTTGCCTCGCTCCTCAGGTCAAAAATCAACCTTTCTTCCCCGCCCTCCGCATTCGGCCGCGCCAGCTCCCACTTCACATCAACAATACCAACACGTACGTCGCGACACCGGACCGCCGCCCCAGTGAGTCTCGCTCACCGTCCAGGAGATCTCCGATTGCCGAGTTGCTCCTGCGAGCTCCTGCGACCGCCGTTCGCACCTTACGCCACGCCCGGCCCGGGAGGGGTCACCCGAACCCGCCTGTGCTGTGTCTTGTCTTGTCTCACCGCGACTGACGGTCCCCCGTGCCCTGCATGGACGTCGTCTCTGCCGGCGGGGCGACGCCCGTCTCGCCCACAAGTCCCATGAGCGCCCGCCATGCGCCCAATGGGCCTCCGAAGAGGAAGCACAGCAGCATGGCGTTGGATAGCAGCCCTGGCAGCAATGCCGGGCATGACGACGACAATGGCGAGCCTGATTCCAAAAAGCGTCAGCCCGGCGTCAAGCGCGCTTGCAACGAGTGTCGACAACAGAAGGTGAGTCAACGCACCGGCCAAAATCCATTGCATGAGTCACCCCTCTAACCAATCTTCGTCGGGAATAGTTGCGATGCGATGTTGTTCAAGATCCTTTCCAAAGCTGTTCACGGTGTAACCGTCTCAAGCTTTCGTGTAAGATTGAGTCAAACTTCAAGCGCATTGGCAAGCGCTCGAAGCATGCCGAGATGGAAAAGGAAATCGATAGGTTGCGACGCAACATTGCACGCGCCCAAAACCAAGGTTACACCGTGGACGAGGACGAACAAGACCTCCATTCTCCGGTTGCGACGAGCGTGTATACACACACTAGGAATCCTTCCCTCATGGGCTCCGACGAGGCTGTATCCTCGCTGTTGCACCTCAAGAGGGGAGGGTCGTACAGTCTACCACGCTACACCCACGAGCTAGAGAACGTACGCTTGACCGAGGAGTCAGTGAATCAGCTCTTTAACGAATTCTTCGCATACTATCACCCTTTCTTGCCATTCCTCAACCCGCAACAGACGCCTGACCAGTACTTCCAACAACACGCCCTTCTGTTTTGGTCGATTATTTCGGTCGCTGCTCGCCGATATAGCGCAGACCCCACGTTGTTGACCTCGATATCTGGACCTCTGACCAGATTGCTTTGGTCAACCATCGGAGATGTTCCCAGCAGCTACTTTGTCGTCAAAGCTTTGTGCCTGTTATGTACCTGGCCTCTCCCAACAAGCACGACAAGTGCTGACCCTACGCACATCCTCTGTGGCGTTATGATGAAGGTGGCGACGGGTATTGGCTTACACAGGCCAAACCACAGCCAGGACTTCTCTAGGGTATCAGTAGACCTCAACAAAGAGCAGCTGCACGATCGCGTTTCAACATGGGCTGTCTGCAACATTGTAGCTCAAACCATCGGTACTGGCTACGGTCAGCCGGCTTCAACCCTATACGATTGGACCTTGGCCGTTCGACGAGGCGAGGACGGTCCCTTCCGATTGACACCCGAATTGGAGGCTAGACTCCAAGTCGAAAGATTTTGCGACAAGGTGTCCAAGGAAATGTACAGCAATGCTAGTGATCCTCGAGGGGTCGCTGGTGATGAGCACCGCGCCATGCTGATGAGGGTCTATCGAAAGGACTATAACGAACTTCAAGCATCGGTTCTCTCGCAGCATTTGGGACCAATAGTCAACTTGCACATGCGAGCCGCGGCACTTCATCTGCGCCTTGCTGGCTTCTTCGACTCAAGCACCACTCCTGGCTACATTGATGATCTGATGGGCCTCTGGAGGGCAACTACAAGCTTCTTGGATAACATCCTTGAGGTCGACAAGGTCACATCACCCGGGCAGAACTCCCCCGGGCAAATTCTGCTGTATGCGACGAATTACATCCAGCAGATGTTGATCGCGGCAGGATTTGCCTTGCTCAAGCTTATGCGGTCATTCTTTGCCAAAACAATTGATTTCGATCGCGGCCGCAATCTGTTCCACCAGACTATCAACGCCATTCGCGCAACAAGCGTTGTAAATAACGACCTACAGTGGCGTCTAGCAGAGCTAATGGTGCAAATGTGGAACGGAGCTCGACTCGACAACAACAGCACGGCCTCCTACGACAACGACGATTCTCCGCTGCTCATTGACGACACATTGCAGCTCAAGGTGCGCTGCCGCCATAGCATGAGTCTTGTATTTGACTTTGTCTGGCGTTGGAGGGAAGAATATCAAGCCCAGGGAAGAGGCTCAATCGATGGTAATTATAAAACCCCATCCCCTTCCTATCCTGTGCTCTAGCCATTACATCCACGTCTCTCTTCGGTGTGACTGTGATGACTGACTTACGTGCCACCCTCAATAGCCATGAAACAACCTACTAATCCAGACTCAGCGAACGAGTCCTCAGCGTCATCGACCCATTTGGACAGCACTCTTATGCCGGCAACCCAAGGACTCCAAGCGAACAGTTTGCTCGCTGCTAATGGTGCCCTTACACCTGGCAACTCAGGCGGAATTGGCAGCCAAGCACCAAGTAATAGCATGCTGAGCGGCATGACTTACGGCGAGACCAATTACGATTTCTTCGACCCCCAGCATTGGATGTTGGACGGCCTGCTGGACTTCAATTACAACTTCGTGCAGCCTCTTGAGGGTGCATAAGAAGCCGCCCGGAACTACGACACGGGAGAATCAGCTCCATCACTTTCCCCACAGGAGTACGAACAAAGGAAGAACATTGACGTGGGGGCGAGTTTCACCACCTGCAGAGACGCGGCCGAGAGCTTGATCATAGCTTGCCAGAAAGGAGTGAGTGAGTGCCCCTCGGCAGACGTTGTATTAGGCCCCTCTCCGTTGGGGTCCGAGGATGAGTGACTAGGTCTGCAGCTCTCAGTGATCCCACCGTGCTCCGAGGTGAGCGACATCATTCTTTTCCGACTGCGTTGCAACCAGACATATTTGGACCAGAGAAAGATAGAAGTCTTTCTATTACGTTTATACACCTGCTTTTGCCATTGGTATCCCAGAATGGAAGCCCTTCCCAACAAGCGATTCTCGTTGGTACACTACACTTTTTGCCTCATTTCATCCTCTTGGGTTTCCTAGCACAGTCTGTTGATGACGAAATAATTACGCGTATATTCGACAATGAGCTCCACGACATTATCAGGCTACATCGGTTTGCGGCTTCGGTTTCGGTGGTCGTTTTGTACGTTTTCATTTCTTTTTTCCCGAGGCTCCAGTGTCTATTTTCCTTTCCTCTCTGGGATCATCAAAGCATTGGCAATAGCGGGTGCAGGTTTCTTTCATGGGCACACATTTGCAAAAGAACGCTGTGATTAGCTGTGGCTTTTTTTTTTTTACTTCCGAAACAAAAGAAAATTTAATTCAAGCACAACTTTGCCACACGTTCCTGATATATTGTCTGGGAAATCCAATACGACTAGCAACACTGACACATCTAATGACTGTCCTCTGTAGTGCTCGGGTGTGTCATCGCATCATGAATGAGCCAAGCATGTGAGATGTGCCCAGGGGTGAGTCACTATTCTGGTGACACTTCTATTTGGGCCTATAGACAGACAGTGGTGATCTCACGGGTATCAATGCTTTCCTTTTCCACAATCCGTAGCCGGACTTAGTCGCACCCCCATTGAAAGTTACACCCAGGGAGATCGTGGTTCTTGGACTGCGGTTAAGTGCGATGGGCATCAACGGGCGTCGGCAAGCAGAGACCTAAGCGTCGATGGCCCCATGCGCCGAGGTAGGATAGGTTGAAAACACAAGTTGGGGGAAATGTGCTCTGCTTCAAGAGAATGAAGTGGACGAGTGTTGATGGGTATGATGATGATCATGTGAGCGACAAGTCTAGGCCTCAAACTCTCGATTTCCATCATCACATGGAACATAAGAGTCACTCTGGAGCGGAAATTGCAGGACAGAAACTATGCCTTTAGCCCCCCTCTCTTCCAAAGGCTCCATTCACAAAGGACATGAAGTCTTTCAGAATACCCAGAGACAGCTCCCATTCGCTGGAGAGCCGCGGGTCGCGTATGTGACGGCCCAGCAGGCTGAAGTGTGATGGCATAGGCAATCGCCTCCCCTTTTGCCATGTGAGGCACGTCGTTCGACGGCCGCAAGTGGCCTTGGCGGCACGGGGCGGAGGGTGGGCAGCATCTGACGATTGTCGCATTCTCTCCCTCAAGGATATCCTCAAGGAGTCAAGGAGGTTTGATGTATCGGTACGAGTTGGAGAAGTATTTTTCGGTGCAGGCATCCATCGTCGCTTGTTCCATCGTAAGAAGAATTGTAGGGCTGTCAGGAGGGGCGAGATGACGGGGAAGGGGGGGCCGTTTGGATGAGGCGTTCGTCCGGTTCTCCATCATTGATAGATGCCTTCTTTTCCTCCAGCCGAATAGGAAGTTGACAATGAACTAGATGTCCGGTCTAGGCACACACCTTCATCTACTTTGTCCACTTCACTCTAGAGAAAAGGGGCCAGAGGTGACGAGAGTGAACCAGGGCGGGGGTAGGGGATGTCAGCTTGGTTGTTCTGATTCGCTCGTCTGAATCGTCCAGTCTTCCATATGATGAGGCGCTTCGTGTGACGATGTCGATACTAGACAAGAGTCATCGCGAGGGGAAGGGGCGCGAGGACGAATCGTCGCACGCGCCTGAAGGCGAAGGCATCCCAGCCAGCAAGCACCAAGGTCCAGTCATGACTTACCAACAGCCTGCGGTAAACGTCCTAGACATCTCGTGGTCTGCGCCGCCGTGGCAGCGGGAGTGGCGGCCGGGATTAAACTTAGATTGTGCGGGCTGCGTCTGGCTTTTTCTCGATCGCGTGGAGGAAGGGGGCTGTTGGGTGGATGCGCAAACGATGCTCGGGTGTGTAACGTATGGGACGTCTGCGCTTGTTTGGAGCTTGTGGATACGAACAGGAGCAGCTTTTGGAGCGCTTCCGTCGTCTATTGTTGGTCGAAACACGAGGGTTGATTCTCTACCTTGGGCGTGGTCGGAATGGTTGGGGGCCGTTCGGTGTTGGTGTTGTTGGTTGGTGTTGTCCCCGGAGAGCTTCACTGGCTCACGTATGGGGCACAACGCTCCGCCTTTTGGGACGATTTCACCGCGAGGTAGGAGGCGTATTAGTACGAAATGCGACGGAGTAGAAATGACGTTTGCGTGCCTTGTTCCTGCAGATAAGCTGAAGAGAATGTCCGTTTGGCCGCTGAAGCGGCGCAGTTGCAGCTCTGGGAGTGCTGGAGTTGCGAAGGAGGAGCATTGCAGGAGACAGCAGAGACATCTGCAGCTCAACGTCAGCTCCCAAACTGCGGCCGGAAGATTGGGGTGCAGAGAGAGGCTTAGGAAAATCCTCAACATGTATTTGGGTAGACGGCGATGACCACTGGGCGCCCCAATACGTCTCCACGATAGCTTCTGAAATCATGCACGCAACTGTACTTTTTCGGATTGGCCTTTGGGAGTTCCTCCTTGGCATGCGATTTCATCTTCGCCGACATCCGGAGTCGCCGGGGCAGCGTGGAGGGGGCTTTGCAGGCACTTGGTCGCCTTTTCGGGCCTCTGTTGTGGCCTCATGGATTGACGGCCAGTCAAAACAACGTGATCAAGGAACTATAAGGGGGACGGTCAAATCGATAGAGACTGCCTCGCGAGGCGTAATTCTCTACTGATGTCAACGTCGCCCAATATCCGACACATGTTATACCGATAGAAGCATCTTCACCCAACGAGGGTAGTGTCCATAGTGATGGCCAGTTCAGTGCTAGGTGTGGACCAGACTGGAAATTGACTCAACACCGCCCTGACCACAATTCTAGATCAGGTGGGAGGGCTTCTCACGTAATGTACACTCGAGTTTCTCATACAGATTAGAGTGCTGATTATCCCCACAGAGGCGTGGCGAAGGCTCGCACAGCGCGGCTTTTGAAACGCCCGGAGGATATCGTTACGGCCGTTGGTTGTAGTCTTGCAGTCAACGGCTCGGGCAGAGACATGAACCCGACAGAGATGAGCAGCATTGGGGGCTGAAATGATTTACTGAAGGATTGGAGCTGCTTTGCTTCACCTCTTCGCATGCCCATCGTGCAGATGGATGAGGTTTTGGTTGTGGTGGTGGCGGCGCTCTTTGTGAATCTCCTCAGGCCATTGTCTGTTTCGACATTCCCACGCAACCACAAAGCTTGATCCTGGAAGGGGGGAGGGGCAGAAGGAAATTCTTTCACTCTCCAGGGACCGTTTTGCCGCTGTTCCAGATGCGACATGGAGAAAAAGATTCTTACGGGCGCAACCGGCAGAGGGCCTAACGCCCGCCTTTGTCCACACTCGACCAGTCATGGCAGCTCTTCCACAGAACCACCACGGCTTCCAGAGTGTTCCCCCTCTCTGAACGTCAAGATCCTGGAGAATTGCCATCCATGACAACTGCAGAAACTCGTCACGCCGCGGACTAGCTGTGCCGTCCATGATTCGTGGGAGCCGGGGGGATGGCCACAGCAGGTTGGCGAGGACCACCACACTGAAGATGGGTGGTTTGCCTCTTTGCTCCAATAGTTGGCGAGCAGGAAGACACCACAAAGACAAGGCGCCGTCCCCGGGAAAGCATTTGTGTGCATCAGAATCGTGCGCGGGTGTAGCAGGGCTTGCCACCACGGATTTCAGACCAGAGTCTGAAGGTAGAACTGGAGGCCGAGCCTTCCTAGCCACCCAGCCGTCAGCCACCATCGCTGCGCCTTCTTCCAGAATGAGTAACTATGATTGCTCTCATTGAGCAGTTCTTCAGTGAGGAGAAAGCTGCCCAAGGTTGAGACCCATGTACGGACTTCCGTGTTACAAGCTTCTAGCCGCAAAGGGGCAATCGCCCTGAAGCCGAGTGGCTGCCCGAAAACCTCGCGTGGAGCATGCCCAACCTGGTGTGCCAGGAGAGACCTTGGGAGAGAAAAAGCAGTCTCATGGTGTATCTCGTTGTACCTACGAGCTGCTCTCTAGGTGCCTCAGGGATGACCAGCAAGTCCACGTCCAGGGGGGGGGGGGGGGGGGGGGGGGGGGGGGGGGGTGGGGTGGGGGGGGGGGGGGGCGCGAGGGCGTGGGGGGGGGGCGGGAGGAGGGGGCTGGGGCGGGCAGCGGGACGGTGGGAAGGCGCCCGGGGGGGGGGGGGGGGGGGGGGGGCGTTAGACTTCGTTGATTGCGGTGAATGGTGGAGTGTCAGGGTTGCACGGTGCAGCAGCGATGGCAAGCGTCATCGAACCACTGCCCACTGGAAGTCTCGGACGGAAAGCGCACATGGCGAGCGGCAAGATCGCTGCCAGTCTGAGCGTGCTTCGGTGCCTCGGACGGATACCTCTGACCTTGGTTCTCGATTTCATGGCATGCCTTGGCATGATAATGAAGGACGTCGCTTCCAGACATGTCGACGTCCCATCCAACCTTGCGGACATGAATGATGTTCGGCTGATTTGACGCGGGGTTACCGCCAGAACGTGTTGACTTGCTGGGGAACGGACGAGGATGATTTGCAATGCCAACCCCTAGTAGACGCAGACGATGCTTTGCGGTGGAGACCTGGCTTCTGGCATGTCCAGTAGGACTGTTGCCGGAGATCAGCTGCCTTCGCGACCCGAGAGAGTGGAAGCGCTCAAAGTGCATGAGAATGCGCAATGCAACACAAACCAAAATGCCAGGCGAAGTCGAGGCAGTGTTGGCTTGAATTGGGCCCAGTTCATGAATTTGGACGCTCACAACCGCGTCTGGAACCGTGACAGACGCGACCAACGGCGTGATGAGGCGGTGATGGCCAATGGGGGCGACGAAATATGCGACCTGGGCGCTAAGAGCGCAAAATACCAGTGAATGGGGATACTACCACTTCCTCATTAGGCTGTTTGCGGCCGGTAAGGTTTTCCTTGACAAAGGCATCGACCCGAGAGGCGACCATGGGCCGAGAAATTGACCTCGGGCCCGTGGCTGGGTCGCCTGCTTCTGATGCCGCACCTCGGTCCTCGTCCTCGCCAGCTGGTCGTTCTTACCACTGGGTGGGAGATTTCATGGCAACGAGGTGTTGAGAAGAGGGGCACAGCGAGGCTAAGGCGGCACAGCGATGTCCTCGTCGTGGCACAGGCTGGAGGCTCAGAAAACCCAAAGGATCAGACTGCACCTCAGCCTTCTGTTTCGGCATCTATCCTTAGAATGATGATCTGCAAGGTACCATCGGTCTGAGGAACGCGAGGAAGGACCGGCACGCGAAGGCGGGACGGCTTCAGTCTCCTCTTCCCCTCGGAGCAGCACGTACAGCTTCAGCTTGACTTGGCTCATCAAGGATGCGTCATGGCCCGGTACCGTACCCGCATCTGGGACGATGGGATCGAAGAAAGCGGCGGCCAGGAGCAACAGAGTTGGGGCACGTTTCTGCAGCAGGACGCAGGTGGTGTGAAAGAATGCGTGTGATGACAGGCAGTTCCGAGGCGGCGTGTAAACTCTGGAAGTCTGTGGATGGGTGTGTGCTGTCGCGGTTAGAACTGGGCAAATTTGCGTTCTGTTGACCATCTGCTGTTGGTGATGAAGTCCTGGCCGCTTGTTGGTGGTGAACATGGTCTATCTAGGAGTCACCAGCTATGCCGTGAGTGGTTGACTATGCTTAAGCTTCAAGTCGAAAGAACAGACGCGCGCTAAGTCCGAAAACTGGGATCGGCTTCTGGCCAGTAAGGTGTGCGTTTGCTGGTGGGGAGGGTGTGGGAAGAGCAAGAATGAAGTTGACGAGAGGCAAGTGAGGGGGTGTGTGAGTGGGGGGCGTTATTGTGGCCTCAGGCTTTGCACAAGCCCCGGGAGCCCTGATGAAGTGGTTCGGAGGCGACCCAATGATAGCCTCGCATGAGCGTGGACTCCATCAGGTTGTAACGCTAAATTAGCGCGAACCAGACTGTCGGGTCCGCGCTAGTAGGGATATCCCTGACGACGAGAGGGATGAGAACTGAGCGTATTGGCCCAGCGTCCGTTTCCCCCCTCCCTCTCTGCAGCAAAGTCGCGTTCCTCTCCTCTTGTTTCGCACCCGCGGTCATACGTGGCTATTGTTCTTTCCTACTCAATCAGAGAGCATGGGCGAGGGTCTCAAAGTTGCATGCGTCGCAGTCGATGTCAGCCCATTCCTCCCTTGTGGCAACTCACCCTTTCGAACGAGCTTTAAGACAAGCAGGGGGGAGGCGTATGAACGCACGCGGTGGAGGCAGGCGTGGTATCAACCGGTTCTTCAGATTCGACTCTACCATCGGGACCCTCACTTCGGCTTCCACCTACACAACAAGACATCCATTGCACGAAGGTATATCCGTAGGCAGGAGATATTCATAAAAATAAAAAGTGTCTGTGTCGGTCAGCCAGATTATGCGGCGACCCTCTGGCGGCACGAGATGGATCTTAGATCGTGGCGGGCGGCGGCAGCTTATGCTTATGGGCCCTCCAGATCGAACGGTTCCCGCCTCTTCCCGCTTGCTTGTCCAATCCTCTCTCCCCCCCGTTTTCAACAGGATTGCGGGGGCTGCCCAGTTCAACCCAAAGTATCCCATCACTGCTTTCACTACTCTAGCTTGGAGGCGTGTACTAGGGTACATAGCCTGTCATGAAATGCTTGCCTAGATCGACAGTGGCTTGATCGCATAACAATCGCTATGGCCAAGGAATGGGAATAACATGGAGAGTCGATGCCATGGTAGGAGACGAGACAATGCGGAAGCTTTGTCCGACTGGCTCATGTTTACCGATACTGCAACAAGTTCTGCACGGGCAAGGTAAGCCCCTGACTCTTTCCTTTTTTTTTCTTCCCTCAGAGGGTCATGATCTGACATGAGCGTGTCTCTGGTCGCCAGGTAGAGAAGAGCAAGGTAGTCGAGAAAGAAGGCAATTTCAACGACGACTGCCTACTTCTCGGATACCTGTTTAAGCAATTCCATCCTGAAGAGCCCGGGCCTTTCCAGTCCAATCCAGTCCAGTGTCCACTTCACCACTGTCCCAGTTGACGGGACGCGTTCCGGTCACACCCACCGGCGAGTAAACCTCGACACCCGACTCCTACGGAAACTGAGCCCCCGCTTTGTCCGAGGATTTGCAGCCTCAACACCCACACGCCCAACCATCAGAGCTCTAGGCATACCCCACCACCCCTGTCCGTCAAAGATTTCCACCTGGTGGTGCTGGGCACTGGCCGTTCTGTTCCGCGAGTCTTGGCGTAGGGCCGGCCTGAGGTGACCAGACCTTAGGGCAATGCAGATTTCGGCAACGGTACCCTTAGCTATCGTGAGGGTCCCGCCCACGAAAAGTGATAGCAAGTGAGCAAATGTGACAGACTTGAGAGGAGACTCACAGCGTAGCAGGTGCCGCCGGGAGAGATTCTGACTTGACACCGGGTCAAGGGGTTGGAATCCAGTCGAGAAGTTTTTTTTTTTCCTTCTCATTTTTTTTTTTTTTTTTTTTTTTTTTTTTTTTGCAAGGACGCAATTTACACAGTAACAGTCACCCATTAGCCTGGTGAGCACTTGATACAAGGCGACAATGCGTCGGCTGGGAAAGCCAATTGACTGGAGACGGGAATGGGGGACATGAACAAGCGGATCCGGCTCGAGGACGGCACAGTGAACGCAGGCAGACGGGTACTTGGGTACCTACGGTACGTCGCATCCAAGGTGTCAACAGGGTCATCAGGAAGGCAGTGAGTGGCAGGCACGCAGGCATGGAGTCAGGATGAGAATGAGGCAGGGAACGTACCGCGAGATGACCGTCTCCACTTGCCCTTTTTCACCCCCGGTTTCCAAGTTGTCGACCCCGTTGCGGCCGTTCATGGAGCCAATCACACGGGCTCCATGCAATGACACTCGGCCGCTTCACTCTATTCAGTCTTTTTGGGTTGACCCCCGACCTCCATGCTCACTCGCGTCCCTTGCTCTCCCTCTCGCCCTCCTCTCTCTCTCTGCCAACCCCCAATGTGGATTTGGCAAGGGCCAGCTCCTGCCATCTACTGTGTATGGATACGGATAGCACATTTTCTCAACTTTCCTCCTTCTCTCGTTGCCCCCCTCCCTCCCTCCCCCTTACCGTGCCTTTTCTGCGTGTTTGATTACCCTGCTATTCTGGCTACCTTATTTCCATGGCCGTTTTATTACCCAGACCCCGGAATTATGCTCCCGATATCTTCAACGTGTGCACTCATACAATTGAACCACATGTGCGCAGCATGTTGAGGCTCGTCACACAATCCCGGCTGGCACTGACATTGTCATACCCGCGCCGAGTCTGAATTTCACTTTTGAGAATTCCTTTATCCTATGCTCTGTTCGCTTCTGTCCAATCGGCCAGAGACACAATAAGAGTAAGGAATTGCGCCACTAGCCCGGCTTCAAGATCGATTTAATTCCTCTTTTCTCATCTCTCAGCTTATCCACCACGGGAGGGAAGCCGTATGAGTCCCGTCCCGGGGCAACCCCGTTACGATGGTCCGCGTCGATCGTGGTATATCCCGGTCCTTTACGTGCGTAACTACGTGCGTAATGTGTAATCCAGACGCAGGTTGATAGCCCCCAAACGTCACTATGCCACCCGCTGTGTTACAGTCACCCACTTCAAGTCTGCATTTCTTCCACCACACACACTGCTCTCCCAGCATATATGCTCAGAACAACATTGCTTTTTGACCGGTAACTCCAGTTCCGTCCTGTACTCTGCAGTGAGAGCCCTACTACTGGAACCTCTAGCCGGCGGGGTCATCCCAAGCAAATGGTTGTGATCCCGTGGATGGGGAAGGAAAAGGCAAGTTGTTCCATAACCCTAGCCTTGGTCTATTTCCTGTCGTTTCTTCTGCTGCAGTTCACATTCGGATACTCGTTCTCTGGTGTCGTCTTGTCGGCCAGGCCTGTCTATCTGTCATCTCGGATAGTGACCACCAGCCCACAGTGCCATCAAGGATCATGGCTTGGACAATGTTTCGGCCCCTATCTACATTCATCATGGCAAGAGAGAATCAGAGCAGCGGAACCGCAGGATTGGTGTTGATTCTCTCCGAACTAGACCCCATCGCCAATGCCAACCCCTGCCATGCTCTGCCTTACAAAAAGCTGTGTACCGTGCACCCGTACGATCCAGGATCCATCAGAGGACGCCGCACACGCGCCGCAAGTCAACGCTCATCTCTTCCCCTCTCCGGGATTCTTTGCCCGCGAACAAGGAGCATCCTTCTGCGAGCTTCTCCATCGCCGATGGTCGTTTAATATATCACAGACCCCATCTGCCTGCCCGTTCGCACCATTCACGTAAGTGTGAGCTAGCCGAATTACTTTGCTCGTCTGCTTAGCAAAGCCCAATGTGGCCTAGAAGAGGAGATGCTGGTAAACCGTGGTGTTGTTGAAGCTGAGAGGCTACAGTAAAACAAAGAAGTATCTAAGCCGGCTAGATCATCTCCCTGTAATGCATCCGACCTACGCGCCTCGCCACTCTCGCTGCCAGGGCTGTATTACTTGGTGCCTCGAAACAGTTGAGAGATGCAATGACATGTAGCTATGCTGAAAGGCTCGGACTCACTCCCAAGTTCTACTGTGCTGAGCCTGCTTGTCAGTCGTTCCTTTTCCCCACCCGTCCCACACCTGTCACGCATTTAGGCGCTGCGAGGCGGCCGCACGGAGAGAGAGAGCAAACTACCATATCGTGTTCCTTAGACAAGTATCTGGGAGACTAGGAGATGTTCTGCTCCGGTAGGCTGTAACATAGCTGCTGGGCTGGGCTGCATCATCTGTGAGTGTGACTGTCAACGGGGCTGCTGCCGCTGCTACTCTGTTGTGTACAAAGTATGTGTGTGGTTCTTGCTGGCAACGGTAACCTCTCAGAATCTCCCGCTCTATCCCCTGCTCCTCTTTCCCCATCCATGGAGTGGTGGACACACGCCCCATGTCTGCTCTTTTTCTCTCTTTCCCTCTCTCTATCTGGCTTTCCCACCCCTCCCCCAAAGCTGCTCGGCCGACTGAATCGACCTGCATCTACAGAGTTGCACGACCCGTACATAGCAGCCCCGGGCGGCTATCGCCTGCGAGGAACCACCCACATCCATGCCCCCGCATGCGAATCTGTCTCCGTCGTTGTCGCTGTTTCTGTGCCTGTCCCCTCTCCTCCTCTCTTGGTCCGTGTGCCGGTCTACAACGGCCTCATGTACTTCGTGTACACTATCCTTCCCCCTGTCTTTTTTCAGACCCTGGCGATGGTCCCGCTGCTTTGTATCCTGGAGAGTGGCACTCGTCCGAATCGTCTCGACAGGCAGGCTCCCCTTGCAAAAAAATACAAACCTTTGATCGGCACCATCGCTGTCCACTTCGCTCGTCATTAATAGGCCGCGGCCATCTCATCCTCGCGAGGCTCTCTTCTCATCCATCCTACTTCACAAGTCCAATTACGGAGAGGCAGACTTCAGTGACTCTTTCCATTCTTTATTACTGTCCATTCTCCCCCCTTCCCATCCTCTCTTATAAGACAAGACGAGCTTCATACAAACACACAACTATTAAAGCTCTCGCGCACATCCAAGTCTTTGGAGTACTTCCACCGCCACCTACACGCCACCTACACGCCACCCCTCACAACTTCAGTCCTTTCACACTCAACTCCCATACCTACCTCGACTGTCTAGGAAACCCCTAGCCATTCACTTGATCATGACGGGCCAAAACTACATCGACCAGACTTCTATGCATCCGGACGGACTATCAGACCCCATGCCCAGCAGGCGCACCTCAGTGGCACAGCCTCCTACCACAATTTACCCAGACCTTAGAAGCCCTCCTTTCGCAGTAAGTCGATATATATGTATATATATATATATACATCCTTAAGCAGCCCTCTAGGCGAGTCTGACCAGTACTAGGTCACAACTTTCAACCATCAGGCGCAGCTTGGTGAATCACATATGTTGACCCCAGTATCTGGTGGCGGCTCGCCCTGCGTCCAACAACCAACAACTCTTCCCCAGTACCCCTCAGCAATGACTCCCATGCAACCCCAATCCAGTCCGTCCGGACCCTCGAGGATGGCCTGGCACAACACCGTTTCCATGAGCGCTCCCCAGAGCCAGGTTGGCTCGCCGATGGCGATGAACCCTACCACATCCGAGAGCCATTTCGAGATGAACTACATCCAAGCAGAACCCGAGCATGAACGCGAACCTCCCGAGGACTACTACTTCGGTAACTACACGGTTTCTGCGCCATCTGAATCGGAACAGGGCTCCATTTCCCCCCAGATGTCCCCGGCCTACTACATGTCTCAACCCCCGCAGCAAATGATGCAGCCGCATCCTATCATGAATGAGTTATCTATGAGCCAGATTCCGAATCCTTCGCAAGCCCAGGCGCAGTATTATGCCCAGCCGCCGGCCAACACTTGGGTGGAAGAATCCGATATCACAGCCTTCAAGTCTGAAGCTACCAGGAGGCGTAACTGGGGTTACGCCCTTCCAAGCACACAGATACAACGGCCGGAAGTCGTTCAAAGAACCAACCGAACGCGCCAAAATAACCCACAAGCAGCGGGCCGTTGCCAAAGAACACCCCGTGTCAGAGCTCGAGCCGAACAGCCTGAGACAGAATCTTCTGAAGAGCCTATCGCCGGTGACGAGATTCATCACATCGACTTGCTCCCAGATGATTTCGTCATCAAGGCGGAGTGCCCACAAGAGCTCCACTTCCTCTTCGAACGTCAGAGAGAGATGATAGTGCAAGGCGTCAAGGGTAGCGGGATGTGGGACTTGATTTCAAACGAGCACAAAGAAAGGTTCGAACACGCAAGTACAGCTGCACGTTTGCAGATGCAAGTGACAAGAGGAAGATCCAATTTTTTGGAGTGGTCACCCAGAGACGTAAGTCATCGTCATGCTACAGCGATGTCTTTGAGCAACAAAACTAACGCCGGACCAGAAACATATTCTTAAGGACGCTTTCGATTTCGTCGATGCTCAGTATTTCAAGATGGTTCACCGCAAGTGGAAGGAGTACGGCGGCGGTCAGACAACTGCGTGGGGCTCATCTGACGTTGAGTACCTGGCAGTCGATCGTGGCATGGTAGACTCGGGCTACACGCCCTTGCCCACCTCCCAGCAAGGGAAATCGCGCAGAGGAAAGAAGATGCTCACCCGTCTGAGGAATATCGCCACAAGCAGTGCTGTCTTGCTTGACGAAACAGCCGAATCAACCTCGCCGCAGAACCCAGACATGCGCCAACAAATCATCGATGAGATCTACGAGTACCGTGGCGAGGACCCTGAAGACGGTTTCGACGAAGACATCATATTCAACAGGGCTCCCAGAACTCGCCCACGGGGCCGTCAAGTAGAGATCAAGATGGAGGAGGAGAGCCCTGAAGAGACGACCGCCTCCTCCAACAAGGCTAGAGGCAAGCAGCCGGCCAAGAAAAGAACGCCGGCGAAGCCTAGGGCCGTCAGAGGACGCATCGCACCAAAGCCCAAGTTGTCTTGAGGAAACATCAAGATTCCGACAACACGCACGCCGCACACCTTAGCACCACCTGCAGTGCTGAAATTCACTTCTTCCAATGGTAACTCCATAAGGGTTGGCCTTGTCATGCTTTTCCTGAGCCCAAATGGCTGGGACGATGTATAGATTGTTCATTGTCTTTTCTTTTCAAACTTTTGGTTTTTTGGTTTTTTTTTTTTGGCTGAAAAGATACCACTCATTTCGTATGGTTTTCTCATACCGGAAGGGGCAGGGGGCCGAAAGGCGGCAAGGGCTCTTCTGGGTTCCGCATATCATTATCTCGCGTACATTTACACTTCACTGTCTATATTACTTTGTGCCACTTGGAAGACTTATTCATCATATATGCACACATCACAGTCATCATCTTGTATGCAAACGCAGTGCAAACAAGACCTTATTCGTTCATCGTGTCCTTCACTCGCTTCAGTCGTGAATCTTTGATGTCGATGTCAGTACCACTTTCAAGTGTCTGCCATCTATGCGTCCAGATTAGGACCTGACGAGGGAGAAGCCCGCCGTCCCATCCACCTGCCCGTCATGATGCACCTCAAGCATGGGGTAAGACTCACAACTCATCCATCTCCAGGCAGGATTTCCGAGTTTTCGGGACCAATGCAGCATTCGCACTCACCGACGCGCCCAATGTAACAGCACCACTCTTGGAGTCTCATGACCATGTGAGGGAAGACGGCTCATCTACTTTGGCCATTCATGCCATCGTCATCAGGACACGCCAAGAACATAAAGGTCCTCTGCTCCTCTTCTACTGCTACACCACTGTCAAACATCAATAACGACTACAGTGAGAGACGAGTAGCACGCCTTATCCGTCACCTCACCCATGTCGTGCTTCATGTTGGGCTGGGCCCAGGCTAGCCCTCTTCAACGGGCACCCCGTCCGTGCTCCTCCCCCCTACCCCGATGCCGAGGGACGGGCAAGGCGAGGATTTGGGAAGGGATGAGGACCCAAAGACCAGGAAGGCAGATACAGGAGAGAAGATGCCCTGCGGGTGTGGCTTTTCTTCTTAACGGCGGTGGTGGATCCGGCAACACTATACAATCATCGCCTCATACCATAGAGGGCGTACTACACTACATCCACAGCCAGACCGTGTCTGCGGCCCTTCTGGCCCGGATGCGACCTCATGCTTTTCCGCAGCCTGGGAAGTCGAAACTTTTACCCTTTTGAGTCGGATAGTGGATATGGTTCAGGGCCGAGGTGAGGGAGGGGGGATCGTGGTTAGAAAGTGTTTAAAAAAGCCCATCACGGGGTGGGCTAGAGGAGAGAGAGAGGGGAGAAGGAAAGAGGATCAAGAGGAGTCCTTGGCTTTGGAGTAAACGTAAAGAGGCATTGCAAGGGCACGGGGTAGTCGCAGAGGGGCATATCTAGCGCGGGCTCGACAGGGGACACAAGGCACAGGGCAGCAGGGACAGGCATGGCGGCGACGGCGCACCAGGCAGAGGGTGGCACGGGTGGGGAGACGAGAAGGAAGACATCCTCCTTTCTTGTTTCCCCGGGGCATCCCCGTACATTTGCCTGCGCGCGCCTTGGTCCGCCCTGGACCCTGATAGAGGGGAGAGATGGCGAGGACGACGACACTCTCAGTCCTGTGAGGAAACCTCGAAAGGAGTGTGCGAGAGACCGAGAGTGGATATTCAAGCCGACGGCCCCGCAGAGCGGCTTCCGCGCACTGTGATTGTCCTTCCCGCCAAGACAGCTTCGGCTTCCCGGAGTGGCTCTGTCTGCCATTGCCAAATCTCGCGCTCACGTGAAGTGGGAAGGCTGTGAGGAATTTCGGGACCTGGATGTGCCGGAGGTTGATTGTGGCAGGGTAGGGCAGAGCCTGTCGAGCTGTGATAGAGGTAGAGGTCATTGCCTTGCTCTCAAGGCAGGTCGGGTAGTACAGGACTAAGAGAGTGTATCCAGAGGGCACGCTGCTCGTGTCATTCGTCGTGATCATGGCAGTGGCGCGGCAGCCAGCTCTCGTCGGTTGCGGGATAGGTTCGATCCGAGGCAAGATGACGACGGTGATTCAACCCCCCGATGAATGGCATCGGATAGGTGATCAATGAGAAAGTGAACGACGGCCGGAATTATGCAATCAATTCCGGACTGCGTGAAACTTCGCAGCCGGCCTGACGCGGAGGCGGACGTCAAGCCACTTCGGTTTATTGCTGTCTCACAACGCCGTGTGAGTGCCTATGAATGGTTCAATCGTTGCTCCAGACGGGTCAAGATTGCGCACCATCTCACAATCTCAATCGCATTCACAGGCATTCATCATCCATCGTCTCATCTGATCGAGCGGGAGGAAGGGGGGGAGGGTTCCCCTTGATGAAAGTTGCAGGAACGGTTGACGGGTCGGAGGGAATCTCCTCTTCCCCCCTCCTTCTCCCTCCCTCCCTCTCCCTCCCTCCATCTCTCTTTTCGCCTTTCTGTCTCTCTGTGTCTTTGTATCTCTGTCTCTCTCTGTCCCTCTCTGTTTCTCTCTGTTTCTCTCTGTCTGACCTGGGACCTTGCCCGGTGTGTGACGGGAATGCGATTGCGGACCTGTGATTGATCCTCTGCTTCCCAGGATCCGGGGAGAGAGAGCGCTCGGCGAGAGAAAGGGAAGCGCTGCGACAAGAGGCCCGGAAGGGGTGACGAAGCGACGAAACTCCCCTCCCCTGCTGCTTGGAGAACCACAAAAACCTACTAACCCTCGGGGGAACATGGTGTGAATCACGGCTACTGGTACTTGCGTACGGAGTATTCCGACCCTCTTCGTCTCCGTACGGCAACGGGTGCTAGGCTTGCATGGGCCACTAGGCGTTCCGCAGTCACAATATTCCCTTGTTTTCGCGCCTGTTGTGGAGTCTCTCTCTTCCAGCCCCCACTCGCTCGAGTCCACGTCCGGTCTGGTCTGCAGAGACACTTCATCAACTGTCCCAGGAACTCGGTAAATTAGATGGAGACAGCGCGATAAAAACGCAAACTCTCATTTTGTCAGAGTGTTCGCGGCCTGTGCCGGGTATCTTTGAGGGGACAGGGGGTGTGTGGAATGAAGCGAAGGCCGCTGGTGCCTGTTCCCTTGTCCTTCGACGGGTCCTCGCGGAGTCGAGCTCGACGCTAGAGATTTCACTTGATTTGTTTTCTCGTAATTGCGAGTATTCGGGTGCCGTCCGTGGCCTTCCGTTTCGCTGCTTCGTCTATCCATAGAGAAACCGCAGCCCCAATGATCAGAGAGGGGGACTGCGGACGAAAGCATCCCCCACCCCGCTTGCTTGGCCCATGACCCATTGGCTATGGGGTTTCCATGGTGTTCATCAACTGGAGGGGTTTGACTGGGCTGAGCTGCCATCCTCGAAGCGATGTAGCCCTCTGTTGCGACTTGCCGTGCCTTGACAGGCCAACCTTGCCCGATATACACGCCAATGTCGTCCACTTTGTTTTTCCGATGATCTTTCCAGACATGATCGTTTGTCACCCAACGCCATGGTCGGCCGCCGCCTTCATGGGGGCGTTATCATGGAGTGTATGTGTATGCAGCCCATGGCCCAACCCACTCGTCTGATCACAGAGAGAACCCAAGGTTTCCTATGTGGTATTTGGTGAATGGCAACCCCAGATTTTGGTCTTTGCAGGCGCCCAATTCGTGTTGCGCCTGCGCCAAACGGCCTTCTTGCTCCAACAACAAAGCTGCGAAGCGCGAAGCGCGTGTGCCAGGCTGGAAAGGCGATCATGCCACCCATCACGTCTGCCATGCGCTACATCCGGAATGAGCTGCCAGATCATCGCCTAACGGGCGAAGAAGTGGTCGGTAATTCTCATCTGCAGCGGCTAAGCCACTATTCATGCAAAAACTAGCCAGTAATATGGCTATCCGTCTTTTCGGGACGAATCAGAATTGCAGAATAGAACCGCCTGCCGGGTATGACCTTTCCCTTGCAGAGAAGTCGTAGCATCCATACAAGTAGACCAGCAAGCAAGCCAATCTAGTAAACCATCGCGCCATCCACCAGCGTCAGGGAGGCAGTCGTTCACCCTACTCTCCGCTTTTCCACCAGTAGACGCTCGGTTTCTGCGTACTACCAATGGAACGACTGCAAACACGCACTTTGGTCCAGAGTTTCTGCAGCTTCTGCTTCATTTTTTCTTCTTTGCGGGCCTCGTTCCAAAGCATCGGGTCCAAAGTCGGTGAAGACAAGATTGCTCTTATTCCGGAGAGGAATCCAAATCGTTGTGCTCCTGCCTCATTTGGATGTTCGAAACAGCCCCAGTACCGAATCAAACGGTGCGCCATCTGGCAATCGACTAGGCATCAAACACTTCCCAGAAAGAGGGAGCCGGGGGAGGGGTTGAAAAGATTGCGCCCGCAGTCCAGGTTTCCAGGCATCTGCTCTTTGACACCCGCCGTAAGCTCCGCTCTTGCGATCTAGAGCTCTCCTAGAATTGCTTAATTATTTGGAATCGGAAGAAGATCAAATCTTTGCCGCTGACCCAAAAAAAGGAGATATTCAGCTCGAAGGCTGAGTACCTTGGCTGGCAGGGTAGGTACAGCAAACATTTTGTGCCTGATGTGCCTCTTAGAAAGGACGACTTGGGATAGAGCGTCACCGTAAAGTGATGACGATAGACCCTTGCCAGGGACTCTCGCAGCGAATCCGGTGTTCAGCCGGCGTCGCTTCAGCAGCGTATCAGGATGGCGCCACTCTGCACGTTCTTCGCGTTCCAGGAGCGACTCTTCTCTTTTGAGAGGTGCCCATTACCCTACCCTGGGACAAACGACTGGTATTGGGGACGTCGTGAGCAATCATCGAGGCTGCAGTAGAGCTAGTAAACAACAACACGGTCTTAGAAGCGACTATTTCGGGTAACAGATTTTCGACTGCTGAACCTGCGAACTGGGTACGGGAGGCTGAAGCCATGGCCTGCCGAAATGGCCTGGCGGTGTGCGCGGCCCGTTTGGCGGCCACCTGCGATTCCATCACAAATAGCCGGGGGTTGATGACCGGCTGCACGAATAGTGCTAGTGGGCCGGATGGACGTCACAGCTTGTCGGAAACTCTGCCCCGAAATGGCATTCGCCGACGAAATCGATGGTGGAATTCACTTGCCCTCGGAATGGCTTGACGTTGTGGGGGCAACAACGGCAAAGGACCGCTTCGTTCCGAAATTGACCAGTGTCGGCCGCGGGGTCTGAGCCAAGTGTGCACGATGTCGACATCCTCATGCAATTGCTTCAAACATGTGGATTGAAAGTTGGCAACGTAGAAGAAGGGGTGTTGCGCTTATGCGGCGCGCCTGTTGCCCAACAATAGAGGTATCCTCCGTTGAGGTTGACTTTGGAGGATTTTGGCGCTGTGGGGTTGTTGGAAGAAAGAAAGCTTCCCGTCACTTAGCGCCCGAACGGTGACGAGTGCACTGGCCACACCTTGTTCTACATACCTTAGGTGATGAGGTAAGATTCTGCGATAGGTAAACAAGATAAGGGGGACACAATCTTGCTTTGGGTGACTGAAGCCGTTCGCGATCCTTCTTCTTCTTCTTCTTCAATCTTTCGGGTCTCTGTCAAAACGCCATTGGCTCGCATTCCTCCTTCCCATAACCTGAACAGAAGCCTGGAGGCTCAGCTGAGTTGATGTTTTGGCCGATTTCTTCATTGAACTGCATGGTATTACCGCGTCAAACCCAATTCTTGTTGAAGCTGACTTTATCTATACTGGCCAATGTCTTTCCTGTTCTTATTCCGTCCTCAGAGAATCGTCGGAGATCATTTGTATACGGATGATGGGCATTTAACGACTCGACTCAGGACTGCCGCGTATGACAAAGAGAGAGAGAGTGGGGGAAAAGGCATAAAGCCGTTGGCCAATCCTATGAAAATGAGGGAATCCCGTTATGACTTTGTCTACACCTTCTAGAAGCCTGCTCGACAACTAACTCAAGTTGCGTTCGTCCAATCTGGCAATCCGGCAAGTGCCATAAGTTGAGGTGCAGCACCGAGTGCAGGGCTCTAGCAGCGACGCACCGACTCAGTGATGAGTCAGCAGCTCCACCAATGGGAGGAAGATGACAGACATCGCATCCCACTTCTATGCTCGACGTCAAGGGGACACGAGACCTATCAAGGGCGGCCAACATCTTCAATTCAACGCTGTTCCTTTCTTGTTCTGCGAACCTTTCATTTTCCAGTGATACCCATGTCATTTTTTTCGAAGTACGACTTGCTTGATGGCACAAACCCCATGAAGAACCTCGTCTTCAGTCCCACATAGATCGAGAGGCATCTGCCGCTGGCAGCCCGCTGATTGATGGGAACCCGGCCAAGCGCTGGCATTCAGAAGAGATAACAACACCATGCTGTCGCGATCATTAGTACTGGGCCATCTGTGTCTTCTATGGCCTATAGTCGTGTTGGCGATCAGCCAAGCTCACCTTGCCGACCTTCGCAATGCAACCACCCAAGTCTTCCACCATGGCTGGGACAACTACATGCGCGTTGCATTTCCAGAGGATGAGGTATGCGACTACTTGGAGCTCTGCAAGACACTGATAGCAGACTGACTTTGCCTGCAGTTACGGCCGATCTCCTGCACCCCACTGACGCGCGATCCCGCGAACCCCGGAAACTACGATTTGAACGATGTCCTCGGCAACTACTCCCTTACTCTCATCGACAGCCTTTCGACCTTGGCGATCCTTGCAGGGACACCTTCCGATGAACATACCGCTGTCTGGGCTCTGCAGGAATTTCAGCAGAGCGTGGCGGCTTTCGTCGAATACTATGGCGACGGGAGACGCGGGCCTTCCGGGGAGGGGCGCCGGGCGCGAGGCTTTGATCTGGACAGCAAAGTCCAGGTCTTCGAGACAGTTATCAGAGGAGTCGGTGGCTTGCTAAGCGCGCATTTGTTCGCCATCGGAGAATTACCTATACCCGGCTACAACCCTGCCCAAACCTTCAACGAAGACGAGGATCCGCTGGAGCTGCACCCTATAGCATGGCCAAATAGCTTCAAGTACGATGGGCAGCTTCTCAGGCTAGCTCTGGACCTTGCGGAGCGGCTCCTGCCTGCTTTCTACACAAACACAGGCCTGCCATACCCGAGAGTCAACTTACGACATGGCATTCCTTTCTACGTCAACTCCCCACTGCACAAAGTCTCTCGCGATGACCCGGATTCGCCTCGAGCGACAAATGAAAAGACAGATACGTGTAGCGCTGGTGCGGGAAGTCTTGTACTGGAATTCTCTGTCCTCAGTAGACTCACGGGCGACTCGAGGTTCGAACAATTGGCTAAACGGGCATTTTGGGCAGTGTGGAAAGCCAAAAGTGACATCGGTCTTGTTGGCAATGCAATTGACCCTGAAAAGGGCGAATGGGTCAGCTTTGACTCGGGAATCGGCGCTGGTGTTGACAGCTTCTTTGAATATGCACTGAAAAGCCATATTCTACTGTCTGGCCACGAGCTGCCAAATGTTACAGCCCCAAAACCACCGACTGATCGGCAATGGCTCGATCCCAACACGTTACACGACATACCTTTGACGCCTGAGGAGAACTCCGCAGGGGCTTTCCTGGAGGCGTGGCACCAGGCGCACGCAGCGATCAAGCGTCACCTCTATAATGACGCGCATCACCCATACTACATGACGGGCCACCGAACTCGCGGATACGCTTTCACTAGCTGGATTGACAGCCTGGCAGCCTTCTACCCTGGCTTGCTTGCGATGGCTGGCGAAATCGAGGAGGCTGAGGAAGCCAACCTACTATATACTGCTCTGTGGACCCGCTACGGGGCGTTACCCGAGAGATGGTCTGTACGTGAGAGACAGGTCGATTCTGGCATTGGCTGGTGGCCTGGCCGGCCTGAATTCATCGAGTCCAACTATTACCTGTACCGCGCTACGAACGATCCCTGGTATGTGCACGTTGGGGAAATGGTTCTCAGTGACATCAAGAGACTGTGTTACACGAAATGTGGTTGGTCCGGCCTACAGAACGTCGACACAGGGGAGAAGGCCGACCGTATGCAGAGCTTTTTCCTTGGCGAAACCACCAAATATCTCTACTTGCTCTTCGACCCAGACCACCCTCTGAATAAGCTCGATGCTTCTTACGTTTTCACTACCGAGGCGCATCCGCTGATTATTCCTCGGCGAAGGACGAAGCCAACAAAAAAGCAGAAGCGCCGCAAACAACACAGCAGCGTTGATGTCTATTACGACGAGAACTTTACAAACACCTGCCCTGTCCCAAAGCAAGTCCCTCTTACCGGTTCTGTTCTGGCTGCGCGGTCCGACGTCTTTCATGCAGCAAGTTTTGTCAACTTACATACCATCTCCAACCCACGTAGTGGAGTGGAGTTGGTTCCCGCAGGCAAAGGCAATGGTTCGATATCAAGATATAAGGCAAACCATACTTTCTTCCCTTGGACGCTCCCACGCAACCTTATCCCAGATAATGGCACATGTGCCGCATTGCCTTTCAAACCTACGCTGGTTATCGAATTTCCGGCAAACATCCAACAAGGTAGCGTTGGGAGTGCTTTCAACAGCCTTTTTGCCAACACTGCCGCCTTCAAAACACCGGTGGGCGTCAGGATCTCTGCTTTGAGTGGATTGAAGGTCCACTTCGTTCAGGAGGATTCGTTCGATTCAGCGTACGATCATACCTGGAGGGTCACTCAGGTCAATCATATGCCCCTGGGGCGAGACGAGCCGGTACATATCGACGCGGACCTCCTGAAAGGCATCTCTGATCCACTGTTCAATCGCGTTCGCTACAAGGGGTTCGTTGAGCTCATCATGATGCACGGGGAGCCGGAAGAGCGTAACGCTAGTGCACCGGCACCTGCCGAGGGGCTCGAGGTTGAGATTGGTGACCTTGACGACCAGGTTCAGCTGACCGAAGAGGCGCACTCTGGGCTCGTAGAGGATCAGGCTGCCGGCAAGAGTGTGAACACCGCCTACAGATCCATGCTCAAGTCCATGATTCGCGCTGTTACGTCGGTCTTTGAGCCTACCAACACCCCAGCGCCGCTCCCTGCTGGTGCCAAGACAAACTTCCACGTTGAGAGCTACATGGGTGCTTTGGCAGTGGGGAAAGGGGCTGTTCCACTACCAGATGTTTCTGATGCTTCTATCCCGAGCGACGATACCCTTCCGAACCTCTCTTGGCAAACAGTCTATCAGGCTGGTTTTGGGTGTGACGGTCGCCTGCCTGACGAGGCGCCTCGCAATCACCAAGTTATTGTCCTGCGTCGCGGAGGTTGCTCGTTCAGTGAAAAGATTGCCAATATCCCCTCTTACACACCTTCACCACGATCTCTACAGCTCGTTGTCATTATCGATGAGGAGCATCTTGAGACCAACTATGTTTTCAGCCCCCCCGACTTGTGGGAATACGAGATGATTAAACCTCATCTCGACGTTGAACAGGTTACACCGTCGGGGCTGCGACGGCCGCATCCCATCGCCATGGTGATGATTCGCGGCGGTGGACCCGAGGCTTATGAGAAGTTTGGCAATGCCCTCGGGGTGGGAGTTCGGAGGAAGTACTTCATTGAGACTCAAGGGCGGAGGGTGGACAATATCATTGTTCTATAAATGGGGCAAATATGGGTACGTCAAATCAAAGAGGATGAGGTTGTTACTCATTGAACTGGGGTTCATGGTCTTTTGCTGCTGCATACCGGTACATTGTATATACGGGCCTGGAGGTGCATGATAGATACCATCTGTGGAGGAGTTGCCGTGTAGCTTGATGCTTCGATGTTAAGTCGCATATTCAAAATTTGGCCGTTATGAGCCATTTTGATTGATTTGGTGGCCGGCGAAACTATCCTCAACAATATGATGCCCCCGTAAAGACCCTCTGCTTATCCTGTATCGTTGACAAATATTTCATGGTCCTTTTCGTTTGGATTTGTGAACGGAAGCCAGTTTTGAACATGTTGATTGAGATCAAAATGGCCCACATATCACGAAGATTTCGAACTTGGCAATAGAAGCCGCGATGAGAGTAGGGAATTGTGAATCGTTGAAACTCATTTGGGTGCTGCTTTATCCAAACCAATTTCCTCCATTGCCGTGAGTCGCTCCTGCCATTGAAGTCGGTGTCTGAGGTTGTAGCTTCGCCCAAGGCAGATTTTGTGGGCCTGGAAGCTCCCCAATGACGCGCCAAAGAATACCGAACCCAAGGGGTGAACCCCTAAATCAAACATTGCCCTTCCGCAACTTGAAATTTTCGGCACCGTGGCGAGGTTTCTAGCTAGGAGCTGTCAGGTTGTGTTTATTTCAACTCCCCTCGAGTTCAAAATCGGACTACATCAAATCCCACATCCCAAAGGAGCCTCACATTTGCCGTCTTGCTTCTCCACTGTCACGGAGGGACGCCTCATTATCCCGGAGCATACCTTGCCAGGGTAAATCAATGGATACAGCAATACCACACCACGGGTGACCACATCAGGAAAGCGCATTCACGATACCAGAATTGTTGATTCGTTTATTTGCCATCCTTCACAATTCCAAATCTCACAAATCATAGCATCGAGCATCGGCTGCGTTACGTTGCGCATACATGTCGGCGGGCATGTTCAAGGCCAAGTGATACGTTCTGACCTCATCTGATGAGGAGCAATCCGAACTCGAGACAATCTTTTGACACTTCAACTCGCATACAGCAACATACCCCCATAGTTTCAACGTATATTACGTTTGGGACCCTACCTTTGACCAGACGATCCAATCGGCCTAATCTTCCGGGCACGTCAGGTCTTACTCACCGTACGATCTCGAATAGGACATTGTCGTCTCGGATTTGTAAATTTCAAAGACGGGCCTGTATCCTGAGGTAGCTATGGAGTCACCCTTCTTTGACGCCGAGTCTCAACCCAAGCCCGCGAGCTTCAAGGGCCAACTTCAAATGCAGAACTTCATGTTCACACCGACAACCGCGGCACCCAACAATGATCCAGCCGCGGCTGCTTCTGTCATCGAGTCTGCTCCGTCCCCTCGTCCGTTACCCCGGCCGCCACTCCGTCGCAGTTCGCGGAAGCAGACTCCACTCGGCCCCGTTCCCTCTCGGAACCGAATCACCAAAAACACCACCGGCACCCGTGGTCCCGAATCCACTTCGTCGAAATTCAACAGATCCTCCTCAGTTTTCGTCTCTCCCAAAGTTGAGCTTCCAGAAGACTCGCAGGACGTATTGTCCATCATCCCAAACAACCAACCAAGCCCAACGCCAAAAGCAAAACCAAAACGCAAGCGCAAGGCCGCCGCAGGCTACGCGCCGCCCTCAACCTACGCCCACCTCCCCCACCTAACCGACATTCTCGCCCCGGACCTGCTCATCCTCTTCGTCGGCCTCAACCCGGGCCTCCGCACCGCGGCCCTTGGCCACGTCTACGCCCACCCCTCGAACCTTTTCTGGAAACTGCTCTTCTCCTCGGGCATCACACCCCGCCTGTGCCACCCGACAGAGGACCGCGAGTTGCCGCGGCTCTTCGGGCTGGGTAACACCAACATTGTTGCTCGCCCCAGCCGCAACGGCGCCGAGCTGTCCAAGGCGGAGATGGACGAGGGCGTCGGGGTCCTCGAGGACAAAGTCAGGGGTTGCAGGCCCGAGGTGGTCTGCCTCGTGGGTAAGTCCATCTGGGAGAGCGTCTGGCGGGTGAGGCACGGGAGGGGGATCAAGAAGGAGGAGTTCTGGTACGGTTGGCAGGACGAGAGCGAGAACATGGGTGTCGTTGTGAAGGAGGAGGGTGCCGGGGCTTCTGAGGCGTGGGCCGGCGCCAAGCTCTTCGTTGCTACGAGCACAAGCGGTCTCGCTGCCACGCTCCGCCCAGCTGAGAAGGAGAAGATTTGGCGGGAGCTAGGTGTTTGGTGTGAACAAAGGCGCGCTGAGAGAGAGGCACAGGTGCTTGAGGGAACGGTCAGAAGCACTACCGCGGGCTGAGGAACAAGGCAACATATTCACAGAACACTTGGGGCGTTTATATTTCTCGTCGATGAGGTTGGTCCACCTCATCGCGATGGCCATTTTTAACACGACTGTAGCAGCACTGAGCTCAGAATCACCTGGCACATTATCGGTCAACCAGCACAGCATACTCTGTTTAATTCGTTCATCGAAACTAATAGCTCATTTTTCATGATCCCCCAGTGATGGACCCTTTCCAATTATCATAGAGTCTAGGACTCTTGCAGAGTCGTTTACAGGGTATCAGAACTCCAAAAATAAAACTCCAGGAAGTAAAATAAGTCATACAGCCAACCCGTATGCATGAATGCCATGCATCATTAATGTACAAAGGCTTGCGCATTCATTCATCATGCTGTATCGATTATGCGGCGAAGACTGTTGCCAGAACGACCAGGGCAACGGGCCAGAAACCGAGCGTCTCCACAACGGTGCGGAAGGCAGCGGAGCCAACCTCGTCGGAACCGCCGGCAGCAGTTGTGCCGTTGGGCAGGGTACCGTTAATAAGAATGGTCTCGCTGCCCTTGTACTCGCCAATGTTGACGACGGACTTGTTCAGGGCAGCGTAGCTGCCGTTGCCGAGGAGCGAGTTCATGTAGTCTGTGCTATTGTTCTCGTCGCAGCCGCAGGGCTGGTACTCCTCGCAACCGCACAGCACCGGCTTCGTCTGGTTCTGGCGAGCCGTCTCGTTGTAGTACCGGTAGGGGGAACCGTAGGGATATATATGTGCGCCGGCGAGCCAGAGACCGGGCCAGAAAGCCAGGGCACCGCCGACAAGCAGGAACGGCACAATGCTGCCCCTCCTCTGGCCGGCCGGGTAGGGAGTCGTCGCACCGCCGCCGTAGTATCTGCCGTTGCCGTACGCTGGCGGCGGTCCGCTTCCCGTCCTCGTCGATCCTCCAGAGCTATCGCGGCTGCCGCCTCTCGAGGTACTTGATTTACTGTTAGTCTGCCTGCTGCTGCTCCTCGGGGATGATCCGGACAGGGACTGTCCAGAGGAGGAAGACCTGTACCTGGAACCGCCGCTACTGCTGCCACCGCTTTTTGAACCACCTGAACCGCCTTTTGATGAGCTTGATCCTGAACCAGAGCCGGAGCTGGAGCCGCCAGAGCGACTGCCACCTCCCGACCGGGACCCACCTGAAGAAGAGCCTCCGCCGCGACCACCGCCGCCGCCGCCTCCACCCTTGCGCTTCCACAGCTTCTCGTCCTGCTGGGTGTTGTCGCGCTCGGCTTTGGGGGCGAGGAATGCGACGTCGGAACCGTGAAGACCAGGTTCCACGGCAGCGGCCCACACGGGCGCGAGCAGCGTCAGCGCGACGACTGCGATACCTACTCTCATCTTCGCTTCGGTCGGTTGTGTTTACTACGCCTATTCTTCGTTGGGTAGGTAGGTAGGTAGGTAAGTAGGTGTGTAGTCGGAATGCGACACAGCAAATGCCAATCTACAATGGGGACCACAACGCGTACAAGTCTCGTGTGCGATTCGGGTGCGAATGGGCCGAGGTTGAGATGTGGGCAAGATGTAAGATTAAGAAGGTAGCATGAACTGGCGGAAGTGGGAGCCAGGGTAGTTTTGTCTCTTCCCCCGTTTCAACACTGATGCGCAAGCGTGTAGGATGCCAGGAGATGCGCTTTGTGACTGTCTATCCACTGGCAGGGATGCTCCGACTGGTTGAATACCTATGCCGTCAGACGATGGCTATGTGTAATGGACTGAATGGTCGCCACCACACTACACACTATGACGGAAGGCCGGATGAGCTGGTACGCCCTGAAAGTGGTGCTTCCCGTTTCCTCTGCGCTCTTGATTGCCTGGCGCTGTTCGGTAGGATTTGGGTAACCGGAGTTCGGTTCTTTGGCGTACTTTGAGGATCGGCGATAAAGGTACTATGCAATGGCAGGGATCTCTTGGGTGCGTGCGGCGTTTGGAATGCGCGATGAAGTCGCTGTTGAAAGAAGGATTTAAGTCGGTGCGACCTCTTTTAGGACAGTGTCTTTCTTAGGCGGAGGGGTGTGGCGGTCTATGATGCAAGCAGGGGCCTTGCTTGTCGCTTGGTGAAGTTGGTAAGGAGGCGAGGAGGCTCTTTTGTTTGGTAAGATGATGTTCTCGAAGGCGTGAAAGGAACGACGACGAGGGGAAGTGGAAAGACCTTGTTCAGATATCTTATAACTCTTATGCAGGCCTTTCCATTTCCACGTTATATCACGATGGGAAGGCAGTAAGCATTGGGTACAGCCTAGGTACTGGTGGCGACACAGCCGCCGAACAATCTTTTCCTATGGATCCATGTTTATCGTAAATCCTCCCACCGCCGCAAGGTGTTTTCCTACCTTGTGGACGGTGCTGCCTGAACCCTGGCATACGCTTTGGTGACGGCGTTTTCCAACGCGCCACCCACTAAGGCATCAAGCATCGTTTGTCGTGGCGGTATACCATCCCATAAGACGCAAAACACAGCGGACAACCGCAGTCGCTGACTATTTACCGCTGTCCGTTTGCAGTCACCAAGGTCTCTACCAGCAGGGTGTGACATCCCTTCAAAGCCGAGTGGAAAGAAGCTACCGTACGCAATGGCAGACGATCACCTATCTAGGCCATAGACCGTTGCTTGAGCCGTTGCGTTTCTCTACCACCGCCTCTCTCTGGAATCGTCAATGAGCGTTGATGACTTCTTTGAATTGCTAATAACTGGGAGTTTACAAAGTAGTGATGAGAATCTCGCAGCATCGAGGCACAGTCGGGCGATGCCAAGACGACTAGTTCGGGGACTTGAGCAACCGACTGAGTGAGGTTGGAGGGTACCTAGGCACTCAGCCACTGGCACGCCAGGACGCGGGTTTCTGCCTAATGAGGTCCCAGCGATGGCAATGTCCCCCCCCCATCTCGCTTATTCAAGCTTAACTAGTGGCTAAGGTAATACCTGATTTGTCACGTTGAGTTGAGCAAAGAGGCTGTGCAGTCACATTTCGTACCAGTTGGCGGACAACGTCTCGCACTCGCTACCTACCTTATCCTCTCCACTCTCTCGTCAGCCAGCAAGCAGTACCAGTTACCAGGTCATTAGTGTGCCAGCGTGCCAGCCTACAGGGTTCTATCGTGGGTAGTCGTACCTTTGCACTCTGCCTTATGATCTGACTTGCTCACCTGCCCTGTAGCGCCAAAGCTTGGTACTCTAGAGACAGGTGAGATCTTTGGCCCCATATCCTTCAGTATCGAATTCTCGTCCCCTGGCTGCCTCGCGGGTTGCCTCGCGCCACCTTTTCGGACCTTGTCGACCTCATGCTTGTTGCCTCCTCAACAATTGGGCGTCCACCGCAACCCCCTCTTATCATTACAAGCTCATTCCCATACGACCTATCACACCCGTGTGCGGGGTTTCCTCTCCTCGGATTCATATGTCTGACCAAAGTCTTTTTATTCCCTTGCACCCGCGCCTACCCCTTCGGTCTCGGTCAGAACTAGATCTAATATCCAAAGGAGAGAGACCTTGAACATGAGCAGTCCCGACAAGAGTCTCCTGGACCGCCTGAGCGCGTTGAAGGGCGGCAGTCCCGGAGTGTCATTGGACAGGTCATTAAAGTAAATAAGAAACCACACAAGCAAAAAATAACCACCGGCATCTTCGGGAGACCAATTTGCTAAGGTTTTCTGTCAAGTGCCCTCAATGTCTCCCTCACGGGCATCAAGCCAGCGAAATCGCCTTCGAGAGATGATGCACTGTCCGCTCGGTTGAGGTCCCTGAGGAACACACCCGAGCGTGAGGAACCACCCCCTCCGCAGCAGCAGACCGCAAAGGTCACGGCGAATTCTCACCTCGGTCAGCAGTGTCCGGCATCCCCATCCCGGGGGTGGTCTCGCGCGGGACCAACACCGCCCCATTCCCAGCCGCAACAGTCCTCGAGATCGCCCGCCGCTCCGGCACCGGCGGCTCCGACGGCAGGAGCGGGGGATGACGTTGATCCTCTCCTGCAGACGGATGACCAGACCCTCGAGGATCTGCTCAACGACGAGGACTTTGGCCCGCAGCACCAGTGGCGCTCCAATCCCAAAGATGAGTCCGCCAAGGTGAACTTGCTTCTAGAAGAGCTCTCGAAGGCCTCGGTGGACCCGTCTCGGAGTAAATGGCGAGATGGACCTGTTGACGGCCAGGATGATGATGATGACTCGGATAGCGGAGGAATGGGCCGCGAGGTGGAGGATTTGCTCTCACAGGCTCTGGAGGAGGCGGAGTACAATTCTCGGCGAGAGTCTATTCCACCAATACCGGGCGATAAGTACGGGGCTTCCGATGATGGAGGCCAAGATACCTCGCGAGAGGATCATCAAGGTGGAGGTGACGGTGGCACAGGGCTCTCCCTCCCCTCAGTACCCTCAACCATCGCAGTCCCCAAGGCAGACGATGAAGCCGAAGGCGGCCTCCCCGACCTCATGCTTCCTTGCGTACCGTCCAGTGCCCCCAAGCACGACGCCGCATCAGACTTTGACAACGACATCGCGGCACGCATGGCCGCACTGAGCGGTCTCGGCTCCTCGTCGGACGGCGGCATGGGCCTCCCCTCCGTACCGACATTTCAACCCGCGGATCGCTTCGTGAAGCAGAAGCGTCTAACCTCCAAGACGGGCTACACCGACGAGGATGCCGCGACATGGTGTACGGTTTGTCTAGAGGATGGCACGTTGCAGTGCCTTGGCTGTGAGGATGTCTACTGTGCCAGGTGCTGGCATGAAATGCACGTTGGCCCAGCAGCGGCCTTCGATGACCGGACGCATAAGGCCGTCCGGTTCGTCAAGCCCAAGAAGGATAGTGAGAAGAGGGTCATGCTGGGAGCCTCATGAGAACAAATAAACAGTTTTGAGCATTCTGTGACGCTAAATTGGACTACCAACCCGGTCCCCACCACCCTCAGCTTCGTGTGCCTTGACCGTGGTTCAATACAAAATTCCACGCTTCCCGTACCGTTAATGATATGTAATGTGTTTGGTTTACAACCCGCCCGTATACGCTCGGCACAATGTTTCCGATGTTAAGGGAGCCACGACGCTGGATCAGGCCTCAGAAGACCCAGCACCATTGTGTCCTTCCTGCGTACCGTAAGTAGTCTTCTTGGTGCGTCCCGTGATATCCTGCCATGTCGCTCCGAATCTGCGACCGGTGCTTGCCAGCAAACCCTCCTCTTCATCCTCCTCGGCGTCCTCGTCAACCTCGGAAACATTGAGCTTGGGAGCCCGGAATAGTCCAGTCGTGAAAACAACGAGGAAGATTCCGAGGAAAACGAACTGGGCCCAGAAGTCCAGCATGCCAAAGAAGGGCCACGTGATTGCGATGCGGTTGAGAAATTCGGCCATGATTGAAGGCGTGCAAACCTTGAGGGCCTCGGGATCCAGCGCTTCAGAGCACTGCACTAGATAATCGGGTCTCTCCTTGCAGTCGGGGGTCTCACCAGCGTGGTGAGGAGCTGTGCAGTACGTCTGAGTGCCGTACATGGAGTACTGGGGAGCAACCATGTTCGCGATAGTGTAGTTGATGGCTAGGATAATGAGGGCCAGCATGACTGTCGCAATGAGGAGAGCTTGCGGCGCGGTGCGTCCCTTGCGGATCTGGAAGATGCGAACCCACAAAAATCGGATGCCGATGGTGGCAATACCCGTGATTGAACTGCTGAAGAAGAAGAGGACGAGGAGTGCCATCAAGACGTAATCAATCGGGAAGGCCTTGGCCGACTGAATGAAAATCCAGTTGATAGGCTGGAAGATATTGATGTGGCCCAGGATGTAGCCGCACTTGCCCTTGCAAAAGGAGTTCTTCGCCTTGTCGATTCCCGTGATCAACATTGACACCCAGATCAAGACGGAGAGCAAGAGCAGTAGGATACCGCCGAGAAGCTTGATGGGCCGGAAGACGGCGCAGACCTTGAGCCAAAACCTGTAAATGGTGCTGCGGCCTTCTCCGGAGGCCTCTGCGGCGAGTCTCTCACGACGAGTTAATGTGCGCTCCTCTCGCACCAGAGCCTCGAGTTCACGCCTGTCCTTGGACGACATGCCCTCGGGACGGCCAGCATTGCGCATTTCCAGCTGACGCTGACGCTCGCGGTTCTGCTCCAAAGCCGATGCGGTGCTTTCGGTAAGTTGAGGTGCAGAGATCGACGGTGCAGACTTGATGAAGGACATGGGAAGCAGGGCAAGTCCGGCTGCTGTGTAGATGACATAGAGCAGAACTCCGAGAGTGACGAGAAGTCCGAGAGCGAAGGCAAGCGCCTTTTGACCATTGTTCTGAACCAGGATGCGCTTGAAGTAATCCAGGTCCCAGTGAGCACCGTTGTGATCGCCAGCGGCTGGTACGAAGAAGCCGACCAGGAAGAGGATCAGTACAAGAATGACGAAGACGAGTGTGTACTTGAGCGCACTGATGAGGCGGCTGCTGAAGGATCGACCCTCCTCGACTTCGATCTCATCGTATTCCTCGTGCCAGAAGTAGGCGAATGGAATGATCAAGAGACACAGCAGAGCGTCGAAGCTGTAGAGTGAATAATAGACGATTCGCAGTGTTTGAAGGATATCGTGAACTCGCGCCTCGGTGGCCCAATCCTTCTTCACGCCAAGCGATGCATGTGTTGTGGAGGAGATGAGGGCAATGTCGACAGGCAGGAGAAGAACCGTTGCCAGGAGGGCCGTCAGACTGACAATAGCGACGATGCTGACTATGACGGATCGCTCCCGGGGCGTCTGCCAGGTGAAGGTAGTAATGATGGCAGCCAGGAGGCAGAAGACGACTGCGGCGGCATAGGCCACCCAGATGAGGCTGGTCTGGAGCAGGCCTGCGTTGGCCATGATGGAAAGCGGTTTCGCAGTACGATTTCAGGAGATGGTGATTCTTGGGCCGTCAACCTTTGTTCTTGTTTCCCGAAGAATCAGTAGAACTGGTGCAGAGCAGTGGGCATCGCCATTGTTTCACTGCTTAATTCCTCGGTGCTTGGGGAGCTCTAGGTTAGCATGCCTGTGGTGGAGGTTGCGCCGGGTGACGTAACAGGGGCAGAAGAATTGCCTGAGCTGCTAGCTCCTGCCATGGCGACAGGCTTAGCGAGGCCTCAGCTCCCAGTCAACCTCTAGCTTGCCTGCTTTAGTGTGCTGCACCCGAGCGTCACAGTGCTGCTAGGAGGCTGCTGAGTGCTGCGAGTGCTGAGGTCTAGACCACAGTAGGCCTGCTGTACATTGGGTACCCCGGAGTTTCGGCTCTTTCTTTGATCCGCTCTGCCATCTCTCGCCAATCAGCATGCACGACACGGTCAATGGGCTTTTGCGCGACCAGAGCTCTTGAAGGAGCTGTCGTTGGATTGATTTGCGACAGGCAACCTTCTACGCTTCTGCAAACCTACGATCCCATCCATCGCCCTCGTATACTAATGACCGCAAGGGCTCCAAGGGCAATTGCCTGAGACTGTCAAGATGCAGTGCTATACAGAGCTCACGCCACCCACTGGTGTGCAGTACAGTCTCAGCTTGCCCTTCCTCTCGGCGCAAAGTAACAATCTAGTCGTCGCAAAGGGCTCTTTACTGCAGATCTTCTCGACAAAGACCATTTCTTCCGAGTTCGACACGTCGCAAACTCGAGAGCAACAGACTTCTAGGGCCGAGGAACCATACGACCGCCGATTGAACGACGATGACGGCCTCGAGTCTTCCTTTTTGGGCGGCGACGGTATGCTGGTTCGCGCCGATCGATCAAACAACACCAAGCTCGTGCTCGTGGCCGAATTTCCATTATTTGGTGTCGTAACGGGACTGGCAAGAATTAAATTGCAACACTCCAAGTCAGGTGGTGAAGCTCTTCTGATTGCTACAAGAGTTGCCAGGCTGAGCTTGGTCCAGTGGGATCCCGAGAAACACGCACTCGAGGATATCTCCATCCACTACTACGAGAAAGAAGAGCTAGAAGGCTCTCCATTCGACGGCCCGTTGAGCAACTACTGCACATATCTTGCTGCCGATCCTGGTTCGCGATGCGCCGCTCTCAGGTTTGGCCCCAGATACATCGCCTTTCTCCCCTTCAAGCAAGCCGATGAGGACATAGATATGGATGACTGGGATGAAGATGTGGATGGACCTCGGCCGGCAAAAGAGCCATCAGCAGCAGCGGCCACAAATGGAACTAGCAACATAGCAGATGTACCATACTCAACATCATACGTCCTCCCTCTACCGCAGCTTGATCCCAGTCTCCTTCATCCTGTGCACCTCGCCTTCTTGCATGAGTACAGAGAGCCCACCTTTGGCATCATCTCCTCAACACAGCGCCGCTCCAACACCTTACCTCGCAAGGACCACTTCTCTTACAAGGTCTTCACTCTCGATTTACAACAGAGGGCCTCGACCGCGATTCTCTCCGTCAACAACCTACCCCAGGACCTCTTCAAAGTCATTGCCCTGCCAGGTCCTGTCGGCGGCGCTCTGCTCATCGGCACGAACGAGTTGATTCATATAGATCAGTCTGGAAAGCCGAACGGTGTGGCTGTCAACGCCTTCACTAAGGAAACCACGAACTTCCCTCTCGCAGATCAGTCTGATCTGGATTTGCGGCTCGAGCACTGTTACATCGAACTTATGTCTGCCGAGAATGGAGAGTTGCTGATGGTGCTCAGCGACGGGCGACTGGCCATCGTCACCTTCAAGATTGATGGACGCACAGTTTCAGGGGTCAGCGTCAAGCTTGTGCCGATCGAAGTTGGTGGCAACATTGTCCAGTGTAGTGTCTCCTCCATCTCGAAGCTTAGCAGGAACGTCTTCTTCCTAGGGACTACGGGGAGTGACTCCCTTGTTCTCGGCTGGACACGAAAGCAGGCGCAGAACGCACGCAGAAAAACACGATTGGTCGACGACTCATTCGAGTATGACCTGGAAGATGAAGACATGGATGACGACGACGATGACGATCTGTATGGTGAAACGACAACAACAATGATTCAGCCCGGTGCGACTGCGAATGGGGTTTCCAAGGGAGGAGACTTGAGCTTCCGCATTCATGATTCCTTGCTGAGCATTGCGCCCATCAAGGATATGGTGTCGGGCAAGCAAGCTTTCATTCTAGACAGCGAGGAGGAGAAGAACTCGGTCGGTGTCGTATCCGACCTGCAGCTCGCCTGTGCTGTGGGCAAGGGCAATGCCGGCGCTGTTGCTATCATGAACCAAAATATTCAGCCAAAGGTCATCGGTAGGTTCGAGTTCCCAGAGGCCAGAGGATTCTGGACCATGTGCGTTCAGAAACCCATTCCAAAGTCCTTGCAAGGGGACAAGGGGGCCAACGCCGCAGTGGGTAGCGAATTTGATGCTTCATCTATATACGACAAGTTCATGATTGTTTCAAAGGTTGACCTGGATGGGTATGAGACGTCAGACGTTTATGCTCTTACTGGTGCTGGTTTTGAAGCGTTGTCAGGAACAGAATTTGATCCCGCGGCGGGCTTTACGGTGGAGGCCGGTACTATGGGAAAGCATCTGAGGATCATTCAAGTTCTCAAATCGGAAGTACGTTGCTATGATGGAGGTGAGTCGAAATTTTTCCCGTCCCAAGGCATTCACCGTCATTGCTAATCGTTGCTCAGATCTGGGCCTAAGTCAAATACTTCCGATGCTCGACGAGGACACCGGTGCTGAGCCACGAGTGATCACTGCCAGCATTGTCGACCCTTATCTTCTCCTCATTCGAGACGACTCGAGCATTATGGTGGCTCAGATCGACAACAACTGCGAGTTGGAGGAAATGGAAAGAGAAGATGACGCTATTCTTTCGACGAAGTGGCTTGCAGGATGCCTGTACAAAGACGTGAACGGTCTTTTTGGCCCGAAGCAAAAAGACGGGGCCACAACAGAAGATCACGGCATTTTCATGTTCTTGCTGAGTGCGGCGGGGGCTCTTCATGTAAGAATTGAGCAGCAACCGACTGGCAGACGTTTTGCTTACCTATCCACAGATATACGCTCTCCCCAACCTTTCTAAGCCAGTCTACGTTGCTGCTGGCTTGACCTATGTTCCTCCTTTCCTGTCCGCAGACTACGCCGTCAGACGGGGTACCGTTCAAGAGACGCTGACTGAGATTTTGGTGGCCGATCTTGGTGATGCTACTGCGGCTTCACCACACCTCATCGTAAGTCTTGTCAATTTGGAGACTTCTGTTTACTGAAACCCAAAAGCTCCGTCATGCAAATGACGACCTCACTATATACGAACCGATCCGTCTCAAATCACAAGACGATTCCGTGGGTCTGGCAAAGACTCTCCATTTCCGCAAGATCAACAACCCTTCTCTCGCCAAGAGTCCCGTTGAAGTTGCTGATGATGATGCCAACGAGCAACCGCGGTTTGTTCCTCTTCGGTCCTGCAGTAATATCAGCGGGTATATCACCGTCTTCTTGCCTGGTGCCTCGCCGTCCTTCATCATCAAGTCTGCCAAGAGCAGTCCGAAGGTCGTCGGCCTGCAGGGCATTGGTGTGCGCGGCATGAGCTCATTCCACACAGAAGGCTGCGAGCGCGGCTTCATCTATGCCGACTCGGAGGGCCAAACACGTGTCACACAGCTCCCCGCAGACACGAACTTTGCCGAACTGGGCGTTTCTGTGCGCAAGATACCGGTCGGCGATGCCGTTGGCCTGATCGCCTACCATCCCCCAATGGAGACCTACGCCGTTGCGTGCAGTGTCTCTGAGGCGTTTGAGCTCCCAAAGGACGATGACTACCATAAGGAGTGGGCCAAGGAGACCACAACCATATATCCCCGAACCGAACGCGGCATCATTAAGCTCATGAGCCCGACGACGTGGTCCGTCATTGACGCCGTTGAGCTCGAGCAGCACGAGGTCGCGATGTGCATGAAGACACTTCACTTGGAAGTTTCCGAAGAAACCAAGGAGCGCCGAATGCTCATCACCATCGGCACCGCTATCAACCGCGGCGAGGATCTGCCTATCCGCGGCCGTATCCTCGTCTACGATGTTGTCCCCGTCGTCCCGCAACCCGGCCGGCCCGAGACGAACAAGAAACTCAAGCTCGTTGCCAAGGAGGAGATACCCCGCGGCGCCGTTACCGCCATATGCGAGGTCGGCTCCCAGGGTCTCATGCTCGTCGCCCAGGGACAGAAGTGCATGGTGCGCGGTCTCAAGGAAGACGGGACGCTGCTGCCCGTTGCCTTTATGGACATGAATTGCTACGTCACGGCAGTGCGCGAGGTCCGCGGTACGGGTTACTGTCTCATGACAGACGCCTTCAAGGGCGTCTGGTTCGTCGGGTATGCCGAGGAGCCGTATAAGATGATGCTCTTTGGTAAGAGCGCGGGCAAGTTCGAGGTCTCGACGGCTGACTTTGTCGTCGCCGGCGACGAACTGCACATTGTCGTCTGCGACAAGGACGGCGTGATCCATGTGATGCAATTCGACCCGGAGCGTAAGTTCACCTCCTGAGTACTACTACCCAGTCGTCGATGATCTAAAATTTTGACTCCTTCCAGATCCAAAATCACTCCAGGGCCACCTCCTACTGAATCGCGCCTCCTTCTCCGCGGCCCCAAACCACCCGACGGCAACACTCTCCCTTCCCCGAACCTCCGCGTCCCCGTCACCGGCCACCGCCTCCAAGAACCCGCCCACGACCCTCCTCCTCGCCTCCCCGACCGGCGCCCTCGCCTCCCTCAATCCTCTCGGGGAGCAAGCCTACCGGCGCCTGACGTCGCTCGCCAACAGCATTGCTGCCGCCGTGCCCCAGGCGGCGGCCACGAATCCGAAAGCCCACCGCCTGCAACCCCTCGACGCGCGCACGCCCGGCGTCGACACCAGCGCCGGCCGCAGCATCGTCGACGGTGCCCTGCTCTCCCGCTGGAACGAGCTCGGTGCCGGGCGTCGGTTCGAAGTAGCCGGCAAGGGCGGCTACGGCGACGTACTCGAGGTCAGGGGTGAGTTGGAAGGTGTCCTAGGATGGAGCGGTATGGCCTACTTCTAGAGAAAATTTCAGCTTTTAGATTTAAATGAGGTGAAAATTTGGAATGGCATTCTGAAAGACGGATGGGGGTCAGGAACGAAAAGCGAAAGGAGCTGTTGATGGTTTTGATCCTCTGGCAGCTTTACCCCACGAGATAGATCTTGTGTCGTCGAGGACTTGATCAAAAATAGATCAAAACGCAGCGCTCGTGTAGTATACTTCATTTCAAGGTGTCATCTTTCTCAATTCACAAGGAATCAGTGCTGCAACGTTTATCCAGCGCGGTCAGCAATGCGGAATAAAGTAATTCTGAGTGTTTTGCGGAGAAGAAACAAGATAGCAAGCTTATGGGTATACTATTTACTAAGACTAAGAAAATTACCGCCCTTTTTGATCATGATGCGGTGCATGGTTTTATGGTTCTTGCTCTTCGGCAGACCTACGCAGCTCACACCTCACCATTGATGTCGTTTCTTGTTGACAACCAAACGCAAGCTGCGCACTCTGTCTCCTCTCTAATTAATTCCCTACCGCAAGGCGTCTCCTTCTAGGTACGAAACGTCTTACTTGTACACATGCCGAAATACTCGACACTCATTCAAGATACTGGTGCCAATCTTGAGTCGGCGTCTGTTGAAACGTCAGGTCTTAACGCCGCCGGAATACATGGGAAAGGTCCGAATCTGGGTGACAAAAGCCATCTACGCCGCAGTGTGATTCTTTCGACGGATGCTACCGAAACGACGCTTCAAGCCGTCGCTAAAACGCTTGCCGGTACTATTGTGACGATGGATGTCTGCGCTGTTGGTTTGTCCGTTGGGCATTTCGGAGGGGCCGGGTCTTCCGTCAGCAGCATTGCTGACACTGCGCTGACGTACCATCGCCCCGTTATCCTTACGTGACTGAGCGTTGACGCCGGAGCGCATCTCGTATTCTGCGGGGCTATTGCCAAGAGACGCCTTACGCATGCGCTTCTTCTCCTTAAGGTCTCTCTCGTAGGTGTAGGAAGGCTCTCCCTTTCCCTTCAGATCATCAGGATGGTATTGCTGTCTGGAATTAGTCCCAATTTGCAATTCTTCAGAACCGATGTCGACTCACAATTCCGTCCCATCTCTTGTAAGCACCACCTTGGTTATTGGGCTCACGCATGAGATCGGCTCCTTCCTCATAGTTCATAACATTGCCGCTCATATCAGTGCCACCGGCGGGAATAAGACCGGTGCCTTGCAACGGTACATGCTTGTCCAGGGAATCCTGAATGTACTCGCGAGGCGTCGCCTTCAAGGCCTCCAGGTTGGACTCCCTCACAGCCTCAACGGGCGCATACTTTTTGTTGCGGTTGCGGGACGCCAAAGTGGCATCATAGGGGCCGCCATGATGGTAGACGCCGCCGATGCTGTCGAGCGAGTCAATGGTGTCCGTCACGGGGCCATATCTGCGCGTCCTGAGGTGAGGTGCACGGTCTGCGGCGCGCTGCTCGCGCTTGATCATGTCTAGAGGTCGATGAGACATATCGCCGGGAAACCTCTGGTTGATGGAACCGGAGCGTCGAAGACCGCCGGAGCCTTGGTGAGAGTTCACGCTCTTGCTGCGCTGAACTGAAGAATTGGGTTGAGGTGCGTTCTCCTCGGCAATGGAGCGAGTACGGGCACTAATGCTCCGAGTAACACTCGTGCTCGGGGGGAATCGATCTCTTGGCGAAGACGGTACTCGGAGGCCGTTACTTCGAACGCTGCTACTACGGCCTAGGGGATGGTTTGGCGAGGAGGGCGACGCTGGAGAACCAAGTCCTCTAGGCTGAGGCGAAGAAGCGTGCTTGTAAGTCGGCGAGAACGGATTGGATGAATGAAAGCTGGACCGAGTTGGGCTTGCGGACGCAGGCGGAGTGGGATACGATGAGGTGCGGCTGTGGCTTTTGTGACTATTGTGGCTCTGGTTGCTACTCTGAACTGGTTCTTTGCCTTTCTTCTTCTGCGAGAAAGTTCGAAGCAATGGGTCGGGGTTTATGAATGAGCTTCCCGGTCCTGTTTCTTGGCTAGGCTCGGGTGCAGTGAGAGGGTCGAGCAGATATGCTTTAGCCTAGAATAGTCGAGTCAATTGATGAATTGGGTGGGGAATGGTAAAGCAACTCTGAGGCAAGGTCAAGTAACATGAGGAGATGATGAGTATAAGAGCATTGAGAGGCCGCGCATCCCTGTGTGGAGAGACCCGTATTATTTACGTCGTCAAGGGCTTAGGTGCAGTACGAATGATGTGAGGCAGATTTCGGGGTTGTTCTTGGAAATCCAACATGTTGGACAGGCAGTGACGCAAGAAGGGACCCCCGAGCGGCGTGGTCTGGGTGGCTAAGGTAGAACCGTGCGTTGCAGGGGGCCCGACCGTACCTTTGTTACCAGCTCATCTAGGTTGGCAGGGGTAGCTTGGACGGAGAGGGTGACTTCGAAGAACAAGTTCGGGCGCAAGCAGCTAGTGCCGTCGGGTGCCCTGACAGGAGAGAAAGGATGGGCGAGACGGGACGATCGGCTTCGACCATGGCTGACGACACCTGAACAGAGCGACTAGTTGGGCCACGACTTGCTTGGGTGCCCGGGAGTGACGGAATACAGAACATTGGGAGACAGGCTAGAAGGGTAGTGATAAGGCCGCAGATGCGACAGTGATGGGATCGGAAATGTGGAGAAGGCGAGAGTAGAAAAAAAGAACGTGGGCGATGACGATGTTGGCAGTAGCGCGCAATCGGGGAATGAACAGAAGATAATATTAACAATGTAGCAGTGCGTCGGGTGCAGGGACACACTGGAGCGAGCTGAGGTTGGCAATTGACTTACCCACTGCTTGTCGGACCTATCCATGGCTACTGACGTCGATGCGACAACCCCGATGAGTGCGTTTGTATAGTGAGGTAATCGGGTAGTCGGTGCGCAGGCGAAGCAGGTAAGGCAACGGTTCAAGGTACGGATCGGGATGAGCAGGTGGTCTAGCGCGTGCCTCCAACCAGGTTTGCAGCTCGTTTACTGGAGATTGCGACGTCTTTTTTTCGGATGATCCAAAAGCGAGTCCAGGTTGGCCAAGACAAGAAAGCGATTTCGGTATAAGGTAAGGTAGACAGCGTATGCGACACACCGAAGGTAAGGTGATGGATGGTAGTGGGACACTTTGAGGTGTCAGAAAATGATGGGCGATGCAAAGCAAAGCAATGCAACGCAATCCAGACAAGAGACGAGAGTTGAAAGACGGTAGAAAGATGGTGCGCCCCAACGTAGGCGCGAGTGCCTTTTTGATAGTTTCCAGTATTGTCCGTTGTTCCGTTTGGTGGGAAGAGTGCGGTGCTTGCCCAGCGAGGGGCAGTAGAGTCATGAGCATGAGGGTGGGCGAGATGCCTACGACAGACGTAGCCAGTCCAGGCCCTTTCCTACCTTGGACTTCTAGACCCCGTCCTTGTAAGGCAGGTCGGGTGCATGTTTGTGTGACGAGCGAGTGAGTGTGTCCAGTGTGCGAATGCAGCAAGCGCAGAGAATTCTGCGCTTATTGCTTGGGCTTCCGGGAAGATGCCAGCATGGGAAGTGACCATCATGGGACCTGCGCTGACTGGGGCAGCCGAGCTTTCCATTGGTGAATGTAGGTACCACCTACTTTACATACTGCATAAGGTAGCAACCTCGTTTGTGGTGCTCTTTCTGATTTGTGGCTGCAGTGACAAGGACCTGGACTTGGGAAGTTGGGACTCTTGGCTCTTGGGAGGAGGGGATGGAAGGGGACGGGGAAGGGAAAGGGACTGGGCCGAGACCGCATGACGAGATGGTGTGGACAGGAAGGCGGGGACTCGATACTGTCCGAAGGTGCCTTCTATCTGCGGTGTTGGGCATATCTCTCTGGAAGGAACTCGCTTTTCAGGGCAAGATTACCAGATGATTGGAAGCCCCCCCTCGTATGATACCTGCAGCGGTACCTTGCATTATCTCGCCCTCCTGAACCGGTTGAAGAGAGAATACCGGTATCAGCGCCCATCGCTATCTTGTCGTCGACATGTTCGGTGTTGACACTGTTGAGACTTCACGGGCTCCCTTGGCCTTGATCCAGCATCACAAGATCGGCGCCGCACCACTACCGTCCCCCGGCCTCCCCGACATCTCTCACGTGCGGTTCGCTGTCCCCTCTCCCCCTCAGCGGCTCCGCTCGGACTGTCACGATCCCTGCAGGGTCGTGCAACGGCATCCTCGAGTGAGTGTACGGATACCTAGTACACTGTACAATGGTACGAATACATAGGGCAGCACACGAGAAGAAACGAAACATTTTGCCTGCTAGACTGAGTTAGCTCAGCCACAAGCACCCGATAACGGGACACGCGGACCCTTAACAACGTCTAGTTGGACTTCGAATTGGTTACTGAGCCCTATTGTGTACGTCATCCCACTGTAAAAGTAAAAAAAAAAAAAAAAAAAAAACCACTCTACTATGTACGGATAGCCAGGGGATCGGCAACCGCAACATCCCACTCCACCTTTCCACCTATGCCGCAACGGTTGCAGGGCTGATATTGCAGCCGCACTATCATCAGACCAAATCAAATCGCATGCGGCCAATGCCGCACAAAAATAGAGTCGGGATGCGCGGGCAAGCAGACTAAGCGGTACCGACACCGGCAATTACCATGGGACGGAGACACAACGGAGCCTTCGTAGCCGACTCGTCCACGTACGTAGTAGGTATGCACCATCCAACTCCGCTGCTTATACTCTGGGACTCGGGAGTCGGGGCACTTAGGCCGCATAACGGGGGCATACGGGAAAGGCCCAGTCCACGTCTCATCGCCCCTCTGTCAGGGCAATGCTTGTCCGCAACACTTCGCGAGAACACGTTGTCCGACTGGGAACGGCCTTCACCGCCACCCATCAATCAATTCTAAGGGCTATGCGCTTAAAATTATGGTCCGTTGGGGTCTTGTTTCCTTGCCGGTCATAAGAGAAATACGAGCAATTTGTCTCTCATTTGCAGCATCTTATGCCGAATTCAAGACAATCAGAAACTTATGGTTGAGATATACTCTGGTAGCATGCCAGATGAGTCGCTCATGTTCGTAATGTAGCTATGTTGCAAAGCGAACACCGCCGTTACAAAGCCCAGACACCCGGCACAGTGGGAGGAAAGTCCTTGCGCTACGTTGCTTTTCTGGGAGCACCTCGAACGAGATCTTCCAGCGAAGTCCCGAAACGCAGGCAGACCACTGTCCAATGTGCAGCTGGTGCTCGCTTCATACTTCACCTACTACAATTCAATGCCTCCATCTTGCAGCACCACCTTCATAGGCCACCATTGAACGTTTCTGGACTCGGTGTTGCGGGTAACGGGTACAATTAGAGTTGTTGAAACAAAAGCACTGTACACCCGCTCAACGCTTATTGGCTCGATAACTCCATCACAGACGCAAAAACACCGACCACACAGATAAACTGCGTCTTGACCAGCCCCTGGCGCTCAGCGATGGCTCTGGTGGACTACTCATCATCTGATTCGGCTTCTGAGGCCGGATTCCCTCCGGCTAAAAGGCGCAAAGAGGCGGATAGCGAGACCCATGGCTCCGTGGCAGGCGGCGCCGGAGCTGGCACCGGCGGTCGAAAAGGAATCCGACACAACCCTGCCGTGTCCTCGAACACGAGGGAGACTAATGGCGGTAGTGCATCGACACTTCCACCCCTCCCGGATGAGTTCCACGACCTGTACGCTTCTACGGTGCGAAATGCCACTGCCGACAACCCGGCTCTGCACCAGGGCCGAAAGAGAACCATTCCCCATATTGCTGGCAATTGGCCATCACACGTATACATTGAGTGTGAGTCTGAAGCTTCTCTCTTTCTCTCTCTCTCTCTCTGCCCTCACAGCCACGCACCTCACTTCGACTGACCTCACCATGCAGGGCACCCCTCTGCGGAGCAGCACTCTCTCCTCACTGCCATTTTAGACGAAATCGCACCGCTCCTTGGCACGCAGAAACTGCACCCGCTCCTAAATTCGGATCTCAACGCTCCCCTGCCACTTCACATCTCACTCTCGCGGCCTCTGTCCCTGATCACGGCGCAAAAGGACGCCTTCCTCTCCTCCCTGACATATTCCTTGTCCTCTGCCACGGGCGAGTTCAGTCTATCGCCGCGAGGCCTCGGCTTCTTCAAATCGCCGGACTCGGACCGGTCCTTCCTCGTCCTCCGTGTAGCGAACCCAGCCACCTCGTCGCAGAGCGACACTAGTAGCACCAGCACCACCGGCAGCAACCCGCAGCTCCGCACACTGCTCAACAAGTGCAACGGCGTCGCCGTCCGCTTCGAACATCCACCCTTGTACCAAACCCATGCGACCGAGCTCGTCGACGATGCGTTCCACGTGAGCATCGGGTGGACGTTTGGACTGCCGCACGAAGATGCGTGTCGGCAGACATACGGCTTACTGAAAAAGCCAGAGTTCCGTGGTGTCCAGAAATGGCACATTGAGGTTTCGGGGGTCAAGGCCAAGATTGGCAACGTTGTCACGCACATTGCTTTGAATAATCCGTCCAGGAGGAAGAAGAGCGCCACTGAGGATGGCTTATACGAGTGAGGGGTATTTGTTTTCGACTGCTCATGTGGGTAGCAAGGCTAGGAACCCTCAAGCAACAAGGCTGGCAGCATGGGCAGTCAAAATCGCTTTGTAGTGCCAAGGAACAAAGCCAATTTTCGGGGTGCTGGCATCGATTTGTTTGTACAGGCTGGTTGTGATACTAGTCTTAAGAGCACCTCGGCCCGGGAAAATTAAAATAACTAAACGCCATTTGCCCCCACCCGGCCATGCAGAGTAACACGATGCCATGCTGAGATGTCAACGACCAAAATGAAAGATGAAGAATAGACCATCTACAACTCATCCACTACATGCCGCTCAAAATGCCAGGTTCTGGGTGTCACAGGCAAACCGACAAAGAACTGATAGAACCGCAGCAGCTCGAAGAGAAGAACGTTGAAGCTATTGCCTGTTGTCAGTCATCTTTCCCACAATCGAGGTCTGTTGGTAATGTTCAAACTTACATTGTCTTAGGAGCCTCGATCCACCGGCGGACGACAAACTTGAAGGCCTTGTAAATGCGTCCAAATTCTTCGTCAAACATATCCGACAAGGTCTCTTCTCTCACAGGCTCGTCCTCGCCGTATTCCTCTTCGGGAACCGCTTTAGCGGCCTCCGCGTCTGGTGTCACCACCACGTTGTGCGGCTTCTTCGCCCGGTCCGGAATCGGGCTGGACGACGTGACCGCGGCGGCGAGGGCCTCCTCGGAATCAACCATGGCACGGAACTTATTAATGGCCGCGAGGGAGCTACTGATCCGGGCGTACGTGTTGAACAGGGCCACGAGCTCGGTGCGCTTCAGAACGGGAATGTCTTCGCTGGCATTATCGAACTCAAAGAGGACCTTGAGCGCGGTGCCGTAGCCGTTGGTCTGCAATTTGCCCCAGAGGCGACACTTGTCACAACCGACGCAGTCCATTACGCGGCTAACATTGCGGAAGCGGTTGCGGAAGTCCTCCTTCAGCGACGGGCCCTCACCGTTCTTAAACATGAGGCTCTCGTCAAAGATCTGGGACACGCTCGCCGCTCCCTCGGTGACCTCGAGGATCTTGGACCGCGTTGCGGCGTCCTGGTCGATGTCACCTGAACAAAAGGTATAATCGCGACCCTGAAGGTAGGGGCCGAGCTTGGCGACAGCACGTGTGACGAGGGCGTAGTTGAAGTAGAGGTTGCTGATCCGCTCGGGGTGGGTGTGGAGACGGCTGCGGTAGCATGCCACGTTGGGCGTCCATTGACCGGTGGTCTGATTGAGGAAATCCCAGCAGAGGTGGGTGCTGATGCTCGCGTGCATACCGGAGATGACACGATAGAAGACGCGCTTCTCCAAGCACTCGTCGCCAGCCTCGAGACCGTTCTGAGCCGCAAATGGAGCATTAGGCTGCGTCTCGCGCATCTGCTCCAGGGCCTGCTGGCGCCCAACCGCCTCGAGGATCTGACGGAAGTCTTGCGCCGCGGGGCCCTTGTGGCTGATCTGCGACTGTCCCAGGGATGCTGAGTGCGGGAACGAGCTCTTCTGGAAACAGTTCTCGCGGTAGATGGCGTCCCAGACTTGGGCGGCGCCCATGCCAGCGTATCCGGTGAATCGCTCAGGATTGCGGAGGAGGCTGACGTAGTCGCCCTTGGAGCTCGCGCTTTCGTCTTCGGGAACGCAGTAGTCTCGCTCGTCACACTCGTCGTCGTACTCCACCACACAGCTCTCGCCAACCTCCTCCCCCAGCTTTCCTTGTAGCGGCCGCTCGGGGCGCTCGTCCTGTACTTTTCGAGGAGGGTGTTTTGCTAACGGGCCTTCCAGCTTCCCGAGCTCGCTCGCCCTCCAGACCTCGGGGATGTCCTCCTCATTATCGAGTGTCTCTACAGCGCAGGCTATGTTGCCGCACATGCCATTTTCATCGTTCCAGAAAGGGCACTTCTTGTGGAAAAGGTTAAGACGGTAGTGTGAGAAGAAGTCGGTCGATCTCGTGAGGTCGTCGACGAGGGGTTTGACCTTGGTGTTCAGTTTATCGAGGGTAGAGTAGGAGGCGCATGCATCGGAAACGATGGCCTTGGGGGAAATCTGGTACGACGAGTTAGAGAGGGAGATTCGGTATTCGGACACTGCGGCGGTGACGTAGGCCCTCGAGAAGAGAAGGAGGAAATAAACGGCGGCATACCGCACAATCATCTTGGGCGCGCTCGCATTGGACTGGAGATCCCCAAAGTGCAAATACAGAAAGGAAGAATAGTCTGCTGGCAGACTTCATGGTGGTCGGAAGAAGCTCGTAGCTTCGCGGACGGTGGCTCAATCGGAGGGTTTAATATGCAGCAGCAAAGCAAGAACCGGTGTTTGCCAGTTTGTAGAATTGCTTGCCCAAATCTGACGGAGGTAATTGGTAAAGTTGACAAGTTTCCAAAGGTTCGGCTGAAACGTTGCGAGTGTCCGGGCTCCTGCAACGTAGAACCCGAGGCTTGCCTATGCTGCGGTGTGAATGCGACAGCGTTCAAGCAGGGTCAAGTAAAGTTCGGTGAGGTTTGTTTCGGAGAAACGGCCGAGGGCGTTGGAGGTTAAATGAAAGGTAAAATGGGGGCGATCCAGTTTCTTGTCTTAAGCCTTCCAATGGAGACGCAAGTGGCAGAAAGGGCGTTGTCGTGTCTACTATCAATCGTTACAAGCCGGGGCCTCGAGCCTTTCTTCTCTGTTTTTTTCTCTTTCTTTTTGCTCGATCGAGGCAACTGAAATGAAGGGAAGGTGATGTAAATAGAGCAGAGAGGGCGGAGTTGTTGCAGAGTGGGATATACCGGAAGGATGGGACTGCCGGGCCTTTTTAGACGCTTCCTGTCAAAGGAAGCTGGTAGAGTCATGCGAATCTGTCCTCAACTATATTCGAATATGGCAGGAAGGCAGACGTGGAAGCAACAATGGAACCCCAGAGCTGATTAATATGTAGTGGAGGGGGCCCCCAAGTACCTCAAGGTAATTATCGCGTTCCTTAATCTGGCGAGGATTGGCTGATCCTGAAATGCGACCACCAGACCAGCTGCTAAGGTAATATCAAAGGATCCCAGCAAACGCCTGAGTATCGCCCTCTGGCTCCCGTAAACTTCTCCCCACAGTTCTCAATGCCGGTGTGCTGTCTCACGGTGTGGCAAATGCAAAAACGAGAAAGCGAGGGTGGTGTCGAGTACCTAGCAAACCTAGGTGAAAGGTGTCCTTCTCCGGGTGGAAAATCAGCAGATGCAGGAGCCAACTGGTACCACTCTGGCGCCAAAATAGGTTATGGCCGTTCCAGCTCGTCTCTCGGATGCCGCCGCCGCCATCCAGCTCGTTCCGGCTTGGTGCATCCCGCCGACTTGCCGATTGCAGACCACGGAGCCTCTGTCATACGTCTGTCCTCCGCCCTTTCCCTGCAATTTCGCACGTGTCGACCGAGTACTTCAGATGCAAAAAAAAGACTAAATCATGTCCGTTCTTCGGACTGTTGACAAAGTGACGTTTAGCACCCCGCTACGTACAATACGAGCGACTCACCCAACCTCAAAACACTGCTCTACAGCAGTTCTGCATATTCCAGGACTCGGATTTGCTGTCTACTTGTCGTCTTAGAGTGGTGCCAACTTTTCATAATCATGCTGGGTGGCTTATTGACGCGGGCACATGCCCGTGCCTCGACATCATCATACTGTATTTCAGATTCAATTATTCAAAGCTCTCACATTGTATGCATGTCTGTGAAATTGGCATCTACAAACCCCTTGCCATTCTGGGAATCTTTGCATCTTGTAACACAGCATTAGCTTCAAGTATCTATCCCCTGGTTCCTCAGCTCTGTTCATTACTGTCGTCGGTCCAGCTATGCAGGTACTAGCCAACGGTGGCCATCTTCACAACTGACGCGCCGTCCCTTCTTTTCCAGACGTAGCATTCGCCCGTCGATGATGACCTTGGCCGCATCAATTGGCGAGGCTCAGCGGCAGCGGCAGTGTGGTATAGACCATTGCCGTGATGCTGTACAATAAACCTCAACAGACCAGACCGCTTCTCAACTTCCAAGATATGCAGCAAGCAGCCAACACCAACAGATCCCCGATGACTCAAACCACCCAAAAGAAAATGCAATAACCATAGTGGTATGCGCCGTCTTTATACCATGTGTCGTGGTCTGCAAAAGACGAGGTATCATCATCTCTCAACCTCTTCTCCTGAATTTCTAAAGAGAAATGTTCCATCATCATTGGCCGTCATTCGTGTCGTTGAGAGCATCGCCCAGGCAGCAGCCTGCTGGGCGGGGAGCGGGAATTTGCATTGCGTTTGCAGGGTAATGAGACGTTTCTCGCTATGCGGATCACTGAGGAGGCTGGTAGTTGAGCGGGCGCCTATTTTCACCAATGTGAGTAATACATCACGACAGACTCAATGGAGGGGTATACCGACTTGAAGAGTAGAATGTGCGGCTCTGGCTCGTGGACCTCGTAGTGTTCCCAACCCAAGCTCTGTGTTCTAATGTCAGTGTTCTGCTGCGCGTCGTAGAGTAGCCGCAGAGGCCGCGGGGTATACCTGAGTGATGCCGAGTGCTCGCCATTCCTCTTCCCAGAGCAGCTTCAATGTTCCGTGGGAAGAATCATGGTAATCTTTGGGGATGGCCTTGAGCATGGCTTTGGGCAGCTGCACATGGCGGTATTCGTACTCGCTATCAGAGTATCTAAAAATGGCAAACAGATTAGTTCACTGAGTGGAATGGCATTACGGGAGCGCGAGAAACAACAAGTTAACCTACCGCGCAGAGTAGTGGATAGAGTCGATGAACTCGTCCAAACGGGCCCTCTCCGAATCAGACAAAGCCCGCGGCACCTTGTTGCGGCGGCTCATGTCGATATCCATAGCGGATGCGGTTTGTCTTTCTTGTGATGGGGTGTGCGTCTGTGGGATCGAGGGTGGCGTCGATTCTCGGTATCTAACCGCGAACGCGACCGGCGGGGTGGCTCGTTTGAGAGGGACGAAGGAGCCAAGTGACGAACGAAGCTGCTGGAAACTGGCAATATACTCTGGGGCGCGAGAGAGGAGTCTGAGGGCGCGAAAGGTCCAGTTCTTCCGGCAGGTCAGGCGACCACACACACCCAGGTCGGAGGCGAAGAGACAAGGGAAGAAAAAAAGGTAAACAACGATGCAGGCGGGGTAGGCAGGAATTGGCACTGAAACAACAGTTCAGCTGCACCACTGACTCGGAGGAGGATATGGGAAGTCGCGAGGGAGCTGGATGCCAGAAATATAGTGTTCGAGGAAGACTGGCGCGCGCAACATCGAGGGGTTATTATTCAAAGAGTGGGAAAGATACGGAGCAGTAAACAAAAGTCGAATTGGATCTCACTACTTCGAACCCCAGCGCTGCCATCATCTGCTGGCCCCAAGGGTCCGCGGCGTTTTTGCCGGCAACTTCCGCCCCTGGCTCGGTCTGGCCTGGTCTGGACGGAGTATCCGTAGGTACCTACTCAGGTGCTGTAACTTAACGTGCATTACCTAAGGTAAGGCACCTAAACTACTCGGGATGCTGTGTACCTTAGTCCAGCTTCAGCTGAGTGCTGCACTGCATTTTAGAGAGGCCCCCTCCAATGACCCTCCTCATTGAGACTGAGTCCACGCCAAGGGCGGTGAAACTTTTTTGCTGCCCTTTTTTCAGTTCTCAACGGTGCCGGCCCACTCTAATACTGCCATCCACCCTAGCAGCATCGCCACCTGGCACCAGCCCGTCCGTCGAGCTTTGCTGGCAAACTGTGAGAAATATCGCCTTAAGAAAAAGGCAGCACCTATACCTGAGGCACCTTGAATTTGAAGTCGCCAGGTAGCTTGGAAGGAACCTCGTCCCTTCTGCTTCTGGATGTTCCTGCCATTCAGTCAAACTTCCGAATTTGAGTGGTCACTGGTAAGGCCAACCCAGTGCCACCGTCCCGAAAATCCTAGCGCGTCTCCTCAACCCTTCCTTCTCAATTGCGGAACAGCCCCCCCCAGCATCCCCAGGACTGAACCACCATCGCGCGACAGCTTTTCGCGCCAACAATATTCCTCCTCGATTATCAAGGCTTTTTGGGCATCTCAGATATCTCGCTGACCCCATCCTGGCTCGAGAGAAAAACTTGGGGAGAGCTGCAACACCACCGGGGACCCGCCTACCTGAGCTTTTGTCTGCGCTAGGAACCTCCGTCTGCAGCCCTGTCTGCCAACAACCTTGCCCCAAGCCTACCTTTCTTACCCGTCTCCATCTACAAACCGACGCGCTTCGGCAAACCTGTCGCACTTGCAGCATCACCACCAGCTGTTCCATTCAAAGGCTGTCGCATGCCGCCAGCCATTGCACACACAATCCAGTCAGCAGCCCTTTGTTACTTTCTGAGTAAAAAGCGCATGCGTTCGCGACCATTGTCCACTCGTTTTTGATGGATAACAAACGGAGATCGTCCGCCGTCAACGGCGCGAATGAAGCCGATGAACGCGCTGCGAAGCGCCAGAGACTAACTGAGGTGAGTGTTCATCGTCCCCCATAATCCTCCATGCACCCCTCACCCTGTCGATGGAAGCTTTTCGTGCTTGCGTCGCCCTTCACAGGGCTTCACAGTAAATTCCACCATCACCCCATTGATCCCCGAATGTGTCTCCAACTAGGCCATCGTTCGGACTGCATTTACCTCCCATCATACCCGTTTCGTCCCTTCTCCCCACTGTTCCCGACCAGATATCTACTGCTAGACGCCGGTCTTAAAGGATCAAACTGATCATTTTTCTTGTTGCAGAAATACGATCTCAGCAAGCAAGAGACGGTCGAGTCGACTACCGAACACGGCCACTTCTTCCTTGAACAGATACGCCGGACTGCAGATAAGAAGTGAGCTCTACCCATGCGTACCCTTCTCTCGACCAAGGCACAGCTAGAGTCGGTTTCCATATCGGTTCTCAGTGCCTTGGGCATCGATTGCAGAGATCTCTCATACATATCAAACGCACTCGCGTATTCTAACCATCCAATTCTCTTAGTGGTCGCAAGGTCGCGGGCTATTTTGAAAAGCTGCCCCCGAGAGAGAATAACCCCGACTATTACAAGAAGACGAGGATGCCGATTTCGCTCTCGATCATCGAAAGGAAGCTCACCAATGGCGACTTCTCCACGCTTACAGAGCTGGAAAGCTACTTCAAACGCATGGTGTCCAACGCAAAGGAATTCTACCCTCGCAACACTCAGCAGTTCGATGATGCGGAGAGAGTTCGCAAAGCTCTGAGTAATTTCATGACCAAGACCAATCCCGCGTATGCCAGAGGCGGCTATGCCGCGGTTCCAACCCCTCTACCTGCCAACCGCGTCGATGAAGCCGAGGAAGATGACGAGGAAGACGCTCCATCAAACCCTGGCCGTCGCAAGTCACAGGTTATCGCAAAGTCTACCGAGGAACAGGGTGACGCTGATGGAGACGAGGACGAGGAGGAAGAGGAAGCCGAAGCTGACGAGGATGATGAAGAGGAAGATGACGACGCAGAAGGCGAGGAGGACGATGACGAGGGAAGCCAGAACTCGAAGCCGACTATTCTCATTCGTCGCAGAGGACCCGGTAGACCGTCCAAGGGCGCGACTCCTCGTAAATCAAAGGCACGGATGGTCACGCCTAGTCGCCCTGACTACGAGTACGAAGGCGTTCCGTACAAGGGCCTCAACTTCCAGACGGCCCAAGAGAAGATCGTGGAGGAGATGATTCGCCAGAAAGAAGACGGGTAAGTGACTGTCTCTTCGTGATTATTAGTCATGCTAATGCACCTACTAGCGAGGCCGAAGCGTACTTCGAACCCTTCGTCAACCTTCCCCCGCGGGTTTTGAAAGACTACTACAGGATCGTCAAGGAGCCCATGTCGCTCCGCAAGCTCCAAAAGATCACCAAGGGTGTCAGAGGTCGCAACGAGGCCACTGGCTCTAGCGACTTGAAGAGCTGGGCGGCATTCGAAGAGACAGCTAGCTTACTCTGGAAGAACGCCTTCTTCTACAATGAAGAAGGAAGTGAGATTTACGAGCTTGCCCAGGAGCTTCAGGTATGCTCTTTGCACAGCGATAACTAGTTCGACTTTTAACATGAAGATAGGACTTCTTCGCCGATGAATTGAAACAGGCCAAGGCAGCTGTGCCAGAGCCTTCGCAGCCCAAGATCAAGCTCAAGGTCCAGCAGCCTGCTATCGAGCAGCCAACGGCGTCTAAGAAGATCACCATCCATGTTGGAGGCAAGAGTGAGTCCGCGGACTCGCCCGCGCCCGCAATTTCTCAATCAGCGGGAGTCCTCATCAATGATCAAGCGCCGCTTGCCAACGGCACCGCTCGCCAGGTTGGACTGCCAGCCGTTTCAGCTGCGATGGACAGACTCCGCAGCACGTCGGCCGCGTCCCCAAGCCCGTCTGTCGCGAACAACATCAAGCGCGAGGACGCAACAAGGCCTTCTCCTGTAGTGACCCCCGGTCAACCAAGCACCCCTTCTGCTTTTCAGCCGCCTGCGTCGCAGACGACGAACCTGTCTAGCGCGACCTTCCAGCCTATTGGAGTTGTGCAGCCTCAGCCGCAGGCGAATGCTACTCCACAGCCGCCTCCGAAGCCTTTGTGGGACCAGCAGTTCCGTGCCCCTGGCAAGAGTACGTATGGCGCGAAAACATGAAAATGACGGTATCGCTAATCAAGCTTGCAGGTGTTGCAGATGCACTGATCAGCAATCTGACTGTCCAGACCCATCCGATGATTAATGCTGGAGGTCGCTTCGAGATCACTTTGCTGCCCCTCGAGAGAGAGTGCAAGCAGTCTATGACCGTCCATCTCCCTGCCGGCCAGTTGAGAATTCAAATTATTGCGACGATGCCGACGTTTCTCGAAAAGGATGAGCGTCAGTGGCGACTTTATGTGTCGGTCAACCGGCAGGTTGTACATCAGTTCCATCCCATTCAAGGACAGGTGCTTCCCGTCAACGCTAGAGTCTTTGACGTCCAGCTCCAGGCTGGAACCGTCAATGAAATCGAGGTCTCCGTCGCGGCTGCTCTGCCTAAGGGACAGAAGCTGCCAAGTGGTGCCGATTTTGAGGTGGAGACGATGACATTGCTTGCCAACGTGCCCCGGAACTAGGAGTTTTCCGATACCACTATTCAAGCTGTTCCGGCTGGCGGCCTTTTAGGCGCCAACAACATCTATGGAAACCAGGCGGGCTTTCAGGCTATCGATCAAGTCCGCTGGAGGAGCTATCAGGCCAATGATGGTATTCCCACTCCGAATCTAAGGGCCCCTCCAGTGACCCTACAAGATGTCTGGGATCAAGCCAAACTCAGAAGCGCGACAACGGTCTCTGTGGCGAACGCACTCGGATTCCGAGAGTACACTACCGACGATGGACTGGTCACCTTTTACCCGCCCATCCCGTCTTGGCCTGAAGACGACCAGATGTCGCTGCATCTACCTACACCTCAGCCGCCTGCGGCGACCACTTTGAATCATCGAGACCATGACCCCCGAGCGCCTTCGCCTCGAGTTGAATCTCGTCTATATCCCCGCCTACAGAATCTGTTATCTGAGGGTACAGATCATACACCCCTGCCCAGTGACTCAGCTCAGTACCAGTCTCCCACAGCTTTTCAGTCTATGGATCACCGTGCCAATCAGATAACTATGGGGCCACCGCCGACTAGAGACCTTCTAGCTGCAGACGCACGCTTGAGACAGCAGATTGATCAGCGACACTTCAGAGATGCGGAACAGATGGGGTTCGCACGCAACACGCACTCCCAAAACTGTCAGCAAGAGGCGAGCCATCACCAGGTTCCTCATGCAACCCAACGTGTCCTTGATTCGCAAGCTGCTAGTCGATTCTACGATCATCTGCCCCAGCGACTTGGCCTGGTCCACACCGACTTGCCGGGCGAGCAGCTGCGACAGCAACTCCAGCTTGAACAGATGGGTAAGAGATCTAACTTCCAAGACGATCAACGCAAGCAGACTCGGGAATACCTTCAGTACCGACAGTCCCCATATCCTTCGCAGCAGCGCACCGAGAGTGATGCCAGACAGGAGGACGCTATAACGTCGCTTCAGAAAGCTCAAAACGCGGCCATGGGCAACCGAATGGAAAAGGTCAAACAGGAGGTTCGGCAACTGGGAGGGTTCCAGGGCCAGCATTATATGCGAAACCTTGTGGCGTTGGTTGAAGAGGACTACAAACTGATGGGCGCCTGCGTGGAGGTGGAGATGAAGACCATTGAGCAGCGCGAGAAAGACGCTGGTCAACCCAAGCTGGTGGGACCAGCCAGGAAAGGTGACCTGGATGGTGAGTACATTTGGTCCGTTTGAGCAAGAGGCTTTATGATTTCATCTTCGTCATGCCTCAGGCGGTGACATGATCTGTAAGGATTGTCTGTGCACTCGTTGTTGGAACGGGTTTTCACTGGTTGTCACGGATTTCGCTTTCTCCGATGGACTCTTGCGGTCTTCGTGCCTCGCGTCCATCTGGGTACTCTTTCTCGGTTCTGGGCTTGGAGTGGCGTTGTACCCACAGGTTGTCACCATGAAACCTACACTATAGAATAAATACCTATCTCTAGGGAGAATGAACTTGTAAACACCGGGCTCGCCTTGATGTATGAGCTTTTCAAATGTCTCATACCCTTGAGAAGTACATAAATGAATGACAGATTTGTTCGCTGTCAAGGTAGCCTAAAGGCTTCTCACAGAATTCCTGGTTTATGCAACTCCGTCGTGATCCTTCTCCCGCAGGAATGCGATACTATCTGTCTCTGATATTATTTAGCTGGGAACCTGCGGAGACGAAATGAGAGATAGTTTGATAGGTACATACGGATACACTAAAGATACCGCAAGGAGTCATACTTGCATGACGTCGTCTGGGGATCCGTTATTGAAGTGTGGACCCAGGTGGGAAAACTGGAGCAGCGTCTACCCCAGCACCCAGCAACCGGCAGCCAGATGATGCCTACCATTGTAGGTAAGAGGATATCGGTAATGCGGACGGGGGGGCAGTCGGAGGATCCGACAAAACGAACCCAACGGTCTGGCGACGGAACTCTGTGTTGGCTGGGGTTCGACGCCCCGAGTAGGTGTATATATATATATCCACCTGGCTTGTGGCTTCGCATTATTTTTCCAGTGTCTGAGCAAGCATGACAAAAATTTCTCGCATCAGCATATTTGTCGAGATACCCGGCTAGGTTTCGAATTAAGCACGGCAATTTGCATCACTAATCCTGCCCGGGCTGGCGGCAGATGGCTTGATGTTTAATGCGTGGTAGCTGGTTGGCACAAGGCAAGCCTGGCTCAGAAGCTTCCGCTTCCGACTGCTCGTGTAGCCGCACGGCCGGGCCAACTCTGTCCAACTCTGCCAATTGATCTGCAAGGACGGACAGTTTGGTCAGGTCATGGCATCGGATGGCATCATTACAACGCTCTGCAGCGCATTTTGTCCTTCGCGTTGCTGCAGGAGGTCGGCGCTCCGCCAGGTAGCTGACCTTGCAGCTCCAGGAACCTTGTCAACGGGTAGCCCAGGCCCCTCTCGCCGCTCACAAATCAGCCAACAATGGCTGCAGAGACATCATCTCGGGGAGGAGGACGAAAGGCGGTGTCTCCCACGCAGAGCCATCATTGCTGCAGGACCATCAGCAGGTGGCAGCACTGAGGATGACACAGAAGTGGACACGGACCATGACCCGGGCAAGCTGCAGCATGTGGAATTACCGCATGAGGACTAGTGCAGGTTCCAAATGGGAGATCGATCTTCCGATAACGGGGGGCTGATTGGCCTACGCTACGTGTGGAGAGGCATCCCTCCAATGAGAGGGGTCAAATACAACCCACTTCAGGTGGCATCTAGCGGGGTACAGACGGGACAGACGTAACGATAGGCCCTTGAAAAATTGTTGATTAAGAGTCAATGGCACAGTGCTGCAGCGCGTTCGGGGATGTGCCTCAAGCGGGGCCAAAGAATGGGGAAAATTCTTTTTTTCCGCTCAATGACTGGCTGATCATGGGAGCAGCGAACGCCGTCCTCGGTCATCACTGGCCATCCCGCCCAATCCACACCTTGTTGCGTACCGCCTCGCCTTGCCCGGTCTGCTATTTTTTTTTTTTTTTTCTGAACTTTCGGTTTTTCCTTACATATATACTTTTGGCCTTCCGTCCGTCTTCCCAATCTTTTTTAAACTGTGACTCAACTTGCTCAAAATCTGTCTATAAATCCCACCACCATCTGGGGCATTGGTATACTTCCCTTCGAACAATTCAATCCATTACGCGACATACTGTGCATGAACATACAAGATGTGCCCTACTCCTGACGTCCCGGCCTCCAATGGCCACTCCAATGGCTCTAATGGCCATGCGAACGGCTCCAATGGCACAGCCAACGGCATCAAGGCTGGTATGTGTCGCAGCTTCTTGCGCAGGACGCTGCTGTCGATAGACGACTGACTCTATTTCCTTTAGACCACCCCGGCTTCACTGCGATTCCTGTAAGAGCCATCAATCGCCTCCGAAAACCGCTCCCGCGGCAACGATGACGAATTGTTCTGACCCCGACGATATAGACCAAGCAGAAGCACAGCAACCCGTACCAGCCGGTTGGCGATTTCCTCAGCAACGTTGACAGATACAAGATTAGTGTGTTATGCCAGAATGGTCTTCTTTCGGGTCACCCACTGACCTGTGACGTACAGTCGAGTCCACTCTGAGGGAGGGTGAGCAGTTCGCCAACGCCTTCTTCGACACGGAGACCAAGATCAAGATTGCCAAGGCCCTCGACGACTTTGGTGTCGACTACATTGAGCTTACTTCGCCCGCTGCCTCTGAGCAGTCACGCAAGGACTGCGAAGCAATTTGCAAGCTCGGCCTCAAGTCCAAGATCCTGACTCATGTCCGCTGCCACGTAAGAGCCCCTGCCTCGGCATGCCTCAACAAAGCAAAGACTAACATTGAACAGATGGACGACGCCCGCCTCGCTGTCGAGACCGGTGTTGACGGTGTCGATGTCGTCATTGGCACTTCTTCGTACCTCCGCGAGCACTCTCACGGCAAGGACATGACCTACATCATCAACACTGCCATTGAGGTTATCCAGTTCGTCAAGTCCAAGGGCCTCGAGATTCGCTTCTCATCTGAGGACTCTTTCCGTTCCGACCTCGTCGATCTGCTCTCCGTCTACAGCGCCGTCGACAAGGTTGGTGTTCACAGAGTCGGCATTGCCGACACCGTCGGCTGCGCCAGCCCCAGACAAGTGTACGACCTTGTCCGCACCCTGAGAGGTGTCGTCAGCTGCGATATTGAGACTCACGTAAGCCGCTTGGCTCAGGCGACAGCGCAAATTGAATGCTAATACTCGAATAGTTCCACAACGATACTGGATGCGCCATCGCTAATGCCTACTGCGCGCTCGAGGCCGGTGCTACCCACAGTGAGTCCAATGCCCGATAGCTTTGTGCTCCACCTACTGACATTTTGCTACCAGTCGACACCTCCGTCATCGGTATCGGTGAGCGCAACGGTATCACCCCCCTCGGTGGTCTGATGGCCCGCATGATCGTCGCCGCTCCCGACTACACCAAATCCAAGTACAAGCTGCACAAACTCAAGGAGCTTGAGGATCTTGTCGCCGAAGCTGTCGAGATCAACATTCCATTCAACAACTACATCACCGGTTTCTGTGCCTTCACCCACAAGGCCGGTATTCACGCCAAGGCCATTCTTAACAACCCTAGCACATATGGTATGTTGATTGGAACTGTTTCGGAACCACGGACGTGGCTAACGCATTGTGCAGAGATCATCAACCCCGCCGACTTTGGCATGAGCAGATACGTCCACTTCGCATCAAGATTGACTGGATGGAACGCCATCAAGAGCCGTGTTGAGCAGCTTGGTCTCACCATGACCGACGCCCAGGTCAAGATTGTCACTCAGAAGATCAAGGCCCTGGCAGACGTCAGGCCGATTGCCATTGACGATGCCGACTCCATCATTCGTACTTTCCACTTGAACATTACGGAGGGTGAGGAGAAGCCGCTGTTGCCCAACTTGACGGCTGAGGAGCAGGCCAAGTTCGAGAAGGCGGAGAGGGAGCTTGCTGGCGAGCCTGAGAAGCGTGCTTTGGATGATGCCGCAGCGGAACCCGCGGCCAAGAAGGTTAAGGCGTAAATTTTTTTCCGGGATGCATATGGGACACCAAAAAAGGGGGCATTTGCTTGTACAATCATAGAGGGGAGAGCTATAAAAGTGTTTAGTTCAGATACCTCAACAACGAAGAAACGTTCAAAGTCGAATGGGTACTACACCATTGGGTTGGCGACGCAGACTGAAAGCACAGTGCTTTTGCTCTGCCATTCATCTCCGGTTTTTACCGTTTTTGAGGGGAACACCAAGCTAGTTTGCTAGGATTCATCAAACCTAGGCCGTATCATGAGTCCATTGATTGGAGTGACAATTAGATACCACTTCCTAATAGCTCTACGTTTTCTGTCATCGAGGCAATAACATTGAAAATGCTCAGGCGTCGTCGCTTGGTTTGATCATTGATGTTGGTGGGGTTGGGTTGGTAGGCTAAGATAAGATAAGCACGGCAGAACAGAAAAATTCCAGTTCAGCAACCACTTTTGGACCGAGCGCCTCGTCGCGATCCTCCCTCCATCGACAACCCACCAACGAAGAAGAATCAAATGAATCTTCAGCCATGTATAAGTCTCCCATGCGCTCATGACACCCTCTAGCCGATCGGCAAATCTTATTCTGCAAATTTCCATCACCACACCGTCCCGAATTTAAGAATTACTCGAAAATTCCCATCGAAACGATTTAAAAAGAAATCACATATACACACCAAACTCACGGCCGGAAAAGAAAGAATGGACGCGCACGCCCTCCTCTCGGCGCAGGGGTGGCGCGGAAAGGGCCATTCCCTTCACGCGACGGACGACTCGATCGGCCTCGCGAAGCCGCTCCTTCTGAATCGCAAGGACAATACAAAGGGCCTGGGCACCAAGGCGCACTTCACGAGCGACACGTGGTGGATGAACGCCTTTGACGAGCAGCTTCAGGGTTTGGACACGTCCAAGAAGGGGCAGGTCACGCAGACGGTCACGCAGGGGCGGCTGAACCAAATTGAAAAGGTATCGGGGGGCAAGTGGATGCTATATGCGAGTTTTGTGAGGGGCGGGTTTTTGGAGGGGACGATACAGGAGCACGAGAGGAAAGTCAAGGAGGAAGACGAGGAGGCGAGCGGCGCTTCTACGCCTGAGAGCGAGGATACGGCGGCGGAGGGGACGAGTAATTCTGAGGGCGAAGATAAGGAGGTGAAGAGGAGAGTGGTGAAGATTAAAGAGAAGAAAGAGAGGGGCGAGACCAAAGAGGAGAGGAGGGCCCGGAGGGCTGCCAAGAAGGCGAGGAAAGCGGCGAGGGAGGCGAGGAGGTCTGACAGAGCCGTAAGGAAGGTCCTAAATCTGAAGGGCTCTTCGCCGAGGGATCGGAAGGAGTCGAAAGAGGAAAAGAGGGCGAGGAGGGAAATGAAGAAGGCCAAGAGGGAAGCGAAGAAGGCCAAGAAGGGAGTGTTCAGTTGATGTTGACTGGAGAATTCTGGACCGAAAACAAGCAACGAGTTGTACATACCCCTCTTCGCCGGGTCGAAGACAACCACCGCCGTACTACTTTGGCTAGAATGAGGGCCAGGTAGCCGACCCAAGTGAGCATCGGCTTTACGGCTTCGAGGAGAGGGCTAGGGCGGTGGGAAAGCGATTTTGTCAACAAAATTGGGTGACGTTATTTGGCGCAAGGAATATCCAGAAGCAGTGATAGGCGACAAAGGCCATGCTGTCTAGCTGGGCCGCAAAGGCGGAAAGACTCTATCGTGGCCTCTGACTGCCGCTTCACCGAGTATAATTCAATTGTTGGAACTCAATCATCGAACAGTGGTTGAGCTTTTTTGTCTTTTTAGTTAAACCTTCATCTCAAGTGCTGAATGATACACCAAACCTGTGAAATGTTGGGAGGTGTAGAGCAAGACCTCATATCTCTTTTTGGGTCCCAATGTCTCCTGCCCCGCCCCCTCTCTCGCTTCTCTATGTCTGCCCATATCTGCGGGTCAACGCCTGTCTGCGTCTCTCTGCCTCTGTTTCTCTCCCTAAGTATACCCAGGGGGTTTTGAGCGCAAACAATGGTGGACTTGAAGTTTCAAACCACGCCTGGTGGAGTTCAGGGCTCCTTGGGAGTCTTCCCTGGCTTGTTTGATAGCAGCCACGGCCTCCTATCCCAGAAGTCGTCCTTGATGATGTCAAGATGCTCGATGACGACGCGGGCCTTGCTTCGCTTCTTCTTGTCTTTGTCCGCTTGCGTCTTGCTCTGCTGCACCGGCTCCGCGAGGGCATCTGCCGCCTGCGTGGCGTTATGGGTCCCCGGTTCGACGAGCTCGTACTATGAAGAAAAGAGAGAGCGTCTTAGTAAGGCGATTTCTTCTCGCATATTCCGCCGATGAATTGGAACAAAAAATCATGGAACAACTTACGTCATGGAAGACTACACTGCCTTTCTTGTAGATCTCGGGTTCGTTGTTGTAGTTGATCTTGAATTTAGAGAAGAGGATCTCGTTCTTGTCCCCGGAGACGGTCCCCTTGGGAAAAGGTTATGTGAGTTTCATCGGAAAGCATCAAGAGAGAGGAGACTCACCGCCAAGAGCTTCTCTGCCTCTCTGTTGTCGAGGCCGCCTAATTGGATCAGAGCCCAGAATGTCGTGTTGTATAAGTTGTTGATGTGGCCTCCGAGTCTATTAGCCCCGGACAGAGCATGAACGACTCAAGAGAGCACTCACAATCGACTTGGCGCCAGCTCATGTAGTCTCTCAAGTTTGACACGGTAGGATAGCATACGGCTCTTCCATCGAAGCCCGGCAAAGGCGCGGTGAGCGGGGTATCAGGGAAATACTGCGACCACAAGTGGACGTAGTTTGCGGTGAATGTTGAAACGACTGTGCTTGAGATCTTGCTAAACAATTTTAAGCATGCACCTCGATACCGAAACAAAAGTGAGTGGTTTGGAGAGGAGCTGCCCGCTTACCTGGCCCTTCTCTCAAAGAGGGTACATGATTTGTGGAACACGAAACTGTACTCGTCGCTGACGCCGTAGGCGATGGTGATGTCTGGAAGCTCGGTGACGACGACCCTGGCGGCGGCATTCATGAGGTCGAGGGCCCTCTTGTCGTTCGGCTTTTCAAACGCATACTTTGCGCAGAGTCTGCGTGATGTAAAGAAGTATCGTCAGAGGTGAATTGGGCCAGAATATTGTTTCCTTTCTCTTCACTCCCTAACTTACTTGGTGAAACCTCGCCCATCTATGCGGACGACGATCCAGGTGTTTGGCAACAAGAAGTCGGGCTGCTCGAAGCTCTTGACGTATTCAAATCTGTCTGGAGTCAGATGAAATTCCACGGGGAGGGAAAGGGAACATGAGTTTTCACTTTGAGTTGGCCATTTTGACAAAGGGACAAAATCAACCGTCTGAGGTCTGTCGCAGCGCTGGAGACGTCCTTCAGACAACATGCAGACGGGATGGCGGGGGAGGGGTTGTTCTAACTTCTGCCGCTGCTTCAGCGGGGTCCCAATTTGAGCTGGGATGGGTGCAAGGATCAGGGATATCGGCAGAAAGCGGTTCATTCTTACTTCCCATCAGAGCTTCCAACAATTATCACCCAGGTTTTCTTATATCCCCATGAAAATCCAGCTTAAATGAATGATTTCCCTTTAAAGCTGGATCTCATTTATTTTGACCCCCGAAGCCAGTAAAGCCGGAAAAAAGCACCCTCATGAATACCTCGGATTGCGCTCGAGTAGAAGAAATAGCTCTTGCAACAGTACATCCCCTTCTGGCCCTACAACCTCAACTTCTGCCCCTCTTGATCTTGTCTACATGTCTAATTGATGGTATTTTTAACACATTGGACATTTAAAAAGGGAATCAGCCCCCGGTCATTCCCCCCTTCACCCTCCCTTTGTTAATACTCTGTCTTTGGCTCATCCGATTGCCTCTAGCACTCTGTTGCCCGAAAATGCCCTTTTGAGTTGGCGCAGACTCAGAGAGGTACCTGTGGTAAAATTGCGGGGCCTGGTCCCTAGAGCATCTCAGCCTTGCAGGCGCAAGAATAGCAGTCGCATGCGCACGGCTGCCACTCCAACAATTATTCTGCGAACCGAGCTCAGGTCAAGCTTGCAACCTGCATCATCCCAACATTCCTCAGCCCGACGCCCACAGTGTTCCCGAGATTGCCAGCTCGCGGCAGTAGCTTAGGTATCCGCGACCATGAACTTCCTTCTCAGTAACGAAGAGAACGAGGCCATCGCCGCGGTCGAGGCGATCAACGCAATCAACAATACCAACACCATTCGGTCCGGCCATTCGACATGCCTGCGCTTCAATCGATCAGGCGACCTTCTGGCCTCCGGTAGGGTGGACGGCACAGTAGTCATCTGGGATATCGAGACGATGGGTGTAGCGAGGAAGATGCGCGGCCACCACAGAAGCATCACTTCTCTAAGTTGGTCAAGGTGCGGCCGCTACCTACTGTCGGCGTGCCAAGGATGGAAAGCTGTGTTGTGGGATTTGAAAGATGGCAAACGGTATCGTGAGGTCCGTTTCCGGGCTCCGGCATACATCGCGGAGCTCAATCCCTTCAATCAGTGAGTTGGATAGCCCGTTTGTTTCCCTTGTGAAGTTGACGATTTGCGCTAACATATCAAGTCACCAGTTTGTGGCCTCGATATTCGAAGAGCAACCGATACTCGTCGATGTGTCAGACGTAACTGATATCAAATATCCTCTCAGCTCGGCACCGAAACGCCCCGACATTGACGGAGAACCTACCGAGAAACAGTTGAAAGACGACGCGAAACAGATGACCACCGTCACGATTTTTACATCTACGGGAGAGCATATACTGGCAGGAACCAACAAGGGATGGATCAATGTCATTGACGCGAAGACAAGGAAGACTATATACTCAGAAAAGCCCTGTAGCGGTGTGATCACGACATTGCGCCTGAACAACTCTGGAAGGGTCCTCCTGATCAACGCCCAAGACCGTATTGTCAGAACGTTCCATATCCCAAACCTCGCGGCTGAAGACCTCGATCTGGACACGATACATTTCACGGAGGAACACAAATTTTCAGACCAAGTCAACAGGCTGTCGTGGAACCACGTCACATTCAGTTCAGCCTCCGAGTACGTCGCGGCGTCAACATATAACAACCACGAAATATATGTCTGGGATAGGGGAATGGGTAGCACAGGCCTGATCAGAATACTAGATGGCCCCAAGGAAGAACAGGGAGTAGTCGAATGGCACCCGGATCGACCCTTCATCGCAACGTGCGGTCTTGAGACGGGAAGGATATACATTTGGTCTGTCATACCCGAGCAGAAGTGGTCCAGGCTTGCGCCCGACTTTGCCCAGGTCGAGGAGAACCAGGAATACGAGGAACTGGAGGACGAATTTGACATATACGGTCAGGAGGAGCTGCAGAAGAGGCGTTTGGACGCGGAGGACGAGGAAGTGGACGTCGTTACTTCGATCGTCGTCAACGGGCACATCAGCGACGCTGGAGCTTTCCGCATGCCGATACTCTTCGACCTCGGAGAAAGCGACAGCGAGGAAGAGTTCGTGGCGGTATCTACCGGAACCATGCGGAGAAGGAGTCCGGGTGCGGATGGCGAGATACCAGACAGCGAAGTCGTAGAAGACAAGATGACCTCTCGAAAGGGAAGGATTGGTGGAAGAGGTCGGAGAAGATGAAGATAAATAATACCCCAAGTCGTTGATGTTGATTTCTATCCGTACACAGACACAAAACGCGGACATGGCGTTGGATCGCGCCGCCATGGGACGAGCTTCGTTGGTGTGCAGATCCCTGCGCGGAGTTTAGCGCGATGGGGCTTGCAGTGATGTAAATGGGAACGATCTAGGACTCCAGACTCCAGAGCTCTTGAAGCTGCTTAATAATGACAGTACTTCCCTAGCCAACGGAGGAAATGCCAGCCAGAGGGAGAGAGTCGAGTCTCAAAGGCTTCTCAGCCATCAATGCTTGTCAACGCCGACCTTGTCTTTACCGCTGCAGAGGCTCAGCAGGAATTTTTGACTCATCGGCCTGATCCAGCCTTTTTTCCTCGCACAATACCTAGGCGACTTCCTCCGACTGGAGGTCTTCTTCTGGCCTATGAAAGTGTATCAGTACTTAAGTCCGTCGGTGATTGCACCCTGTTTCATGACTTTTGTGGATACCATCGACCTCGGGCACGCGTATCCAGCCTGAGGAAGGGAAAGGAGGGTGACTGCCAAATCCGGCTAGCGTATACTTTCCGGCTGCGCCAGCCGCCTGGAGGCAAGATTTGTTTCTGACCTCGCTCCTCGCTTTCGCCTCCACGGTCTTCACATCTACAACTCCGTCAATCCACGCATCGACAATCACCACGCGCGTCGGAAATCGCGCCCCTGGACCGCACATTCATTTCCGACACGATACACGACTCGATACGACCGCGAGATTTTTTCGATTCTTCGACGCACCAAAAGTGGCGGCGATTGGGAGGATCAGTGGAACCTTCTCCTGGGCCGCTGGCCGGGGATTGGCGTAGTCAAGAGCGCCATCGATAGACGACCTTGCCCGATTTTTTCATCTCGAAAAGCGTTTCGCGCGATACATTTCCGCTGCCCGATTTTTTTTGCGCCTTGTCTGCGACGTCTTCGGATCGCGTAACGACTATCGGCGACTCCTGCCTGCTTTCTTACACTCTATCTCGTGAATTCCCGTCGATACATTCCTTCCCAACGACATCGAAATAACTGTCAATATGGCGAACCTTTACTTCACGCACTCGAGTGCGCCGGTAAAGACGGTCGAGGAGATTCAGTTTGGCCTCATGGCTCCTGAGGAGATCAAGAATATGAGCGTCTGCCACTGTGTCTACCCTGAGACCATGGACGAGACGCGGACGAAGCCTCGCGACGGCGGTCTCAACGATCCTCTTCTCGGCTCCATCGATCGGCAGTTCAAGTGCAAGACCTGCAACCAGGCGATGGGCGAATGTCCTGGACATTTCGGCCACATCGAGCTGGCGAAGCCCGTCTACCATCCTGGCTTTATCAAGAAAGTCAAGAAGGTTTTGGAGATCGTCTGCCATAATTGCAGCAAAGTCTTGGCCGACAGAGTTAGTCTACTCTACGATGTCTGACAGCCGCCTTGACTTGATTGTGCTAACCTGGCTTCTCAGAGCGACCCTGAATTTCTCCAAGCTGTGAACACGAGAGACCCCAAGGTTCGCTTCAACCGCATCTGGAACATTTGCAAGAAGAAGACTCGTTGCGAAAACGAGGTTAAGGAGCAGAAGCCCGACGATGGAGAGTATGGCCTGAACATGAAGCAGGCCCCAGTCAACCACGGTGGCTGTGGAAACATTCAACCTAGAGTACGGCACAAGGCTCTGCAGCTTATTGCAAAGTACGAAGCTCAAGGTGAAGACGGCGTCAAGAAGAAGGAGGAGCCTCCAATCACTCCAGAGATGGCCCACAACATCTTGCGTCGCATCAGTGATGACGATCTGAGAGATATGGGCCTCAACCTTGAGTACGCTCGCCCAGAGTGGATGATCGTTACCGTTCTTCCTGTTCCGCCCCCGCCCGTGCGTCCCAGTATTTCCATGGACGGAACCGGCCAAGGACTCAGAAACGAAGATGATTTGACCTACAAGCTGGGTGATATCATTCGAGCCAATAGCAACGTCAAGCAAGCCATCCGGGAAGGCTCACCTGCACACATTGCGCAAGATTTCGAGCAGCTGTTACAGTACCATGTTGCCACATACATGGACAATGACATTGCCGGTCAACCTCGTGCTCTGCAAAAAAGCGGTCGTCCTGTCAAGGCTATTCGTGCACGTCTCAAGGGCAAGGAGGGTCGTCTTCGTGGCAATTTGATGGGAAAGCGTGTCGACTTCTCAGCGCGTACTGTCATCACTGGTGATGCCAACCTTTCTCTTGACGAGGTTGGTGTTCCTCGGAGTATCGCCAGAACTCTGACCTACCCGGAGACCGTCACTCCGTACAACATCGGCAGACTTCACGAGCTTGTCCAAAACGGACCCAACGAACATCCAGGAGCGAAGTACGTCATCCGCTCCGACGGTACGAGAATTGATCTGCGCCATCATCGCAGAGCTGGACAGATTTCTCTGGAATACGGCTGGAAGGTCGAGCGTCATTTGATTACCGGTGATTATATTATTTTCAACCGTCAACCATCTCTGCACAAGGAATCCATGATGGGCCACAGAGTACGCGTCATGCCTTACTCAACCTTCCGTCTGAACTTGTCCGTCACCTCACCCTACAACGCCGATTTCGATGGTGACGAAATGAACCTTCACGTACCCCAAAGTGAAGAGACGAGAGCCGAAGTCAAGGAGCTCTGCCTTGTCCCCATCAACATCGTTTCACCGCAAAGAAACGGTCCTCTGATGGGTATCGTGCAAGACACTCTTGCTGGTGCCTACAAGCTCTGTCGTCGTGACGTGTTCCTCACCAAGGAGCAGGTCATGAACATCATGCTGTGGGTTCCCAACTGGGATGGGAACATTCCTCAACCCGCCATCATTCGGCCTAGACCAAGATGGACTGGTAAACAGATTATGAGCATGGCAGTTCCCAACATTGTCAGCTTGCACAGCGCACCTGATTCGAAGGAGGAGAATCCACTCAAAGACGAGGGTCTCCTGATTCAGTCGGGACAGATCATGTACGGTCTGCTTTCCAAGAAAAACATCGGTGCCGCCAGTGGTGGTATCGTCCACATCGTCTATAACGAGCATGGACCTGAGGCAGCCATGAAGTTCCTGGTCGGTGTTCAGCAGACAGTTAACTACTGGCTGTTGCATAACGGCTTCAGTATCGGTATCGGTGACACCATTCCCGATAAGATCACCATCGAGAAGGTCCAGATCCACATTGATGAGCACAAGGCCGAGGTCGAGGAGTTCACAAGACAAGCTACTGCTAACGAGCTGGAGCCTCTACCTGGTATGAACATCCGTGAGACTTTCGAGAGCAAGGTTTCCAAGGCCCTCAACACCGCTCGCGACAAGGCTGGTACCACCACACAGAAGAGTTTGAAGGATTTGAACAACGCCGTTACCATGGCCTCGTCCGGTTCCAAGGGTTCATCCATCAACATTTCTCAGATGACTGCCCTGGTCGGACAGCAAATTGTCGAAGGAAAGCGCATTCCCTTCGGCTTCAAATACCGCACTCTCCCGCATTTCACAAAGGATGACTACTCACCAGAGGCTCGTGGTTTTGTCGAAAACTCGTATCTTCGTGGTCTTACGCCTAGCGAGTTCTTCTTCCACGCCATGGCTGGTAGAGAAGGTTTGATTGATACTGCTGTCAAGACTGCCGAGACCGGTTACATCCAGCGTCGTCTCGTCAAGGCGCTTGAGGACGTCAGTGCCAAGTACGACGGTACCGTCAGAAACTCTCTGGGTGATATCCTCCAGTTTCTGTACGGTGAAGACGGTCTGGACGCCATCTACATCGAGAAGCAGCGTATGGACCACCTCAACATGTCCCACAAGAAGTTCGCCGACCGCTTCCGCCTGGACGTCATGGACGAGAACAGGCCAGAAGAGCTTGAGTGGCTTGAGTATGGCAACGAAATTGCAGGTGACCCGGCGGTCCAGCAGCTTCTAGATGAAGAGTTTGATGCCTTGCTCTCTGATCGCAAGCAAGTTCGCGAGATCAACTTCAAGAGAAAGGATGATGAGACCATGCAACTACCCTTGAACCTGATTCGTCTCATGGAGACTTCCAAGAAGCTCTTTGCTGTCGAAGATTTCCAGCGAAGCGACTTGCGGCCGCAAGATGTCATCCCCGCTGTACAGGCCATGCTCAACAGAATGACCATCGTTCGCGGCAACGATGATATCTCCAAGGAGGCTGACTACAGTGCCACGATCCTTTTCAAGGCACAGATTCGCTCTCGACTCGCTTTCAAGCGTATTGCTTGCCAGCAGCGCCTGAACAAGATGGCATTTGAACACGTTTTGGGAGAGCTGGAGGCCCGCTGGGATCGAGCCTTTGTCAGTCCTGGAGAGATGGTTGGTGTCATTGCGGCCCAGTCCATCGGTGAGCCCGCCACCCAGATGACGCTGAATACCTTCCATTTCGCTGGTGTCTCTTCTAAGAACGTCACTCTCGGTGTCCCTCGTCTCAAGGAAATTCTTAACTTGGCTCAGAACATCAAGACTCCTTCGATGGTGGTGTACTTGAGTGGTGAGGACAATGCCAGTCAAGAGGCTGCCAAGGCCCTTCGAAGCACAGTTGAGCACACGACTTTGCGTTCCGTCACTGCAGTCACCGAGATTTACTACGATCCTGAGATCACCTCGACTAACATTCCCGATGATCTGGATATGGTTGAGTCTTATTACCTCATCCCCGACGAATCGCACGACAAGACGGAAGACCAATCTCGATGGCTGCTTCGTCTCACTCTGGACCGCCAGAAGCTTCTTGACAAGGAGCTGACTGTTGAAGACGTTGCTAGGCGCATCAAGGAGGAATACCCCAATGATCTTGCTGTCATTTTCAGTGACAACAACGCTGAAGAGCAAATCATCCGTATCCGTCCTATGCATGCGGGCAATGACAAGGACGAAGATGGAGAGAAGAAGATTGAGGACGATGTCATGTTGAAGAGACTTGAGACTCATTTGCTTGACACTCTCTCCCTTCGCGGTGTCAAGGGCATCGAGAGAGCCTTCTTAAACAAGGAGACTAAGCTCATCGAGACCGAAGACGGAGCCCTGCTAGCTGCCAAAGCCGACGAGCGTTGCTCAGAATGGTACTTGGATACCTCTGGAACAGCTCTGCGCCAGGTCTTGGCAGTTGATGGCGTCGATTCCAACCGCACTTACACCAACCACTTGTGGCAAGTTGTCGAAGTCTTCGGTATCGAGGGTGCCAGAGCGGCTTTGATTCGTGAGTTGACTCAGGTGCTTGCCTTCGACGGTTCCTACGTCAACCACAGACATCTTGCTCTTCTCTGTGACGTCATGACGTATAGAGGCACTATCTCCGCCGTCACTCGTCACGGCATCAACAGAGCCGACACTGGTGCTCTGATGCGTTGTTCCTTCGAAGAGACTGTGGAAATTCTTCTCGAGGCCGCAGCTGTCGGTGAGTTGGACGACTGCCGTGGAATTTCTGAGAACGTCATGCTTGGTCAGATGGCCCCCATGGGAACTGGTCACTTTGACGTTCTCCTTGACCCCAAGATGCTGGAGACCGTCATCAGCGACAACTCGCGCATGGGTCTCATGCCCGGTATGCCGGTCAAGGGCGGCGAGGCTGGCGGTGCTGCCACGCCGTACGACTCTGGATCTCCCATGGCCGATTCCGGATACATGTCTCTCAGCTCGCCCGCCGCCGGCAACTTCTCCCCAATTGTCGGTGCTGGCTCGGATTCTCCCACTGGTTTCGGCACCGAATACGGCGGTGGTGGATTTGGTAGCATTGGGTCTGTCAACCCTTACTCGAGTGCTAGCCCTGGACGACCGACAAGCCCGTTCAGCACGTCGCCCACTTCGCCATTCAGCAGTGGATATGGCGGATATTCGCCTTCGTCTCCCAACGCTGGCTACTCACCCACATCACCACTCATCGACGGTGCTGCCGGGCGTTACGGGGCTACCTCACCCCAGTTCAGCCCTTCGTCGCCATCTTTCTCGCCGACATCGCCTATGCTCCGGCCTACCAGCCCTGCAAGCCCGAACTACAGCCCGACGTCGCCAAGCTACTCACCAGCATCTCCCTCTTCGCCCAGGCACTACTCCCCGACATCGCCGGCCCAGTATGCGTCGCCCACATCACCAAGCTACTCGCCCGCCAGTCCAAATTACAGCCCTGCATCTCCCAACCTCCACGGGGCTGGTCCCACATCGCCGTCGTACTCTCCTGCGTCGCCGACGTGGTCTCCTACTTCACCGGCTCAGTACTCGCCTACGAGCCCGAGTTTCCAACAGACTCCGGGAGCACAGCAGTCTCCGACCAGCCCCAGCTATTCGCCGACTGTAAGCTACATTTCCACTAACTGATGTTTCTGAGCAACCTCTAATACATTCACAGTCACCTTCCTGGTCTCCGCGGACACCTGGACCCGGCGGTTCCGGCAACTAATAGTGCGTCGAGTCGTGATGAAGCGTCCAATCGCGTCCTCAGTTCGCCACTATCCTTCACTTTCCTAATACGCCGACTAATGATTTTACGGCTTAACTGGTTCTGGTCGATTGGAATACCGCATCTCATTACAGACGCAGGCTGTCACTGAGATTTTACCTTTTTTTTTCCTTTTCTTCTCGTGTGGAGGACAAGGAACATGCATTTATAGAAGTGCTCCCAGAGACAAGTAACATCACACAAAGCAAGATTGCTACACGCAAAGACGATAGAGGGGCCAGACTTGGGGAGAAGCAAGGACAGCAACATACCCTCATACAAAACAACATCCACAAAAAAAACCATCACTCAAGAGAAGCAAAAAAGGCTTGCGGTGAATTATGTAAAAAGCTGATTTTTGTACAATAAGGCGATCAGGGGTTGTAAGAGCAGGGGGGGGGAGTAGGATGGGAAGGCAAGGAAGGGCTTGACCTGTTGTGGCTTGATGTGTGAAGAGGGAGGGGAGGTGATGAGAGCGAAGAGGCAATGCAATACCTGGGAACCCCTTTTTTTTGAGAAGATGAAGACACACAAAAACCACAGATTGGAGTTGTCTCGCGATGAGAAGAGATGATTAGCCCGGTTCTTTTTCTATCTTACCGCAGATTGACCACCCATGAAATTGGACCAGACTGATATCGCCAAAGGATGTGCCCCTCTGGCTGGTTCGTGACTTTTTGTTGGTGCACGTCTATTGCAGTAACAAGATTATGACGTTTGGTAGGCTCAATATTTGCTTGCCATTGTGATGATGTCTTCCGCTCCCTTTCGGCGTGGTGGTGATGAAGTCCTGCAGTTAGTTGCCTGTACCCGTGTGCTTGGCTGCCTGCTGTGACCCGCTGCTGCTGCCGTCACTCCATGGCCCCTCCGCCCCCATCTCTGATGAACCCACGACCTGGAGACGCTGCGCACCATCACGTAGTAGTAATGGCTGATTAAATCAGGTGTGGACTGTGGGTTTCCGAACGGGCACGGATGGGGAAGATCAGCAACGGGGCAAGAGAGGCAGTAAAAAAGAAAGAAAAGGGTGTGATGCTAAGAGGAGCCAAGTCCGGCTGGATCTGCACCTTGTCATCATTTACTACCTAATTGTTCCCTTTGGGCCTTTGGGGAACCGGGATCGTCTTGTAGGATGTTGGTCGGTCGGCCGCCCTGTACTTTTTCCTTCTTTCTAATTTCACGCTTTCGGTATGTTTCTCGGCATGGGCAGGAAGAGCAAGATGGGGTGGAAGGGAAGAAAAAGAAAAGTTACACGTCACATAACCAGACACAGGCACCAAGACGCTATGGGAAAAGCTCGCTCGACAAGAAAACTTGTAGCCCGGCGGGCGGCGCGGGCGACAGCGGCGCCACCCGCACCCGAGGCGTTCATCCAAACATTGCTGCTCATGGTTCTAGAATTCTTGTTGTTCCTTCCCTTCGTGATGCGGGTAGGCAGGCAGGATATCCGTAAATGGACGAGGGACCCAGTATGGAGGAGGAGCAAAGATACAAAGGACGGAGACAGACTTTGCCTCGTCCTCTAGAGAACAGGGAAGGGTGGGAGATTCTCTAGGATGGATCGTGGCCCATGAGCATCATGGGTACCATGGATACGCCCGAGACGCGTCTTCTTCAAATCCTCTTCCGGACGGGGCCGCGTCCTCTTCTCCATCTCGCCTCTCGAATCCTGGTCTCGTCACATCGACGACGACTCACAGCCCACGAGTCATCACCCATACTCTGTGCGAATTCTGCAAGTCAATCCGGGGCCTTCGTATTGTGGTCCCATCAGCGGATTGCAAGAAGGCGAGCCTGGTGGGTGGATGGGGTGAAAGGAACCCGCCTAGCTGGCGATGACGGCAATGCTGATGGCGCTTGGGTGGGTGTATAGATGTTCGCTTACAAGACCGCACCAACGAGCGGTCGACAAACGGCTTCCTGATTCGCGGGTTTGTTCATGCTCAGCGCGCGAAGACGCCAAGCCGCGTCTCTTTGGCTTGTCTGGATCCAACATGCGCACATGCATAATGTGTGGCACACCCAGTCTCCAATTCCTCGACTGTACGGATAGAGGCAAACAAAATGAAAGGAAAAGTGCCTTATGGGTCACAGGCAGCGAAGGGTGTGCCGCTAACCCCGAGGCCCGAGAAACGCCGGGGTGCAACTACCAGCCTCCAGGTAGATGGAGCGTTGGCCGCGGTTGCGAAGGGGAAAAGAAAAAGGAAAAGTCCCGCCGAAGAGGCCGCTTGGACCGGCCGGCTCAAGGTATCCAACCATGGCCGTGCCCAACGTCGACCGACGAGTACAGCCGTCTCTGCGCCTTTCTCTTCTTATCAGCCTGTATTTGATGATGGATGATTTCCCAACAGGCGCCACTGCCGAGCATCGTGTAATGCTGCATTGTGGACTCCCGAATGTCAAATAGAAAAGGGAAAAAAAAATTGGAAAAAAGGGGGAAGCGGTCCGACGGAATGCTCATCATGCTTGTTGGTCTCGGGTCGTACACGAACCCGGTCAACGGGCCAAGGGAGCCGGAGCCGGTGAACAAGGGCCCCGACGACGAGAGTCTTTAACCGGGAATGCGGAAAGGAAAGGATTGTTCCCTGTGGAAACGACAACAACAATGACTTGAAGGAAAATTTTTGATTAACAGGAAACCGAAAAATGAGACTCCCATAGGTATCCACCATAAGGCGGTTCTCGCGCGTTGTCGAACCAATATTATCCCCAGGCATTCCCTTCGTCTGCTCTTGATCAACATCCATCATCAATCAGGCAGTCGCAAGGGATGGAGCCTCGAGGCTCGAGCTGATGCAGGACACGGACACAGCGCTAAAACTTCGAACAGTGGGCCCCAAAGATCGATCATGACAGGGGGCTGCCCTGCCATTACATACCTTGATATGGAGGCATTGGGCAGAGACTTGAGGTTTTCAAATGGAGGCGAATGATTGCCGTGAGCTGGGTCGCTCTTAAGCAGCTCTCTCTATTCGCACTCAAATCATTGTTCTTCATCCTCCGACCATCTAGGCATGAGCCCATGCAGGTATAAAAGGAGAGGGAGGAGAGGATTAAGCGGCCAACCGTGCCACCCTTGCCGTTCGTTCAACCGCTAGCGGCCTGGTTGCGGACTGGATTCCGTTTCCCGTCGCTGATTGTGGCTTGGCCTGGCGAGCGAAACCAGGTGTCGTTTGCCGGCTTGATCGATTTGTGAGAAGGATGTAAAAGCGTGAAGTGATAGGGAGACGGGAGTGTGGTAGCGTCGTAGTTTGACCTACTGCACGTCGACGGCGCGGTTGGTCTTGTTTGACGAGCGGAATATGAAGTCCAAAGTGCAGCACTGCGGCACAATCAAAGAGGTTTGTGAACTTTTTGAACGTCCATGATTGGTGTTATGCAGGATTGAAGCGATGTGCATAGCCGCCGAAGACCAGAGGGGCGGGCGCGATGGGCCTGTCAGCAATGCTACTATGGTAGTTCGGCGCCCCCAAGGCGCATGGGGGATTGGGGAGGGAGGGGTGCCCCAGTGCTGGCCGATGATCCGCAACAAGCGGAAAAGTGCTGGCCAAGTGAAGATGAGCAATGCCCCCCCTGGTCACCTTGTCTGTATGTAGCCGTAGTGGTGTCACTGCTCAACCTTGACATGAGGAGATGGCAAGGGAGTCTTTGTTTGCGTTATGCTTCTTGCGCACAGTGACTTGCTTGCGGGCCGAAGACGTGGACGGCGGGCGTGGACGTCGGCAGGGCGAGATGGGAGAAGACATGGTTCGCAAACTTCTTGGCTGCTATTCTCGTGGCCGACTACCTTTCGATGTGGTTGGACAAATTGTTGTTGCTGGTTTCTTTACCGTCTGCCAAACATATCAGTTTTGATATATCAAGGATGTTTAGAAAGACGGACCGTCTGCTTCGCCTTATGCCTCGACCGCGAGCTGATCAGTGCGAAAGGGATGGGCTCCGGTCGCGTGTACTACGGCACAAGCGTGCCCCCATGGAACAGCAGGGACAACTCTATGCTGGTTCGCAGTCTTGTGCCAGCTCCACTTCCCGGCGCAGAAATCTGTCAAGTTGACAAAAGAAGGCGGATCAGGAAACTCGTTCGCATTCGCGGGTCACCCATATTGCTTTGCCAACCTAACCCCCTTGGACGTTCAGCTTACCGAGCTCGTTTGGGGCCCCTGGCCAACTTCGAAATGCCAGTGAAGGACAATGGTGGACGTGCGAGGGAAATCGCTGCTTGGCAAGAACCAGGGACCAACATCGTCTGCGTCGCGATGCTGCGTTGGTATGACGCGGGAATGAGACCACATCAAGCCCCTTCTTTTTTTTTTTTTTTGGGGGGGGGGGGGGGGGGGGGGGGGTCCGGGGGCATACGGGTTTAGAAAAGATAAAAAGGGGTCTTCTCTCTCACTTTCGCAGGGGTGGGGTGGGGGGGGGGGGGGGGGGGGGGGGGGGGGGGGGGGGGGGGGGGGGGGGGGGGGGGGGGGGGACGTTCGACGGTGTACAAGGTTGCATACAGTAACAAGACGGACTTTCACTGTCATGCAGCTTGTCAAGGCCGGGTATGGCAGCAGGTTGAGGTTGAGGTTGAGGTTGAGGGTGTTGCGAAAGGCGAAAAACGTGTCCTGGAAGAGAGCGCGTGCCCGTGTCCGGCCGACGTCGTGCGGCGCATGTCAGGCAAGCCATGCAGTGTGGTGCCGGCAGAACACAAGCATAAAGTAGAGTTCGTGCATGCATGACCTTCCATCAGGTACCTCGCTCATCTGCCTTCGCTCAGGTTGTGTTTTGCCTGACATCTCGTGCCTGGCGGATCCCAAGCACCTTGCTTGTAGGCACGGTAAGGCATAGGCGGATGCATACCTGCCCTCCCACATGCCACCTCCTCGGACTTGCAGCGGCAGCATTAAAAGTAGTGTCAGTCTCTAGGCCTGCTGTCCTTCATTCAAGTCTCCGAGAGACGACATGTTGGGTCGGGTGCGAGGGTGAGAGCGAGGGTCTCGAGATGGAAACGAAGAAGGGATGTCTGGCAAACTAGTTGCGATGATCCTTCCAAGGACCTGGTCATTGTGCCCTCAACGCCAGGTACCTGGAGCGAAGTTGGCAGGGGAGAGGTTGTCCGCGGGTTGGACTACTCCAGTGCTCCTCCGTGATTGCCCTGCCAAGATGAATGGACAAGGTCAGGGCTTCCTGGACCAAGGTAAGGCAGGGCAGGGTGAGCTTCGGAGAGGAAGGTCGTAACGTACGCATATGCCCTGCTCAGCATGGGTGAAGGGGGGAGGGGGGAGGGGGGAGGGGGGAGGAGATTTGTGTGCGCGTGTCTGAAAGAGAAAGAGTGATTCTATATGTGTGTGTGAGAGTGGGAGTGAGAAGAGGAGATGGACAGACAAATTCAAATGCAAGAAACGAGCCAGAGGTAATTACCTTGTCGGATACAGTGCAGTCAAGACGTACTTGCTGGAGTCACTTGCTGGAGCTAGTACCTAAGACGAAAAGAGCTAGGGAAAGGGCTGGAGCCGTCGTCTGTCTGTCAATCTCCCGACCCACTTCCGGACACGGATGACAGGGGCGGTACGCACGTACCTTAGCTTAGTACCTGGCAGCGGCTCCCACCCCGGTCCTGTCCTCCTGCAGCTCCCTCGCCTCGTCTCCATCCTCATCTCATCTTTCTTCTCTGTGCCGCCGTCTCCTCGTCGTTTCTCTTCCTCCATCCTCATCCTCGTTCTATTCTCGCCTTGGCTTGCCTTTGCCCACCTCGCCTCGCTTCACCTTACCTTGTCTCGAGAGCTCTCAGACTCGCCAATACACTACGCATTCGCCCGTCGTCCTTTGGGGCGCAATTCGGATGGAAGGAAGGGCGGGTTACATCCGGCGAGAGCGTCCTATCTCGTCCTATCCTGCGTCGCGCTGCCTTGGCCCGGTCCAGGATCACGAGGTGTACATTTGAACACAGGAGAGCGCCGACGCTCACACACCTCGCCTTCGCTGTAATTCAGTTGCCCTGCAGAGCTATCGTCGCTGCCCGCCACGCCAGTCTCGGCTGCTCACAGCATCTTGGTACCCGGAATGCCTGACCGGGCCGGTGTGTGTTTCCGCCGACTTTGTCACACAGATACTGACATGGCCATGAACCAGGGTAAGGTAGGAATAGGGTAACTCATCTACAAAGTACCTCTGCTTGTGCACTAGGTTGACGTTAGTCTCCGCCGTTACGCTAAAGTAGCGTGGTGTAGCATTGGTCTAAACTTGATGGTATGGTGTCTCGTTTTCCATTTGTCTGTCTGCCCTACAAGCTACGACTAGCTGCGGGTTGGCTTATATTGTCGCTCATCTTCTCGAGTGGCTGTCCGTTGTAAACTCGATCTCTCTTTTCCCTCTTCTTCGCTCTCCTACCCAATCCAGTCTGTTTCTCCTTTCTTCAATTGTCATTTCATTTCATTTTTCTTTCAAACATTGCTATTCTTGTTACTCTGGTTCCCCCCCCCTCCTGGTCCCTTCCCCTCCCTCTTCATTCTCAAGACTAAACAATTTCATAGGCTATTGGCAAGCGCTATTCGCGGCCGCCGTGGCTCATCTGGTTTTCTTGCGCAAAAGAGATTGGACATGATAATATTGCGCAAAGTTCGACTCTGTTCCTAGGCGATGAGACAATGTTGTCGCTTGTCGCGGGTATGCCTCGCACTAATGAATTCGCGTTAAAACTTGAACTGCGTGCTCGCTTGCCATCACATGACGCAATGCTTATGCTGGGTCGTGGAAATCCTACCCGCCACGCGCCATAACCACAGCTATCTATTTCCAGCCTCATGCTGGTTTGGGGCGTCTGTTGTGGCTTACCTGGGGGTTTGCCCCTTCCTTCTCGAATAACCTAATGAATGCCGTTGTAGAACAATCATGTCCATGCCAGGCGCAGTTTTTGGGGGCGAAGTTTTGTTTGTCTTGTGAGCCACAGATCCGTACCCTGGGTGTGTAGTGTATGTGTGTACAAGTAAATCGCCTCTTTCGGAAACCGACAGGGGGGGGGGGGGCCAACATCTCTTCTGAGGCCAAAACAACAACCCACCCAATTACTGCTGGCTGTCGGACGAGGCGACGTGCTTTCGCAGGCGGACCGCTCCCGTGTGTGAAATGCAGTACCACGTTGTCAGTCTTTTTTGGCTGGTGAGCAGGAGTCTCCAGCAGGCCAAACTTTCGGTCGCATGCTGGCTTTTTTTTTTTTTTCTACTTTTTTTTCCCGCCTCAGCCCCATTATGAAACCATGTCTCGGGGTCCAAAAAGCGTGGTTCAAAATAGATGCTTGAGTGCGGCCCGACATCGAATGCAGGTATCCCGAATGTGGCTTGAGCTTGGCAGGGGAAGCGGCCAAACCTCAAGACATTTGAGCTTGCCATTTTGCTTGCTTACCAGGCAGATAAAAGTCTTCTCCTTCGTTTCGCATACCGTCAAATCAACAACATCAGATTGCAAAGTGCGAGAGGTAGAGTTCAAATGATTGAATTTGTTTCTCCCCTTCACAAATGGGAGCTATTGACAGGGAGAGTGTTTGTCAGAGTCGCTGCCCGACCTGGCGAACCGAAAGGCTACTTCATAAAGTCTAAAGAAACCCGCACGCGATACCCCGTCATCGTAGTAGGTTGTTGGAAAGAAAATGAGAAAAGTCGAGAATAATCGAGAGGGAAAAACCCCAGCATGCTGATGAACAAAATGATGGAGACCAAAGTGCGGTTCCTCAAAGCTCTATTCTGCTGGCGTCGTTGGCATCAATGCTGCCACAGAAGTGAAACGAAACGAGAGGCGTGAGCCTCATGATTTGAATGAGCCTAGTTGAAGCTTGTCAAAGCCTTCTCTCCCTTGGTACTCTGGCTATTTTGAGCCCGTCGTCGAATCTAATGTCCAAGAGGCCGTTAGTGGGCACCTCACCGAGTCAGGAGTCTGTAACGGACCTACGATCGTCCTTGCTGCTGGCAGTTGAAGCAAGCGCCGCTTTGGCTTTGCGGCTTGTCTACGACACCTCCGCAAGAGCCATGGGAGCTGCACGCATACACAGGTCGAGTCTCGATGCAGCCGCAACCCCATGTGATGATGACTCTGGAGCACATTTTGGCTGTAAAGGAAGTCTTGTTTGTAGAAAGAGAAGGAAGTTGCGAAGCTGTTGCGACAAGGTCTCTTAGGCTGCGAGCGGTTGGATTTCTAGGCGAGGGTTTGTTGTGTAAAGTTCGATAGGAAAGCGTGCTGATGACTTTTATTGCAAGGAGCAAGTGAGATTCAGGCTTGTTGTTTGAAGGTGAATGGCAAGATGGATAGTCTCGTGTACTGTAGTAGTTTCCCTGGTTGGATGAAGAGTGTGTCTTCTGGGAGCTCAAGACGGGAAATGTCGTCTGTCTTATATATCGTGGTGACACAAGCTCAAGACTGGCTATTGGCTTGAAATCGACTGTCGGGAGTGGGCTGACTTGTTTGCCATCGTCAAATCTACCAGCCAAGCGAAGGAGGGCCAACAGAAAGCTATCACACCGGTGATGCCAAATAGAAGTAGACGCAGCTTGGCTGTTGGTTGTTTGCCAGCACGTTAAAGTTTCTGTTCTGATGTTGGAAGATGCCAGTCGGGAGATGTTGGTGCGTCAAGCGTCTGGAGGTCTTCAAGTTGACGCAGGGAGGGCTGTGTGACGTGGTGGAGGAAAATAATGTAGAAGATGCAACTGGTTTTGAGAATGGCTTGTACCTTGCAAGTCGAGGTACCTGCGAGAGTTGCTGGCTGCGGGTGCGGACCGGGCAGATGGGTTGTATGATCCGCCCCTCTGCAGGAGGTGGTCGACAAGCTGCCTGGTTGTGGAGATGATTTGGCGGCCGTGGAGAAACCAGCCTAATTCGACTCAGCCTAGGCCGTTGGCTCTCCCACACAGGGCTATCAAGCACCCGTGTACTTCCAACGCACAACGGCGCAATGGCTGGTCGACTGCGAGAAAGAGTTTTGGCCTGCCTTTTGCCCTTTTGATAAGTCGTACGCTAGCTCGAAATGAGAGGTGAAAGTCGGGTACTGTCCCGCCTCGCTATGTTGGTAAGACCAGGGTATCACGCAGCCGGCCTTTCTGGAAGACACTGGTTGTTGTTGGACGTGATATCCACCAAGAACGAAAGAGCCCCCAATATGCAGTTCAGAGGCGCAGCCCAGCCAAAGTTGGGTCTGTTGATGCAATGTCTCGTTTTTCTGGTGCTCCGGGTCGAGTGCTGTATGGGCGACGCGTGACCCGAGATGTTGGTTTCGACGACTAGTGAGCCGGGTCGACGTTTGGCAGCGAATTCTTCAAGAGTCTTCAGTAGAGGGCTGCCAAGGCACGGCGATGTTGTTCAAGGGTGGTTTCTGAAGACGGGATGTTGAAAGAGGAAGAGAGAGGAAGAAGAAGCGAGAGAGAAAGATAGAAGACGGATGTCCTCAGCCGCCCCGCCCGGCTCAATGCCTGGTGACGGGTATTCGGGGCAGGGTAGGGCAGGTAGGTGCACCTCTCGTGTGTTTCCATTGCCGCATGGCGCCCACTGGCCGCGCTTTCCATTGGGGAACGTGGTAACACACAGAACGACGGCCACTTCGACCGGGGATTGCTTGGCATGGCAGCAGTGCTCTGTGCAGGGCCTGGTGCCGTGCCGTCTGGTCAGCTCCCTCAGCGTAGGGCAAGCATAAGGGCCTACAAAGAAAGGGTGACCCATGTCCCCTGTCTTGAGTTGTGATTGTACTCGAACTGATGGTGTCGGGAGACCACTCGTGGGCAGTTCCTAGTGCGTCCCAAGCCGACCTTACTGTCAAGCGTAGAGATGGGCCGCTGTGTTGAGTGGATCGTTCAGACGATGTCGCACATGAGGGATCCGCGTCAAGCCCTGTTTGTTCGTCTAGTTTGGGCAAGCCCGTTCCGTTGATGGCGTCCTTTGTATCTATCTAAGCTATCTTCCGTCTATCCCTCGATGCGCTGCCGTCTTTCTTGGCACTTTGGCTCTAAGGGCGGACGGGCAGGCAGACCGCTCACGGATTTGGCTCTCCCTGCCGAAGTTGCTCTAACCAACTGAGGGCAATGCTCAAGTAAAGACAACGTCCGATGGAACATCAACTCGTCCAGGCACGAGCATTCAATGACGAAGCCGCACCACAAACAGACGGAAAGCCAGTGAGAAGCTCTTCCGCTCCGAGTTGGAACGGCGAGAGTCAACGTTGGGGGTCATAGCAAGCTTGTTAATGGGGCAGACAGGCAGACAGGCGGACAGCAGCGCCGTGAGATGGGAAAGTTGCAACAGAGCAACAGCCGCTCCCAAGCGAAGTGTTTGATTGTGCCCCCGTCCCTCTACGTCGAAAATTGGACCGGAGAAGCAGAGACCAAAGTAGTCAGCACAAGGTCGATCGGACTGTCGGCCCACGTATTCATCGACATCCGCATCAACGTCCCTGACCAGATTGCCAACCCTGCTTCAGCCGAGTCCATGCCAAGGCCTAGGTCCAGGTCCAGGTCCATGTCCAGGTCCAGGGATAGGCATAGGGATCCTCAGGTCCAACGGGGTCAGCGTGGAGTATCAAGATCACGACGGTTTGGCGACAGGATGGCAAAAAGTGTGAAAACAGGACGGTCCCCTAGATCAGAGTGGACGCTTGGGCAGCTAGTGACACAATAAAGCGAATTCCATGATTGACCAGGGGTTCACATAAAATAGTGGAGTCGAGGACTGAGGCGTGGCTCTGCGAGACGGTGACGCCAAGAGCAAAAGTCGTCACGTCCTTCATCTGTCCATGTTCTGGTTCTTCCGTGTGGAGGACAGGAAAGGCGGCATAGATCCAAGGCCAAGACCAAGACAGCCTAACGAGGTTCATGAATGGGCCAGCTGTGGCTAACAGCGGGCGGAATTCGGCACGATTGGGGTCGCCAGGCCTATCCGTTGGGGTGTGATGTGAGAGTGCATGGGTAAAGGATGGCTAAAAAGAAAAAGGGTTGTGAAGGTGACGGGACTGTTGTAGCGGACGAGGGCGAGTCCGAAGCGCGATCCTGTTGAGGACGAATACCTTGACCTTGTGCCTTGTGCTGATGAGATGTAAAGGGGGCCGAGGAAGCTAAGCCAGCCATAAACGTGGCCAGCAGCAGTGTCCGAAAGAGCCCGGTGGCTTGATCGGGGGGGCACATGGCGTTCCGCCGCTCCCTAGACCATGGGATGGCAAGGGGTGGGATGCCTTAGACCGCTGACCGGGTTGGGTTATGTTGGGTTGGGTTGGGTTGGTGGGTTGGCGTGTGTGATGTATCCGTCCGTGTGGGAGGGAGAAGAGGAAGAGGGCAGAGCAGAGCAGGCGAGATGAAGCTTCCAAGTCGGGACCGGTGACGCACTGTGTGGCGCGCGGGAAACGGCACGTGTTATACGGTGCGAATATTGCGCAAGGTAGGTACTTGCCAAAGGCGTTCTTGTTGTCGTTGGTTGGTTGGCTTGACCTGACCGACTGCAGTCAACAAGGAAGGAAGTGACAGATCTGGGCAACTGCATTGTGAAATGACCTCCTCGATGTGGTTTTGGTGAAATTTCCTCTTCGTTTCCTCTTCATTCTTATGTTGTCACTCCCTGCTAACCCCAAATCTTGCTTCCCGTCCCCGTCGTCTCGCCTACCACTTCCTCTCTCATCACCAACAGTGATGGCAATATCAAGTCTTCTTCAACCGGCCATCAACGTGCAATTTGCCCTTTGCCATGGTCCACACCAGCTTCCCATGGCAAAGCTTTGCATTTCGAATATTGGCACAGATACATACCAGTTTCCGCATTTCCGTTGACGCGGTCGGATAAGTGCCAACACAATGAGGTCCACGTCTATGCCTTGCGTCCCTCTGTTTCCCCCATCCCCCCCCCCCTTGCCTCTCTACCCCTTTCTTCTTTCGGTTTCATCTTTCTCTCCATCCTTTACCTCTCTTCAAGGCCTGTCGTTGAATTTGGTCAAAATAAGAATAATACGTATAATGTTCTTTTCTCGTTGCGTTTGAGGCGGTTGGAAGTTGTGTAGGTTTCTTGTGTTAGAGAATGCAAGCCACCATCAGTTAAAGAAGGCTAGAGAGCAACTTAACCTTTTTAGATCAAGGATTCTGCCATCGAATTGGGGATTCTGCACAAGAGTCACCAGCTAGTCGGATTAGCTATACCCGCTACTTTAGTGTATCTCGACATACGTCCGTATGCTAAATCCACCAACTTAGTCTCCGCCGACTAAGCTGCCTCGATTTATCCTTCAATGCTCTTCGAGTCCAAACCTCATCCAAGGCCCTGTTGGCTTGGGGCTAGCTACTGAAATACGGCCGTTGGTGCAGTGTCGGCTATTCGTTTGGCTTGCTGAAGGCAAGCTTACCGCAGAGCTTGACGGGTGTTTGGCCAGTCCTCGCGAGTCTCTCAGGCCAACGGTCCCATCTTGTCAAACGTGGTCGCCAAAATTCTAGGTATAAACCATCAACGTTATTAGTCTTTTGCACTTTTGGGAAAGGTAAGGGAAATCTTCATCGGCGTGGCGTACTGATGCATCAGATCCTCATCGTCAACGGCGTCTCACCCTAACGCACAATACGGAATGGTCGCAACGGTGGCGCCCCCCAACTCCAAGTCCGAGCCGGCAAAGTACCTCAAGTCTCGAAGCCACACCCTCTTTCTCGTAAATCGAACCATTAATGCCTGCTCCTGCGTCCCGGGTAGACCGAGGTGAGGGGGTGCGCTCGTCCACCCAGTCTACTATCTGTTCCGGGGGCGAACATCTTAGCAAACCACTGATGTTGAGGAGGAGCCACGATCCCGTGGATGTCATGAGTCTGTATTCCTGTCTCTTCCATCTCTGCCTGAGCCTTGAAGAGAACCAGCTTCACCGCAAGACCCTCTGGCCCACCGTCATGGTGTTGGATTGCTTCAAGTGCTGGGGTTCCCAGCTTGCTAATACCTTACCACCGGGCCGTGCTGGAACCCAACACATCATGGTGCCTTCATGCGGCCTCGCGTGCGGCCTGTCATTACCTACCGGCAGTCTTACCAGGCAAGCTTCTTCGAACACCCCAACACTCCTTGTGCCCGCAGCACACCTCACATGGTCATCTGGTCTACCAATCATCCCGAACAATGGGGTACCGCACCCCCTTAGTCCCCGGTCGCCTCACTTCCATCGGCGTTCGACGGATTGTCGTCTACCTCTTGAGCCAAGATGACTTCCGCATTAGGATTCTTACTTGTGGAAAACGAGGTGGTCAGTCCAAATTCACCAGATTCCAAGGCGGCGAAGCAGAGTTCGCCCCCCCTTTTCATATCCACCTCGCAACATGACATCCTTAGGCCAGGAGCTCTCAATAAGCTCGTCGATACCCAACGAGCTCATACTCAGACTCAACCCTGTCAAACTGGCCCCTGGATTTGGACTTATTTGTTATATAATCTGCATGAAGGAGTTGAGGCCTGTCCGGCTGCAGGTCATTTTGAGAGCAAGTTTACATCACAATGAGCCAGGTTCTGCGTCAACACAAATGCTCCCATCACAGCCTGCGTTCTTTCCGACGGGGGGGGATGGCATGCATTTGTCGTTTCCAGTGGTGACCTCAGACCCCCATGGGAACGACTTGACATCCGACTGCCTTCCACACACATCTCTCGCCTCCTTGACCACAACAGGAAAGGACAACAGATCATCTCGTCACTTCACAGTTGAGCTCCGCAACTTCTTCTTTGGGACTTGAAGAGCAGCAACAGGGGTAACTTGCAAATTATTGCGCATCTGCATATGCTCTTGTCAGGCCTCATTCGAGACTTGTATCGAGTTGAGGGGTAGCAAGCTGTGCCCACCATCCCTGCGTGAGTGAGCATGCAGGTGGCGGCTGGGCAGAGCTCGTCTATGATTGCTGGTGCCGCCATTCACAACCAACTAGGACATTGTCGCGGCATGAGAGCAAGAGGACACCATCAGGCGCCCTTGTCGCCCGTTCCAACAGGTTCATCGCGGGAAAAAAATAAGCAGCACGCCCCACGAAGTCGAGCATGTCGCAGACGTTGTTGTTGGCCTGTCCTCAACCAAGCGGGCGAGGTGTGATTGAGTCGCATGTCAGCCAATCACGATTCGGACCCCCCCTGTTATAAGCGCCTCGTGGGACTCGCGGCTTGGCCCGACTCGACCGACGACCACTCGTTCTCTCGGTAGCCGCCCAGGACGGCGGCTCAAATTCAATAGCGTTCGGCCAGACTTACACGCTTTTTGCAGTATGAATACCACCGTTTTTCAACTTCTCGCCAGTGGCACAGGTGAATCTTGCACGGAAAGCGTACCCTTTCCAATGCTACGGATGGTCAGTTGCGTTGCAATACTTCAGAACCGGCCAATCGACAAGGATGCTTGGATATTAGTCTCCCCGACTGGAAAAGATGGAGGGAAGATCAGGAAAGGTCATAGGTTCCGTCGTCCTTGGCTGGGCATGCGGGCATGGCCCAGTTGACATCTGCACCTCGTCGTTGCCTGTCACCAACGAGATGGCATCAGCCAGGCATCAGGGGCCTAGCGTTGAGAAGCATATGCGGAATGACCTTTCCGTAGGAGATGGGCTTAGGAAGTTGTAGCGGTCAGAAATGGCCCTTGGACCGTTGATCCCGCGGGTGGAAAAGACCTGGATTGTCATGGCCCCTATCCGTACCAAGACCGCATTAGCATGGTTCCAATCTTGATCGAAGGTGGATATCATTACAGCCACGGATGGATATACCTCTCCCCTGACGAAGATACCACACACCTTCTAGTGGCGGAAAGGAAGCTGGACTACCCACTGCACCCTGGGACGATTCTCTCGAAGTCTCTTCTTGAGTACAGTACTTGGACCATCCACAAGCAACCTCGCATCATGTGTCCACTAATGCAAGTTGGAATCACCAAACTGCGGCGCATTCGTGACGAAGGTTTGAGGGGAGGCAGCAGGCAGGAAATGCCTCCTCGTGTTGGTGGCAACACTCTTCTTCTGCAAGGTCTCGATGCTCCCCATCACCGCTTCTTGCACACACCACGAACACAACCACAGCCATGCCGTGCTACCTCATGCACCGCAATCACCTCGAGCCAGGCTTTACGATGAGTTCTGCGGGCGGCCCGCCGGTCGCATACGAAGCGGGCTTACCACCCTCTAGCCAACTGCCTCGATGGCTTGGCTTGACCTCGATCGAGAAGCGGAGTCGTGGCCGGTGACTACAATCACCCTGGCCCCCTGATACGAGCGTTGTGGGAACCTTCTCTGAGATTGCAGAATGACATTGCGCAACGGATTGGACATGTGGGGAAATGATTTACCTCTCAAACTACTGTCGAAGAGGGCAAGGACACGTTGGCGGAAGAGGGAACGAGAGGACCATCCGCCCAGACGAGGAGGAGGTTGAGGCGAAGGGAGACTTAGGGGTTTCCCTGAGTAAGGCCTGCCAGACTCTGCGGCCCAAGTCAGCAGATTATTTGTCTCCAAGGCGAAGGCTGCGATTGAACGTAGCAGAGATGAACGCATTGTGCAGATGAGTCTTACTGAAGATACTTTGCGGTTTAATTTCCTAATGTCGAAAGAAAGTCTGATAAATGTGTTGAGCGAACGAGCTAAATGAGGTGGCGTCAGACGTTCGCCCAAGGCAAGCGAGAAGCGGCGTGGAAACTTCTCAGTTCGTTTCCCATCACCTTGTAGAGGAGAGGATGTTTCTGACGCCCTCTTTCTCCTGCAGCGTTCCTCTCCTGTTCCTTCCTCTTCTTCCTCTTCCCCCTCCTCCTCCTCCTCTTCTTCTTCTTCTTCTCCTTGTTCTTCTCCATCCTCTCCATCTTCCCGCTCTTCTCCCTTAGCTTCGTGTCTACCCGAGCGGGCTCTGACTACCGCAGAAGATTATTAGAAAGGTTTGAAGTCAAAGAAATGGCGATTGCGGGGAAGCACCAAGCAATGACCAGGCACTGCACCCCACGGAAGGATCAAATGCTGTTGCTAGAAATATGCAAGCAAAGGCGATCAGGATTTGCCATTCCCGAATGCCTCCCGAATCCTACGGAAATGCAGCACCACTTGGTAAAAGGGCAAAGTCAAAGGATCGAATCCGCGCCGTACTATGGCGGTACGTGCCTCCCGCCGGGCACAGCAGGAATGCAGGCGGGCCCAGCCAGTGGCACGGCGGCAGCGGCCCGGCTAGGCTCGGACGCGCCCACTTGGCTGCAAACAGTGCCGGCCGAGTGCGAGCCACGATGCAATCGATATACTGAGCCAAAAGAAGTTGATACCTTACCTCACTTTCACTTACCTCACGTGGTGAAGGGGAGGGTTTGCGAAAGGTTTGAGGATGCGGGAGCGTAAAGGCTCCGGTGTCCCCCGCATTTCTTTTTTTTTTTCTTCCCACCTCGGCGTCGAACCCGAAGGCCCCCTCCAGTGAGGTGGGCTCCTTTCCCCCGGATCATGAGGTGGGCGGCGTTGCGCCAGGCTCTTGGTCGTTCGCTGTTACCCAAGGATGGAAGGTCCCCGCTGCGCCGGTTCTCGTCCCTTCCGAGAAATCCTCTTGCCCGCCTCCGACGCGGCCAATGAGGAACCACCGGCGCCCCGGCACCCGGCAACTTGGCCCTTCGGGTTCTGGAGCCTTTCCCATTTACTTTTCGACGTCGTTGGGGATGGCAAAGAGCCTCAATGGGGGCCGGCCGAGGTTCTCCACCTTTTCCCTCTCCGGATTCTTTGTCACGATATCAGATCTGGTGATGGAGGGCATTCACAAGGAACCTTCATGATCTTTTACGGCAAGACTTTGGGATGCAGCCACGCTTGCCCCTCATCCACTCAGGAGTACCCACACTCTGCGCCACTGTAACCACCCCTGCGCTTTTCTGCCTTACTTGTTTTTTTTTTTCTTTCTTCAGTTTACTTTTTGCGGCGGCTGTCTCGCCCTTCAAGCGCACCAACCCCACGGCAGCTACAGATAACAGGAACACAACTCGGGGGTTTCTCACATCAGTCTTCTCATTCCACAATTCTCCAGCGCCTTTTGCGACACGGGGCTCATCCAATTGCGGGCCCACGTGCACAACGTTCCCGTTTAAGAAACTCAGAATAGACTGGTCTAGGTCAAGTGTCCAGAGCCACCAAAATAAAATACCAAAATTCAACAGGGCCGATCTGATACTGCGTTGAAAAAAGTTTCAGAAGCGACCGCAGCAAGGGGCCGTGTTCTCCGTCTCTTTTTGTCCCATTTTGTTTCTGTTTTCTGCTATGTCTAATCCGAAAATCTCATTCTGCTTGGCATTTGGCTTCATGTGCGAGCAAAGTTGCGATGCGGCCCCCCCTCCCTCCTAGGTGGTCGAGACGCTTGGATGCCCCAGTTGCATTGTTGCAGAACATGAGTGCGATACGGTGAAAGCGGAGATGGATAGATGCAGCATATCAAAATTTAGATGTCTTGGCCGGCGAACTTTGTTTGAGAAATCAAAATACAACATTACCCCGGCCGCGCCCAACTTTCTATCGCCTACCGTGTTACCCTACTGACTTACAAGGTTTTTGATACCCCCCGCAAGAGTCTCAGTCAAGACGAGCAACTCTCGACGACGGTACGGATACAGCAATAGCACATCGTTTGCCCGTGCATGTGTCATGGCTTTCCTTGGCATGTCTCTGAGGACGCCAGATCCCGGCATTTCCTCTTTGGTGCACGCCGGGCCTGTGACTTTGCCCACCCATTCTCAATCACGCTCTCTCTGAGGATGGCGTTACCGTAACATGTGTCTGCGTCGTCCAAACATGCCCAGCCGTCCCTATTTTGCCCAGACGGCTGATCCGCCAGCGTCAAGAGGGAAATGCACCTCGGTGCGGCGCGCCCCATACACATTGCTCGAGAAGTACGACAGAAGGCTTGCGATGCGATACGTTGACTGCCCCTCCCCCTACTCCCCTTCCCCTCCCCCAGTGCATCTGCGACCGAGAACCCCCAGTATGAACCTTTTTTTTGGAGCAGCCCGGGTTGAAACGGCACCCAACGTGTGACCGGCAACTTGTCACCTACCTCGACTCTGCCCGTGGGCCGGGTGTAAGGGTGGACCGGGAAGGGAGGGGGCTGCCCATCTGCGATCAGGTCAGCCAGCTCCCCTCCGTGTCCTCCGGGGTCGAAACTTATAAAGTTAGACGGCCGTCTCTCCCCCTTTCATAGTAGGTTTAGTCTGCATCCCAACGCTCTCAACTCTTTCTCGACTCTGCCGCCGTCTCATCTCTCCAGTATCTCCGTGAATTATTCTCCAAGCCGTTGATCTACTTGCACAGGCCGTTTGCCAACTCTCGCCTTCGCTCAACCAACAAAAACAACAAAACAACTATCCCCAAAAAAAAAGATGTCTTCTCCCGTCGACAACTCCGTCTTCCTCTCCCTCGCCCCCACCACCTCGTCCTCCTACCCCTTCAGACAGCAACAGACCGCCGCCGTCACCGAGCCGGCAGCCCTGAAGCGCCGCACCTCGAGCGTGAGCAGTGACGGCCGCAAGGAGGGCGCCGCTGCCGCCCCTACCGCTCCCACCGGCCTGCGCTTTCTCAAGCTCGGTCCCGTCCACTATGGCGAGCACCCCGACGAGCACAAGTCTGACTGGAACCCTGCTCTCCTGGGCTAGATTGGGTCTTTCGTCTTTTCTAATGAACAATGGAGCGTTCCATTTTACATCGTTGAAGCAAGCTCAATCATGATTTTCTTTTTTTTATCAACCATCACAGTCTGGATACCAATGGGTGCAGGAAACCAACACAGTTTGTGCCAGAAAATAAGCGATTAGATCAGCAAGGGGAGAGCTCTAGGAGGAAGAGCACTAGGCGTTTTCTTTTACATTTGATATTTACATCAACGGCGCGGTATCATCGAGTATATCACCTGAAGAAAGTAGGGCAGGTTGTCTCTTTGGTCAGGAGGAACAATCAACCCCCTATTCGTTCATAGAGTCTAGGGGAAATGAGATGGGAGACGGAACCGCTTGAGAAAGAAGAAGAAAAAAACGGGTTACCATCTTTCATCGCAAAAAACAGTTATCAAATTGGAGTTGTTGATGGAGACAGCCATTGTATGAAAATGTGTACTACGCTTGCATGTGCTGTGAATCCTACAATGTCAGTCTGGTATGACACAAGAGAAACTCGACCGGTCTACTAGTCGGCAACGAGCGGATAAAGAAAAATCGGCATCCAGCCCAGAGATCTGAATGGTGGTGGGTGGGCACATTTCCTCAGTCCTTCGGCTGTGCCACATGCCTGGAAGAGCCTACATCACATTGCCGGGCTAAGCGGATCAAGGGAAGAGGAGCAGGACACGACAGCGACGACGACAGGACGGGAGCGAGAGCGACAGACAAGGGGTGGGGGGGGAGGGGGGGAGGCGAGAGCTGTCAACTCAGGGGGGAACCTCTCCAAGGCTGTAATGAACACTGGCTTCCCTGCTCCGGAAGGTTGGTAGGAAATAAATTGCAAGTTACCCTTCTAAGCGGCACTTACAAACAGAGGAGAGAAATGATGGAAGTGCAGAGAAGGAGGGGAGAGAAAGGAGCGAGACCAAGCTTCTGTGTTGTGGGCCAACTTCATGCAATGATCTGACATGCTAAACCACCAACCCGCTGATCAAGGTGGGAGAGGAAAAGACCGGGGGGGTTTGGCGTGGAATGCAGTAGAGCGCGTCGTATTTTGTTAATCCGGGCTGGCGGATTGGGGGGGAGCTGATTGTGCAAGAAAAAGTCTGGAGAGGAGGGGAACAAGGAGGCACAGAGACAGCTCACCATCACCCCCTCCATTTCGAGACCTTTTCAAGGGTGTGGGGTGATGGTGGTGATTGGAGTAAGCCGGAATGACTTTGCCTTGATTTTGCGGCGTTTGTCGTTTATTATCGGCTGTTATTCCATGCACGCAGACGGTATTGTTGTCGAGTTTCTTTCTATCTGTTGATGTTGGAGTTACTGTTGCTAGGACGAGAGGACTCGAGTGGAATGGAGGGGGAGGGGTAGGGGGGAGCAGGAGCATGCTACTGCTGCTGCTGCTGCTGCTGCACCGAGGGTCGATTCGCTGGGAGGCGGAGGAGCATCTGCTCTGGACGAGACGCACGTGGGGTAGAGACTGGGTATCATGACCGGGGTTTGTTGATTTCTGGTCTATGCCGAGGCTGAGCGGGTTCGATAGTTTCAAAACTAGTTTTCCTCTCTTTGGTTGTGCGCGCCTCTTTCAATTTCACAATATGTGACTTGCTTGGTCTTGTGTGTAGGTACGTGTGTGTGTAATTATGACGTGCAACTTTGCGCGGAAAAGAGGGTTGTAGTTTGTCTGGTCTAGAGTTTCTCTTCGAGAGGGGGTAGAAGACGGGTTGCTGGTGCTGGTGCTGGCGCTGGAGTTTAATCGCAGTTGCGCAATATACTCGGACTTGGTTCGCAAACTCCACGGGGTCCTACAGAGGCGCGCAGAGAGTTTCGGAGACGACTCTGGACTTATGCAGACGTCATATCCGGTTCGCCCGTCTGCGAATCAAGCTCTTATCTTGCGCGACGGGGTTTAGGTTTCCCTTGCCTCTGAGACTGACTGGACGCGCCCCATTTGTCGCTAGGAACACGCACGCCTTGTCGTGTTTTGTTTGCCGGCTGCTGTCAATCTCCGATCGCTAGTCACTTCGTCAGGTAAATGAAGAAAACAAGAAGTGGCAAGGGAAGATCGACGGGGCGTTGCATCTGGCATGTGACCCCCCTTGGCAGGCCGCTGAACCCAACCCTGTCTCGCAATTACCGTATCTAGAAAACCCTTGAGCTTCAATTCGATACGTCGCGACTCAGTCCAGTTGCGGGCCGGTACAGAGCACCATGGCCACCGTAAGCGAGAGGGCGAAGACCCTCCGGATTTTCCGTTAATGATACAATCCGAGCCTCTGTTGACGTCACAAAGGATGAAGAGACGAAATGCGGCCTGCCTGTACGACCGCTGGTGCCTGTTGACATGTGCGTCTCCCCTGGCCTTGGTTCTATTCCAAGAATGCAGCTTACAAGTCGAGAAAGGGGTACCTGAGAGATGCACGGGCTAGGCAGGTGGCAGGTCAACTCGAACGGCGGGCGGGTCGGGCCCGCCCCTCCGACAAGCGCCAAGATTGGACGGGACGAAAGATGGGCAATGCCGCTGCTTGTCGTCCCAAGTCTGCGTGCCTTCTTGTCTGACGATATATCGAAATAGCAGCAGCGTTTACTGCACGGTATGCGTACGGTTGCAGCCGATGAGTGATGCTGAAGCGCGATAACCTAAAAGAATAAAGAGAACGAAGAAAGGAAACGCTACAACCACCGTAGGCCCGGGACTGGAGCCGATTCGTGAGGTTTCACGCCAAGCTTGGCTTATTGTTCGAAATTCAAACTTCAAAGGACGAGGACAATAGGGCCTAAACAATGAATGGAGAACCTAGCCGCGAGCGTGGGGGGGCCCTTTTGGGTAGTGCGCTGCAGATCCCCAAGCGTTTGAATCAATCCATCTTCTTGGCGGTCTGGATGCGCTGAAACGGTCCTGATGTGCCAAAAGGAGAGCATCGGGGGCTCTTGTTTCTATGTAAAGATCTTCCCGTCCTGGGGAGGAGATAGCGTAGCATTTGAATACGGCGCCAGACTCGTCCCTCGTTTCGGGGGCCATTCTTAGACCTGAGGTAACAAAGTTGTGGACTCGGGGGGGTTTCTGGTGGTTTGGAACGGGGGAAGGGGAAGGAGTGGGCCGGGTGGCCCGTGGCCACAGCCACGGACAAAATACATAGCCTCCGAAAGCTGTCACGGCCCCACTCGGAGAGGCTTGTCCGGGTCGGGGCCGGGGCCTAGGCAGGTACCATCGGTGAAGTAACCTGAAGCCCGGTATCATGCCCATGCCTCTCTGCAGGGCGCAGGTGTCTGAGACAGCGATTCTCATCCATCTATTCTCAATGAGCAGTGAGTGAGTGACCCTGCTAGAGCCAGAAAGGTGACGAAGGGCTAATTTCGTTTAGAGAACGGCGAGCAAGTATTGCTCGTGGCTGGCCTGTCGCGACTTCCTCACCTAATCCCCAGATGACGTTGGCGGCGACGGGTATCATATATCTGGCAACTATTCCTGCACCTAGCCCTTATCCCCCTCGGCCGCCAGCATGTCCTTTGGAGCCCATTTTGCCTTTTGCCCGCCTTCCGTAGAGTACAAGCTGTGCCTGGTAGGCGCCATCAGAAAAGCTCTCTACGGCGGCGGTGCCGTGAGAGATAATTTCTTGGTAGTGGGCTCCTGGTTCCGCCAGAATCCACCGGCGGTGAACGGCGCCATCGATAACCTGCTTATGAGCAACCTTTTCGCCGAGCATGATCCGCCTATACTGCCCTTACTCAATCGCTAACTTCATCCCCATCATCGTTCAAGTCGTCATCATCCTGTCTAGAGTCGTCTCTTCATCGCCTTTGGGGCCCTGATCACTGTGGCCGTCTCAACCACTTAATCCACATCCTCCGCTTCGCAAAAACGCTCTGAAGGCCGGCTGGTGAGCTATAACCTGTATCTAGGTCGTCTGGAAATTCTCCTAGGCGCTGGATTACCCGTCGTGCCCATGTGCTTGATCTGGTACGAATACATCACTGGCGATAAATGGTCCCCGGAAAGGAGGTAGTAAGGTCTTTATCTTTGGCGAGATGCCTTGGATGTTAAAGCCCCCCGATCTGCTGGCGACAAATCTCCGCTGGAGAATAGAAGAGCCATGTCTTCATCCTAGCAGAATTCCCATGGCAGCAAAGGCTGCATTTCCCACATGGCACTGGTATTTTAACAGTAATATATACCAAGTCACGGTTAGTCTCGGTCGAAGAGCTTGCTTACCCAACGGTGATTCGCTCTAGAGCTCATATATCGCCTTTGCCAAGCTGATTTCGTGTTGTCGTTACCAGCAAAGGCTGCATCTGCTCGCGAACCGCCTGGCCATGCCTGTTGATGACCTCTTCCTACGCTCGAATCACGCGATCACTTGGCTTTTAATCCCGTGTCCCACGCCCTCAAGTCGATGGAACATGTGTTAGGACGGTATTAAAACGCGCACTCGTGGAGCTTCCATCCGTTCTGGATTCTCGTCAATCTGCGAGCCAGTATTGTAGTCTGACAACCTCTACTTCTGTGTGCTAAAGAGTGGAATATCATCCCGTGGAACCTCAAAGTCAGCGACGAAGTCTTAAGATCCTTCCACATCTAATTGATTTCAAAGGGATGGAAAACCTCCGCAGCTTAGATGACATGGAGATCGCAACGTGAAACAGAGACAAGTTAGCCTTAACCTTAGCCACTTGCTCTTTGATCATGTTGGTTAGCTCGGATGGGGGTCTAAGATCGACGTCCTCCAGTACATGGTATGGCCAATCATTGTTTCTCTGAAACAAAATCAAATACCATAATCGCGGCTCTATTCGACATCCTTGGCTTCCCTCGGGAAGAGAATTGATAATTAAAAGAAGGCCTGAATCGTTCCAGCGTTCTTCGAAAGCGTACTCTGCGGTATCAATCGTTTTATTCAAAAAAAAAAAAAAAAAAAAAAACATGGCTAGTGGAAGAAGACCCCTAACAAAATCCACATCCTCGGCAGCAGTATACGACTCGGCCCAGAAAATTGAAGTGGGAAAAGGTTCAGAGAACGGCTCTGCGGATAGTTATTTGTGTGAAGAAGTGGAACTTGCTATGCGTAATGACCACATCTTATGCCAGCGTAGATCGGAAGCTCGATGCGATGCCACTTGGGCTCAACGAAAGTTCGGACGTTAGAGCGATATGCCCAATGAACATTCCGGTCGTAGCGTCATGATTTCCTCTTGAAGAAGTTCTTGTGAATTCGGTTGAAACAGACATAAGGTACTTCAAGCCTCCGAACTGATGGCTGGGGAACCTCCTGCCGAGCCAAGGTTTCGAGGATAATTCAGTGCACATCCACTAGAAGTGAATATCAGTATAGACTCATCACATTTACAATAATCGCAACTTATTTGGGCACTTACAGAGTACCGGCATCAATAAAAGTTTGGGTTGTTGCTGTCACGTAACAGTTCAATAAAGTAAGTTTGCGTCGAATATGGCAAGAGATACTTGACGATTCCCGTAATTGCTGATAGCTCTAGAGAGCAAATGAACAGAGTCAAAACCTCACACCATAATGCCGATACACCTGAATGACTGCACACGGTTCTAGCCGTCGTGTCTCTTTGTCACGTAAGAGCGTCAAAGACTCCGGAGGCCACTGAGAAGTTAAGACGCCACCCGAACAATGCTGAGTTCATGATCCTTCCCGTAGCTAGCGGCAAGACTCCTCCAGTCAATCGCAATGAGTTGCCACGGTCCCTTGCGCTGTCCCTTGCAGCAAGCCACACCCTCGTGGAACTCACACCAAAAATCGCGGTGGATGGGGTCGACGTAGAGATCAGCCGTCTCTAGGTCCGGATCGGCCAGAAGCCGCAACAGAGCTTGGAACGGCCTTGAATGAGCAAAGGCGTCATCGCGCCGCGTGATGGCGGCTCTTCTGGACTGAGCATCGGTGGCATTCTGGTTAAAAACGACCTTGTCGGCACTCGTTGGATACAGAACGAGCCTTAGATGCCGGAGGGAGCCGTTCAGAATCATGTCGGCCACGGCCGGGGAGACGTGGGTCTGGAAGACGTTGCCCAGGCGGCCGGGTGAAAGCTCAAGATACTTTACGCGGCGACGGGCTCGGTCGTTGCCGAGGAGCCAGGGGCTGCCGTCGCAGATAGCCCGCTCGACGGCGGCGCGGGGCCCATTTTGGAGATTGAGGATGAAGCGGTTTTGCTCGTAGAAAAGGGCGGAACCAGCGGCGTAAAGGAGCGGATGGGAAAGTATTAAGTCGTGTGGGAAAGGTATCTCAGAGATCTCTGTGGGACCTATCTGTATCGGATTTGGTAGTATGCAAAGGTACGAGATGATTTGATCCCGGATCTCGACGGGAAGGTCAAAAAACTGTTCGAAGGTGCGGGAGGCCATCTCGAAAGGATCTCGGCATGGTCGATGACGGGAATTGACCAGCAAGGGGTATCTTATCACCTTCCGAAAGACGTTTGACGACAGGCCCGTCTCATTAGATCTAATCTGCAAGGAGCTGCCAAGACGCTGTAGTGGTGTGGAAGATGAATGTGAGTAAGGTAGTGACGGAGAGTGACTGGGAACGACAGAAGGTGGGGTTGCTGATTACATGATTGGCTGAGATGTCAGCCGGCCCCACTGTGGCGATCGAGCTCCGGTCTATCATCCTCCTGCCCTGGTCAGTTCTATTTCAACTTCACCTCGTCTACTCTGATATACCCCTACCTCTTGTATCTAGCTTACTAGAATTCAGGTAAAGCAGGTATGATGGCCTCGTCTACCGGCTTCTTACAGTGAAAGAGCACTATACTTCGCGTGTCCGTGGGTAATTTGGGGCACACACCGTTCTACAAGATATGTGGTTGATGCAACCGAGATCTTGGGAAGAGAAGCTGGAATCTTCTCATGAACGGTGATACCCTCAGTCAGCGATGAAATCAAGCATCCTCTTCTATCATAATTAGAGGGAAAAGGAAAATTCGTGACTGAAGTTCCCTCTGGCGTACAGCTATCCCCCTTTTACCCAGTCATTGAGTTTTGTTATTGGCCATGGTGACGTTGACCACTTCGCATGTTACGCTGGTCTATCGCAGCTAGAACCTCGGTACCTAAGAAAATTCGATGTTATCGGGCTGTCTGCTAGTTCTCGGCTCACGTTAAAGGTTTCATTAAAGGTCACAACCCCTGCCTTAGTTTAGTGTGCATGGTTAGCGACATCTCCTAGTGGTTACATGCTGGTCGCTTGGGTCTTGGGCGCATGAATTTCTAGTGACTTCGAGCTGCCCACTCTTGACAACGCATTGGAAGGATGTCAAGGATGGCCAAATCGGCGCCTCGTGCAGTAAAGACTGTGTGAAGAAGGGGGAATCAGAATCTGAGTAAAACATTGCAGCATCAATCATTGGCTCCTCAACCCCCCCCCCTCCGAGGGATTCACCTCTTGTTGTCAGACTCTGATGGAATAACCCCCGAGCTGAAATAGCTTCATTAATAATCAATTTCCATCTTCGTTAGGACACACCGGCACGACGGAATTGTATGAACAGTTATAGGAGATATCTGTAAATCTCAGGATAGGATGGCTGGCGCCAAGGACAAACCAGCATTTGCCGCCCGAGTTAACTATTTCTCAACATATTACTCCCGCATACAACTCTTCGTCAGTTGGCAACACGGTCTTGTAGCCGCTGCAAATGTTGTGACACATTCTTGCCTATGCGTGCTGGTTTCACTTGCCGGATGCCTCCAAACCAATGCTTCTATCCCATAGCGATGATAGATGCTATGCCTAAGCCGACTTTTCTCGCTTGGCCGTACTTCAACTCGTCTGTGCTGGTGGAATGATTAATGGGCGAGCGGGGCAAGCGTATGTTTCAGAAGGAGTTTGATTTGCTAGCTATTCATTCGGGGAATGTGCTTCTAAATGAAAGGGCCATTCGATAATGGCGTTGTTGAATCTGTACCTTGTATCACCTCCTACCAAACGTCCAAACGTCCCCAGTGCACATCTCATCCTAGATAAATGCAGTGCAAGCGAACCGAGCTCCCACATGAGGCAGGGATATAAAACGAACAAGTCGCATTAGAGGGACATGTCTGACTTGTTGGATGCACCAAGTATTGAAGAGGTCCGTCTGCGATAACAACAAGCATGGCTCTCGGCCCACCTAGCAGTGCCAGCTCATCCGTAGAAGTAAGCCCAATATATTTTGCAGAACATGAGCGTTTAACCATGCTCTTCCTGATTTGGCCACGAGCATTCGCTACATGATTATTTGTGTCATAATATCTTATAGTCTTTTGAACGGGCGCTTTACTGAATCTAGGTGAGGCTGCTATGTCTTGTGCAGGTGTACAGCAAGCCACCCAAGGTAAAGTAAGTCTTACCCCCACACGACGGATCAGCATTTCCCATACAAATTTATAAATTTCGTATACAAATGACTGTCCAAATTATAAATTTAAAAACACATTTAAAATGTGATATGTTCTAATAAGCTATTAGTCATCTCGAGCGAGTATAGATAGGTATGTCTTTCTCAACGAATATTCACTTATAATAATATTAATAACGATGACAGCGGCAAATGATGACGGCGACGGTGACGTCGATGGTTTCAGGATGGTAGCGGCATTAATGGCGAGGACGTCAAGACGATGCGAATGTCTGCAGTTATGGAAGCTACACAGAAAACTGCTAGCAGAACTCACAACATATCAGAGTAACATCACATCCATAGTGATATCGGACCAAGTTGAAGTAAGACGTAATTTCATTTCATGTCGCCCTGATCCTTTCTACAGCATCTATGAAAGCCGTAGAAGACGGCACCCGGAAAGCATTCATACTCGCCCGAGAGTCATGCCAGTGTCGTGTCGTGTGTGTGTGTGTAAGGGGGTTGTGGAGGTATATGGGGAGGAAGGCGGCTGGAAGAAAGGAGGAACTTTTAAGTGCCTTTTGATATCACCTGACCCAAATTATTCGCATCCTGCCTGGCCGTAATCTGCTCGGCCACCCAAACGCAAGAAAGTTGAACCAGATACACCGCAGTGAAGCGGCCTCTTCAAAGCCGTAGACATCCTCCACGCTAACAAAACGCAAGAGATTTCCTGTACGTTTTGAAACATTTAACGGGAGGACATAGCCTTGGTCACGAGACGCTTGAGAGCGAGCTCCTGCTTCTTGAGATCGTCGGCACCGCTGTCGGTGATCTCGAGGGCAGCCATGGCCTCGGAGACCTGCTGCTCGATCTTGTCCTTCTGGCCACGCTTGAGCTTGAGGGACAGCGTGGGGTCGGAGATGATCTCCTCAACGCGGCCGATGTAAGACTCAAGCTGCTGCTTAGCCTCGAAGCGCTTGCTGAAGGCCTCATCGTTGGTCTTGAACTTCTCGGCGTCTATAGGGTGATTAGCATCTGGGCGTATCATCGAGTTGTTTTCAAGCGAATCTTACCAGAGATCATGTTCTCGATCTCGGAGGAGGAGAGCTTGCCAACAGAGTTGGAGATGGTGATGTTGGCGCTGCGGCCGGAGGTCTTCTCGGTGGCGGTGACCTTGAGGATACCGTTGACATCGACCTCGAAGACGACCTCAAGGACGGCCTCACCGGCTCTCATGGGAGGAATAGGAGCAAGGGTGAATTCACCCAGGGAGGTGTTGTCCTCGCAGTTGACACGCTCACCCTGGAAAACGGGGAACTGGACGGTCTGCTGGTTGTCTGCGACAGTGGTAAAAGTTCGCTTGCGAAGACAAGGGACGTTTTGTCCGCGAGGGACGACGGGAGCGAAGATATTGCCCTCCATGGCGACACCAAGGGACAGGGGGCAGACGTCGAGGAGGAGAAGGTCGGCGGTCTCGGCTGAGGTGGCCTTGCCGGAGAGGATACCGGCCTGAACGGCAGCACCGTAGGCGACGGCCTCATCGGGGTTGATGCTCTTCTCGAGCTTCTTGCCGTCGAAGAACTCGGACAGAAGCTTCTGAATGCGGGGGATACGGGTGGAGCCACCAACGAGGACGATCTCATCAACGCCGGCCTTCTCCATGGAGGCATCCTTGAGGACCTGGGCAACAGGGTCGAGGGTACCGTTGAAGGCCTTGGCATTCAGGTCCTCGAAACGGGCACGGGTGATCTGAGTGGTGTAGTCCTCGCCATCGAAGAGAGAGTCGATCTCAATGGTGGTCTGGGCACCGCTGGAGAGGGTACGCTTGGCACGCTCGCAAGCAGTACGGAGACGGCGGAGGGCACGGGGGTCGCCAGAGAGGTCCTTCTTGGTCTTGCGCTGGAAGTCCTTCTTGCAGTGGTCCAGAAGGTTGGTGTCGAAGTCCTGACCACCCAAGTGGGTGTCACCAGCGGTGGCCTTGACGGTGAAGACACCGCCCTGGATGTTAAGGAGGGAAACATCGAAAGTACCACCACCCAAGTCGTAGATGAGGACGTTGCGCTCCTTGCCAGACTTGCCGGCACCAAGACCGTAGGCAATGGCGGCAGCGGTGGGCTCGTTGATGATACGAAGAACGTTAAGACCGGCGATGGCACCGGCGTCCTTGGTGGCCTGACGCTGGTTGTCGTTGAAGTAGGCAGGGACGGTAATGACGGCCTTCTCGACCTTCTTGCCAAGCTTGACCTCGGCAATCTCCTTCATCTGTTGAGGGGGTCAGCAAGCTGCATGTCGTGGAAATCGTGTGGACCCGGTCATTATTTCCGGGCTCTTCACTCGAGCAAAACGTACCTTAAGGAGGACCATGGAGGAGACCTCCTGGGGGGAGAAGGTCTTGGTCTCGCCGAGGTACTCGACCTGAACCTTGGGGTTGCCACCCTCGTCGACGACCTTGAAGGGCCAGGACTCGATGTCCTTCTTGACGGTGGGGTCATCGAAGCGGCGACCGATGAGACGCCTGTAGACGAATGGGTGGTCAGCGTTCTGTGGTTGGAGACTTTTCTCACATTCTGCTTTTGCTCCGGATTACCCCTCCTCGGGCGGGGAAAATCCTCACCCGACGGGGTACAAGCAGGAATCGCAGAGTAAAAGCACCAAGAAAACGGCGAGGCTACTCACTTAACATCGAAGACGGTGTTGATGGGGTTCATGGCAGCCTGGTTCTTGGCCGCCTCACCAATCAAACGCTCCTTGTCGGTGAAGGAAACGAAAGAAGGCGTGGTGAATGAACCCTGCTCGTTGGCAATGATCTCGACATTGGTACCCTCGTACGTAGCGACGCAAGAGTAGGTGGTTCCTGTGTTGAAAAGACTCGGTCAGCCTCATATGCTCATTCCGTAGTGACAGGCTTCTCCTCGAGTCTCCCATCCGTAGTACTTTATTGACATTCGGTGTTATTTTGCTGGGGTGGCGGTAGCGGCATTGTTCGTGATGCCCAAAAAGATCAACCACTCAAGAGAGCGG